CAAAGATTTTTTTCATAGACAGATTAAAGATAACAAAATGGGAATAGGTATGATACATATAATTATTTTCAAAAAAATTGTCAAGAACATTTTTTCTGCATAGATAATTTTAATATATCACACAAAATTCGTCTAGATTTTTTTTTTCATTTTGAGAAGTGATGAAAACGCTTTTAAAAAAATTAAATGATTTTTTTTTTAAACTTTAAAAAGAATTCATTAAATTTTTGAAAATGTATATAATATTATATTCGTTTAAATATTATTTAAAATTAAATTCGTATCTTATTGTGAAATACTTTTTTTTTTTTTTTATCATAGAACAATGACCATTGGATTAGACAAGCAATAAATGGAATTTGATTGACAAGCACCTAGGTTTCGTGAAGAAAGAAATGTTCTTAACTTTTATTCTACCGATCTTCTTGTTTAGTTAAATTAAAGCGGTTCCACATAAAGACGCGCGCGCGCGCGCGCAAATACGCACACAAATATAAACACAATAAAAACACAGTAACATCATGAAATTAATTCATCCAAGAGAATTGAATGCACTTAACTACTATAAAAATGTTCATTAATTCTATTTCTTTATTTTTTTTTTAAATGCCTATAAAATAAAAACCGTTATAAATTATATTATATTTAATAACTACATTTAATTGTCTACATTAAAAACATCTAAAAAAAGATTTAGAACAAACCAGTCACTTTATTAGACTCCGAGATTCGGAAGCTGTGATCTTCTCATCTGCAGATTTATTTTTTCTAGACACTGAACTGAACTTTTCACTATAATCCAATAATAAACTAGTCAGTTATGATGAATGTTTTTTGCTAACACACACTGAGGAAGACCCCCATCACGACACGCTGTTAACTGAACTCATAGCGGCTGATAACCCTTATCACAGTGACCCTATATCTAGCCCAAACCCAACTGAACAAACTCGGCATGTAATCAATATGTACCCTAGCGTTACACGATGTCTTCCACATTCTTATCACGATTAAACATACGTTAAGATGTAATAATCTGATTTAAATACGTAAATAAATAGTAGCAAATTTATATATTTTCTGAGAATTTGTTGGTTAATATATAAAAGTGTAAAAGTCAAGAAACAAAACAAAAATGCAGTTTTTTTTTCTTTGTCTAATTGTCATTACTTTAAAATGACAAGTGAATATTACTATCATTAAGGTTATAAAAAGCGAAAATAAATGGAGTTGACAGAATGAAACCAATCCACACTGCACATGTTTTTCAGTAAACTCAAATTAAAGTTAATTGACATTGGAAAATCCATTAAATACAAATTTCACATTGTATTTCCAATATTTTTTTCTTCTTTAATTTTTTATTGAAAATACTTGGACCAAGAGATAGAATAGATTCCTTTCTGTAGAAAAATTAGGCACTCATCCCATTAAAAATTACCAATTCATTTTTCCATATTTTGTGGATTGGTACATTTCTGGTAAATGACGTCTTAGTGTATGTAAACATTAATAATTATGGTATGTGCAAATGAGAATAATAAAACACATCGAAATAACATAAGCAGCAATAAAACAAAAGCACAGAATTCAAAAGAAAATGATTAAATATTTAAAATTATTGAACAAAGAGAAAAAAAGTATTTAAAGACATTTTAATATTAAACACATTGAATAGTCCCTGAGATTTGTTTTTTATTTATGCCTTATAGGGACCATTTTGCGATCTACAATGTTTTTTTTTCTCTTTTTTTTATTCTATTCTCTTTGATCATAGAATTACGAAAGTATGGTTCTTCAGCTAGTTTATGTAGTCCATCAATGCCCATATAATTCATATAGAATTGCTAGAATGAACTAACTCCACCTCTTAAACTGCTTCTGTCTCTTAAATAGTTTTGAAATTAATTAAATTATCTGTACAGCCAAAAGATGGCATTACAATGCTTTGAAACTTTAAATTCAATTTAAAAAAAATAATAAGATGGTTCAATTTGAGCTCACTAGTGGATAAGAATAAAAATAAAATGCATGTTCTGAAATATATTTATATTCTGATAGAGGAGTAATGTACTAAATACTGAATAGCTAATTTTCAAAATATCCAATAAGTACTTCTATTTAATATAGACTGTGAAGGTCGACAAATTTGCAATATAAAAAAATGGTATGTTTACAAGCAGCATTATACATTTTTTTATGCATGTCCCCCTTTTTAACATAAAATAGATTAATCTTTATAATGTGAAGAGAAATAAAAAAGTAAATAAAATTTGTGCGACAAAATGTATTTGATTACTTTTACCACTAAATCAATGAAATAAAATAACCTAATAAAAAATAAACTCAAAATAACAAAAGGACACTAATGACCTTCCATGTTATGTGTCTAAACTCAGCACAGCCTAAAAAAAAAAACATAAATTGACATTTGAAGTTAGGGATCTTCACCATCCACATATTGCCTGTTCATAGACTCCAGAAGTAAGTCACAAGGAATAAATTAGTAAGTTGGAAAATGACAAGAATGTGTTAAGAGGCTATGTTAATAGATTTCTCTACAATGAGATTTCTTTTCAACCATTGGCTTTAGAAGGCATTTGTAGCAAAACTATACATAAAAAATATTTTTAAAAAATGTGATTATTGAAAGTAATTCTGACAATTAATTTTCATTTCTAACATTTTTCATCATCTGTGTGCAACGATACTTTTAAAATAAAATAATAGGCCAATGTTTATTTTATTATTAATCTGTCTCATATGATTGCAGATACATGCCAAATATCAAAACATTACTGTACCAAGTTGATCCCATTCATAAGTAAAACTAGCCTGTTATTTTTATATAGGTTTAATTTTAGAATTATTCTTTTAAGTATTATTTATGGTTACTTTCATGTACATGTTAATTTCTTTTGACTTTGTTCTATTTCTAAGTGTCATACTCAGTGTTATATTTAAATCTATCCATGTTTATTGTTCTTATTTATTATTGTATGGTTGGCAGAAACTGAGGGCAAATAAATAAAACCAATCAAAATTGTTTTTGAATTAATTCATCTATGTCGAAAATTATTCAACAACTTTATAATTCAATAACGTTTTACTATTAAATAGAAGAGAAATTATGTTAAATTTGTAGTTTTATTGTGTTAAATTATGTAAAAATTAGAAGAAATAGAAAAAGAAAAAAAGAAATAGAAATAAGTTAATTATTCAATAAATAATTTTACTAAGAAAAACAATCAAGCTAAATTAATTTACAAATATAGACAATTATTAAAATAAATCAATTAGTAGAAGTTAGTTTGAAATGCGGTAAACAATATCTCCACCATTAAAATAAATAAACTGTTTAATTTAATTTAATTAGCCAATGATAGGCACTGGTGGATAGTTCTTGCAAAATTGTATACAAGATATTTTCAACTGTTAAGATATGTCACTCTCCGACTCCTTAAAAGCTGTGACTATCCATAAATTTTGTTAAATCCACAAATATTTTGTTCTGTTGAGCTTCTGTCCAGCTGAGTTTTGATTATTTCTCGTTTTCACAGTGCAATGATTAAACAGATGTAGATTCAGGGGTGCAAGAGAGTTTTATGGCGCAAGCTGCGTCAACAAAATTTTTGAGGGGGGCACAATTTGCTGGTGTTAGGAATTTCCGGAATGAAAAGTTTCAAATCAAGGAACAAGGAGAAAATACGTAATAGACCGCAGAAAGTGTAATTGTATATAATAACGATTTTTTCAAATTTTATTTTTCTTTCCATTGTTTTTAAGAAGAGGGAAATAATAAAATATCTCAGGAGGGGGAGGTTTCTGCGCCATGGACCTTGGGGAAGGGCACCCATATGTAGATATGATTGTTTTGTAAACATAGATTAATTTTTTTCTTGGAACATGAAACATGGAACTTTTTAGTTTTTAATTTCGTAACAAAAATTAATTTTTTGGATATATTCATATAAAACTCTTATAAGTTCGTCAACCCAAAATAAACATTTACTTTAAATAAAATTGAATAAATAAAAGACAATTTTTATTCCATTATTATTGTGTTGTAACTGAGAAGTATACTGCTATAAAGCTCCCATATTAAAAAAATTTATAGTGGTAGTTATTTAAACCTAACTCTTTTCTTTCATGATGCAAATCCAAGGAAATATAATTTTTTTATGCTTAAAAAAATAAAAAAGATAAACTAAAATCCAATATAGTTTTGTATATTTCTAGTTTTATTTTTATCAGCATGTTTGTATACTCGACCATTAACTAGCATTCTACCAAGTGGTTTCAAGTCTTTAATATCTCTTAATCTATAAATAGTTGTCAGCTATTTCTGACGTATTTATTTATGTTGCTTTCAGATTTTTTCCTTTGTCTTGTGGCTTCCTGTATTCTTTTTCTGTCTGAGTTCAATAAAAACTTATGTAACCGACAAGTATCTCTTGAACCCAATTTAACTTACGACTACTTTAAGAGCTCTTAGTAAAACCATTTAATTTTGTTCAAACTTTTATTAGAGTAGTTATAGGTCGAAACCCAAATTATATTTTTATTTCCTTGGAATTTAGAGCTTTGATTCAGTGACATTTCCTTGCTAGTAATCCAAATTTGTCGCTAACATGAACCCTGTTGGCTTTTTTCATTACTTTAGAGAGTTTACTTTATCAAAATAAGTCATTAGCCATTCAATTTATATTTAAATTGAAACAATAATATTAATTTTCTTTTAATTTAAGTAAAATAAATCACAGATGTACCTTCTCAGGTACTATGCTAACTTACAAATATCAAATTATTATGTTCAAAAGGTCTTGAGAGGAGGCTGAAGATTTTTTAACAGAACCAGTATTACAAATATTATAAATAATAGTTTTTCAATTTAAGAAGTAATAAATATGTTTTGATTGTGAATATTAATAGAACTGAAGTTCAAATGTTTATATAATACAATTCTTATTTTATAAATAATATCATTCTAAAATTCATACCTGCAACCTTGTGCTAGCTTTGACGATCCTCGGCAAATCAATCGGCCCTGCATCTATCCTAAGAAGTTCCATCATGTAGTCTGCTTCTCGTACAGTGGTTCTTACTGTTTCCAGTTTAACACCGTAGTTATCCCATAGATGGAGTCTCGACAGTATCAAAGCAAGAAGATCTTCTGCTCTATTGCTTAGAGATACGTGTGATTCGGAAAGTGCTATGATTTCTTTTTCTATATTAACTAACCCTAGCCTTGGTTTGATCCCAAAAGGTAACCTACTGACTGTTTCCCTTAACCAAGATATTTCCATTCGTTCATCACACAAGGTCTTCACAACCTCCTGGAAAGAAGGAAAGATTTAATTGTTTTGAACAATGTAAAGAAAAATATTAAACTAAATATATTATGATAAAAGCACATATATTTTGCAACAGATAGTGAAATTATTTATGCAGGTCAAAATAGAAATTTGGTTTCAGCTAAGACTGAAAAGGTATCAAGAAGTTAATAGTATCAAAACATTGGTCTATTATAAAATAAACTAAAAGATAGTTCAGTTATAATTAACTCAAGTTGTCATCATTATAATTTGACTGATATGACCAATCATAGACACCCACAACGAGGACATTAGCCTGACGGGCTATGTCTGACTATACGAACTACTGTGAAGGGTGCAGCTGTAAACCTGGACTCTTAAAAAAAAAATGATAGCTGATGATTATTCGAATCAGTCTAACTGACATAAAAATTCAGTTAGCTAGATGGATTAAATGTGATTCATGTAAAAAAAACCATCAAACCTAGTGCAAACTAATATACGTGTGCAATTTTGATTTCAGAGACCAAGTTTACTCATTTGTCTATGTACACGGATATCATTCAGAATGGTAGACCAGTTGCAATGCCTGTATATCTATATCACACAACCTGTCTATAATTGTAGACTACACTTTGGAACATTTTCTCTAGTTTAGGTAGTAGAAAAAGTAAATACAAGTTCATGCTGTCAATCGCTGATCACGTTACATGCTTTGGGAGCTTCATTGGACTGCCTTATCAGCGATGTGGTTTCATTAAAGGCAACAAGTTCAATTATCCATAATTAATGACCAAAAATTACTGATTTTGAATATCTATTGCATTAATTAAGATAAATCGACTTATCTAGGCTGATAAAATAGTGGCTTTGATAATTTTTTTGAAAAAAATTCCGAACAAAATGTAATTGAGAGTATGTTCCAAACTAAAATTATCTTGGTGACTAATCAAACTTATTTTCTAACTTACCTTTACATTAACAAGAGCCTGGCGAACAACATCTTCACCACCATCTATGGTTGGTTCCCATTGGTCCAGAACTTTGAGAGCTTTGTTCTGAATTCTAGCTATTCTGTTCATACCGTTCCGAATGGAAGAAATTCTGTCCCTTAAAGAAGCTGCCGCTGAAAATTCTACGGAAGATTGTGTTATTAAAATTCTAGCCCGTCCTTGAAGAGATGCGAGCCTTCTGCGCTCTGAGGCAGGGCCAAGACCATAGCGGAGCAATTCCTCATCGATATTACTAGCTCCTTCTTTCAAAACCTGAAAGTTTAATAGAATTTTCATGATACTTTCATTCCATTCCAGACATTCCAACATAAATTAACACAAAGGCTAAATCTTTTTAAATTTTACTGACCTGTAATTTTCCAACATAAAGGTCGAGCTCTTCTTCGTTAGATATATCATGGTAGTTATTGAGAGAATCTTCCATTTGTTTGAGCCTTGCTTCTATTATTTCCAATCTCTCGCCAGAACTTAAATCTGAAGGAATTGCCACTTCAACTTCTTCCAATCTGTTATTTACAATGTCCCATTTATGACTCAATTCTTTCAGATTATCAGCCTGCTTAGATTCATCAGTTACTGGTAAAATTTTCATGGCATTATCAAACCTTGCACAAAGATCACTATAGGCTGTTTTTTGAACTTCATGTTCTGCTTTCAGTTCCTAGATTATCAAAAGTAAAAGAAAAATCTTTTAATACTGTTAATCAATATCAAACATAACAACTGAACATGAGTAACATTGAAATATTATTCTCATCAAACTTAACTTACCCAAAATGATTGAATATCTAGAGGAGGAACATAATTCTTGATAACAATATCGAGCCATCTGTCAAGTTTATGGAAGTTATTTTCATATCCGATCCAAATATCTTTAAATTCTGTTAGTTTCCGTACATTGTCTGAGACTTGCTCTTCTAGATTTGCAACATTACTTCGCAAGGCTTCACAAGATTCTTCTAAGCCACCACAAGATATCAAACCTTGCAAGGTATGTGCGGTTTCAAGAAGCTTCCATACTTTTGCAGAATGTAATTCAATATCATTCATGAGAGACTAAAATTTTAAAAAAATTACCTTAGTTTTGTTTAATGATTGAATATCAATTGTAAAATGAATAAATAAGATAATGAAACAAACCTGGTAAAGTGATAAATACTGATAATAATCAGATGTTGATACACCAGATAAATTTGGAACTCTTTCCTGTGCAACTCGAAGCCACCCCCTCTCTTCCGCTAAGCCCTGCTCTAATAAAGTCCATCGTGAAGCTCCAAGTGCTAAAGCTACGGCTCTCTCACCAGCTGATTCCAGTACTTCACTTGCTATGTTATGTATCCTACTATGTATTTTTGCATTAGCTGTCCTTGTTTCTTCATCTAGGGAACTTTCTAATGACTCCAAAATAGAACGACAGTGAGACAAAGAAATGAAGAATTTCCGCTCCTTTTGCATTTCATTCTGAAAAAAAAAGATATTCTTCAACCTAAATTTAACTTGTTTAAATTGTTAAATAATTAAAGTTATCTAATCTCCTATACATATTTAAAGTAGATGGGAGAATGTTATTAATAAGGAATTAAATAGAAATTTAGTCCCATTAAAGTGATTGAATAGATACCTGAAGATCTTGAAGACTGGGAACTATAACTCTTGATGCAACTATAGTTTTTGCAACTTCCGAAACATTTTCCAGTTCTACTAATGTATCCTGATACTCTTGAGCTAATGCTTGAGACTGAACAAGCGATACCCTCAATCCGCTCAATAGCTCGTCGTTCGCGAAAAGAAGTTGGGAAGCATTGATTAAATCTCCCTGGGTAGGATATTTCTTTAACAATAGTGATACTTGTGTTTCATAATCAGCATTTAAAACTTCAAGTTTGTCCAGTTTTTTCAACTTCTTCTGCAAAACAAAAATAATAATGAAATAAAAAAAAGTATATAATAAAGAATGGGAAAAAAAACCAGTAAAATAAATAACAATTACTTCTGCTGGAATGCTCTGATCTTTTTCCAAATTTTCAATGTCTTCACTCAAGTTCTGGATGAGGCTGAGAATGTCTTTAGATTTTTTCAATATTTCTTCCCTTTCAATCGCTTTAGAATTGACATTTGCACCAGTGGAGTCCAGAATATTTGTGACACCATCAGCCTGTGATTCAAGGGCGTTGAGAAGTTCTTTATCGCCACCATTGGCTCTTAAACAGGCGATGCCGTCTTTTAGCATATTAAGATCATTTAACAGGAGTGACACTTGCTGCAATTTTTCATCCAAATTTGAAGCATCTCGGTCATATTTCTTTAAAAAAAATTATTAATTATAAATTATGAACCATATTAAATATATACAAATATATAAGGAAATTATATTTATTACCTTTGAATTGATGATGATGTAAGTTATGGTTTCTAAATATTCTGAAATCAATATAATAGTAGTAACTATGACCGACTCTTTTTCTTCTTCACTAGTATTTTTCAGTAAATCTAAATTATAGTTCATTTCTTTTCTTCGCACAGTGTTGTCTAAATCAGACAGAAGTCCAACAAAAGAGGGAGTATTCACGTTGACAATTCTTTCCTTGATGGTTTGTAGAAGATCATCACTGATTTCTTTACTTGATTTAGAACATTCTCCGTCAGGTGTTTTTGAAGAATACAGTTCTGATTCTTTATTTGAATCTTTTTCCTCTTTAATTTCATCATCCTTTTCAAGTGTTTTTTCAGAATAATCAATGTACTTTGGTTCCATCTTATCAGAAGTAATTGTTCCATCATTTTCTTGAGCTTCTTTCGAAGTTACTACTTTTTGATTGTCAGAAGTAGAAGGAAAATCGACAATTACAAATTCAGAATGATCAGTGTCTTCCAATTCTTTGGCATCTCCACTTCTTTTTGAATCAATTTCTTTTACCAAAAAGTCATGAGTATTATCAGAATCTAAAGGCGTGTATGTAGGTATTGGTGTTTCAGAAGTTTTTATTGTAAGATCTTCAACATTCTCTATTTCTTTGCTTGTGGTATCAGGTTTTCTTTCAACCACTACATCTTGTAAACTATAAGAGAGACTGATCATATCGTACGGTATTTGAGATTCTGATTTAAGTGGTACAGAGACTTGTTTTGATGAAATTCCCTCTTCACCATAATTAATTTTAGAAATAAAGTCAATATTACTTTGATCACCTTTGATAGGTTTCACTCCACTTTTTTGTTTATCAGAGATGATTGTTAATTCAGAGGGTTCTGAAACATCTGTTTCAAACGGTTTAGAATCTTCCTTTGTAATAATGTCATAATCTGAAACAACAGGTAGCTCAGAAACCTCTTCAATAGACTCAATTTTCTCTTCAAATATTTCAGCATGAACATTAGGTTTTACTTCAACAAGTTGGTCTCTCTCATTAGTAACAAAGTCAGATTCTTTTAATTTTGGTTGTTTAACTTTTTTCATGACTGACATTAACTTTTCATCATCAGGTTTCACATGAATACTGATTTCAATAGCTTCTACGGTTTCATCTTTCTCTTTCAAATCTCCTACAGGATGATCACCGGGTATATTTTCAATGACTGTTCCCCGTGGCCCATAGGTGCAAGTTGCATCTGATGGTGAGGAATCACTTGATATCGGAGTTTTACTACTTACTTTGCCTACAGAGCAAGTGCCTCTGACATCCTCATCTTTGAATTCCACACGTTGTGGATCATGTGAGATGTAAGAGGAACCATCCGAAATGGTTGTACTTAATTTAGGTATATCTTCGTTACCTGAAATTAAGTTAGGATTATAATCAGTACTTGATGCACAAACTATATTTTCTATTGGTGTTTTGACATTTGTTTCAGGCTGTACATCGGATTTCATTTCAATTACTGTGTCATTTAAATCAGAAGATATGATAGAAGAATCTGAAGTTAACGAAACATCTATTTTTGGTCTCTCAGAAATTTCTTTGTTAGCATTTACTTTTTCATCCTCGGTGGTAACAGAAACATTGACAACATTGTCCTCGAAGATCAAACTAGTAGAAAGATCGTTAAGAGAACTTTTGACGACATTGACAATAGGACGTCCTTGTTCAGTTTCCACAAATGTAGTGACCTGCAACTGGTAATTTGTCTCCTTAGGACTAAGTGCAGATCTTTCATGAGTAGCTGCTTCTTTATTTGATGAAGGGATCTCTTGCAACTTTACAGGGTCAGCATTATTGTCTGAAGTACCTGCAGATTGATCGATAATTTCTAGTGAACTTATTTTCTGAGAAGAAAGGGGAGCAGTAAAATCAATATCATCATTTGGAATTTCTTTGTTCATTTCGTACCTGACTTGAGTGTCATCTGAAAATCCATCTTTTCTATCAGATTCCAATATTTTAGAATCTCCCTCTGCAGGAGTAACAGGAAGTTTTGAGGACGAAATAGGAGATTCTGACTTTGATAAATTTTCTTGAGGTAATGAGGATGGGACATCCTTCTCTAATTTCACTCCAATAACATCACTTCCATTTTTCTTGGCCTTTCTTTTCTTATTTTGTTTTCCTTTACTACCAACTTCAGTTGATGATGGTTTGCCACTATGATCCGATGTAAGTTCAGAGATTTTCTCGGGTGATTTCAACTGATCTTTAGTTACCTCCTCCATAATTATATTATCACTACTAATTTTATCTTCTACAATAGAAATATCTCTGGTTGTTTCACTAATATCTTTTTTTGGTTCTGCTTTCTCAACAGTTTTCGATCCTTTTTTGGATTTCTTGCCTTTTTTAGACGCTGGAGTTGTTGATACTTTTATTGTTTCTTCCAAAGGCTTTTTAGTTAACTGAGCATGCTCAATTTCTGATGGCTGCTTCTGTAATTGTATTGTAGTTACATTAGTTCTAATAATTTTTTCTGGCTTAGATTCAATCTGTGTAATCAGATAAGTTTCTTCAGTAGTTAACCCTGGATCTTTTGTTGTGACATTCACACTAGGCAAATCAGAGGAGTCAGGTTTGATTGAAATTTTATCGTCTTCCTTCATTACAGGAGAGATACTTATGATTGCAGGATCGATATCCTGTATTGCCTTTTCTTTCTCAGAACTGAAAACATTCAATAATTCAGGTTGTTTCTCATTTTCGCTTAACACAGATGGCTCAGTTGTCCTATCTGAAAACAGTTCAGAATCAGGGTTTTGTTCAGTTGTGACTATTTGTTCACCAACTTTAATTTTTCCTGAGCCCTCGTTTTTATTAGTCTTGATATCAATATCCACAACTCTAGGTTTTTGAATGTCTATTTTAGATACTGAAGGAGTTACTTCTTCAAAAGGTTCAGTAGACTCCATTATTTTTTCAGATTGTATAGTTTCCTCCTGCTTTTGATTTAGTTCATCTTTATTTGGGCTTATTTCTGAAGTATGAGGTATTGATGAACTAGAAGTAGACAAGTCTGGTTTGTCAATTTTCTCTATACCAGGTTCAGAACGATCTTGTTTTATAATTTCAGGAGCATCATAATTAATCATTTCGGATTCTAAAAACTGAGCTGTCATGGATCTGCTGTCACCTGCCATTCTACCTAAATGATGATTACCATTGTCACCAAGTTCATTCTTTTGATCTTGTACTGCTGCATTATTAAGAGTATCAAGGCTGGGCTCAGAAATATGCTTGTCGTCATTTTTCATTTCTTTGGCTTTCTTCTTTATGTCCTTTGCCTTCTTTTTTCCCTTAGGCTTCTTAATTCCGACAGATAATGAGATTTCTTCAGGAACAGATACTTTAACTTGAATATCTGCATAGCAGCTGTCACTAGATTCAGACCCCAAGGATAAAGATTTACTTGGGACAACTTTTTCTTTTGGCTTCTCTGTTTTTTCAGAAGATATATGACTAGTGGAAGATATCATTGGTTCTTTCTGTTCAATATGTACTATTCCAATAGCATTTTTAGTAGTATCAACATTTGAATCTTGTTCACTAGTTAAAATGGGGCTAGTTATATGAGAAACTTCTTCTTGAACTACTGTTAGCGGCTCCGTAATGGGTAAATCTCCAGAGACTGATGTATCATCTATTGTTTCTTCCTCAACAATATTTACATTCGTTTTTGGAGATTCTTTAGGATCGTCACCAGCAGCTTTTTCAGAAGGAATTATCTTTTCTTCATCATGTACTAATAACGGAACATGTTTTTCTTCTGTAGTTTCTTCTGGTACTTCAACGATAATTGGTCTCTCTCTAAACTCCTCTGAATCTCCCTTTTGTTCATCATATTGGACAATGCTGACTGTTGGCTCTTCTACTGTGACAATTTCCATTTCATCAGGAGTCGTTTCAGTTTCCTCAACAAGAACCTTTCCGTTGACCATTTTAACAGTTTTTGTAATTCTTTTCCTACTGTGCATAACAACCTGGCGGCTGGTATTGACTTCACTGTAGCTGAGCCTTTTGAAGCTGCCAGAAAACTCTTCAGACATCGGAACCTGATCCTGCTCCAAAGTAGATGAAATAATTTGTTCAGGTTCTTCAATAACTGTTTCACTCACATGCTCTTTTCCATCGATAATAACAACTTTTCGAATAATTTTCCTAGACCTACGAACCTGATGAATCACTGGCTGTACAATAGTGGCATGCATATGAGAAGAAGTTCCTTCTTGTTCTACATTAGAATAAGATTCAAAAGATTCAACTATTCCACCCGTTGAAAAGGTCTGTGCTATCATCTGATCTTTCATTTGTTCAGATGGGACTAAGTCAATTATGTTATCAGGTTCTGTTGGTATTTTGTACGAATCATCTGTTGCAATTATAACGGTATTTTTATCATCTTCACTTTGGAACGTTTCAGGTGGGCTAATGATTATTTTTTTATCAGTATCAACGACCACATTTAAATCTTTCTCAGGTGAAGGTACATCAATATGAGTCTCTTTTTTCAATTTCTTCTTTTTCCCTGATTTTTTGGATGTAGTAGAATCAACTATTTTTACTGCGACCTTTTCAGGATCCTGAGGTTTAGAAACTTCAACATCCTCACTATGTACATCAGAAACGTTTTCTGTTTCAAATGAATCAGTATCCTGAGTATGAGATAGATTGTCATCACTTGATATGGCAAATTCAGCAACAACATCGTCTGTTTTGTTAGTTTCATCAAGAGAATCACTCTGAGAAAATCCAATCCCGATATTAACTTCAACATTCTCAATTGTATAATCTTCTTGAGAAGAAGTGGTCTCCACTGAAGCTAAAGGTGTAGGTAAAGTGCTTGTTAATTTTTTTTCCGGATGAGATTGACTGCTTGGTTTTGGTTCTGTTGGAATTGGATCTGGATATTCTTTCTCTTGAGTTTTCAATATCTGTTCACTAATGGAAGGGATTTGTGGTTTTAAGATTTCTACAACATTCTCTTCAAGTTTTGGTTCCAAATTCATTTCTACCTCATGTTTTAAGAACTCCATAGTTTTGTCTTGTGTATTCATGCCATTCTCTGTTAAAGGTTCTTCAGGCATTATTTCCTTATCTATATTGTTAATGCTTGTTTCCTTTTCGCTATAATTTGTTTTCATTATTTCTTCCTAAAAAAAAAGAAAAAAATATATTTCAACTACATTACTTTTTACAAAATAATAACTAAACCTTATGCACCTAAAAACAGCTTTAGATAAACCTACAATGTGATTTCAGGTAGATAATTCCAAAAGTAGTGAGCAGAATATAAATTCCATTAATTCTTATAATAACTGAAGCTAGATATGTATCTTTTATAACAGCTTATAAGAGATATAAACAGCTTAAATTCGGCAGAGCTCTTTATAATAAATAAAAATAAGTGTTTAATAAAGAAAATGAAAAGTTATTGAATTCTGTAATAAAGTTTGTACAGAGAGTCTTCATTTTAAGATAAATCAAATTATTTTAAAGAAAGATGGTTGGTGTGAGAGAAAAATACTGCAAGGTAAAAATTGTAAAACATTTTCTTGGAGAACATTATTTGACGCTTGATATGTTATTTAATTTATGTTCTCTAATTTTATAAAAATTTATGATTTGAGATTGTTGATAACTAAACTCTCTAAATATTTTTACTGATGTAGGTTACAAGAATATGATACGTGATTTCTGATTTTTTTATCCCCTTTTTAATAAAAATGATTATGCCAATAGGAACTAAGTAATAATTAAAGATACCTAAATGAAGATAGCAGCATTTGTATTAACTTTCCTTACACTGAAAAATGATGAAAGGGCATAGACATATATGTGTCATTTGCAAACAACATAGTTTAGATGTTAAATAATAGACATATTGGCTCATACCATGGGGTATCTTATATCCTTTAGCTTAGAAATGTGTTTCAAGCAAGCAGCAAAACTTCCATCTAAGAAATATCTTTCCGTTTTTTCTTTCATTCAACTATCTCTGAATATTTAGTTTGAAATGTACTTTATTAGCTTTTATAAATATTAATAAAGGTATGGCGAAGATATAGCTTTGTATTTAGACATAGCATTGCATTTTGCAATGGTATACGTCACATCATGGATTTAAGCCACTCCCCCCGTCCCCACCATAACTCCTAGACACATTTTTATTTAAATTTTTTAGCCAAATATGAAACTTTTTTTTAAAAATTATTATTTGAAGAGTGAAACCTCAATCATAAATACATTTGATACTAGTTGAATTTTATTGCAGCTCAATTTTAAGTTATTTTTTTCTCGAGTGAGTACCCAATTATTATTTATAGAACATTTTAAATGACTTGCCTGTGGTTCTTTCTCTGCTGGAGGTGAAATTAATTTTTCAGGTGTTAAGGATTTCTAAAAAAAAACAACAAAAAAATTTGAATAGGAATGAAATAACAATCACAATATTATACTTATAAAATCAGAAAAATACAAATTTATTAGGAATTAATCAATACTTTAATTAACTTGCCTGTGGTTCTTTCTCTACTGGAGGTGAACTTGATTTTTCGAGTGTTATAGATTCCTAAAAGAAAACAAAAAATTAAGACAAGTTAATCAAAGGATTTTTAAGTGTTATAGTCTGTGGTACAGACTCCTATTTATCGTATTATTAACATTCGCCTGAAACTTTGTAAATAGTTTCATCTTATCGTAACCTACAATTATTTTTACAAACTCTTGGAATTGGGGGCCGTGAAAAAAGGTGGCCTTCAAAAATATTGAGCCGTTTGGCATGACCTACATCCTCAAATTTTCAAAATAACGAGGTTATACAGGACAAACGGCCCAATATTTTTGTAGGCCACCTTTTTTCTCAATTTCGTGATCAAATTATCTTACTATCCAAGTAGAAAGCAAATAGGTATTTACGTGTATTTAGTACCTAATTAAATAGACAGTTTGCCCCCCCTCCAGATTGAAAACGCTCCAATTCCAAGAGTTTTTGTAAATAAAATAGTTGTAGGTTACAATGAGATGAAACTATTTACGAAGTTTCAGGCCGTTAATAATTCAATAAAAAGGGGCCTGTACCACGGACTATAAACAAAGTTTCAATTGGAATGAAATGAACACAAAATAGATTGAAAAAGAAAGATACATTGAGTTGATAGATTGAATATTTTATTTAGGATCAAAATAATCACAAGTATAATAAGGTTTTTCAGTATCAATTTGTTTGTTTTATTTATCTGTACTATAAATCATTCTATAGTATGATAGTATCAATGAACAAATTAATAAAACAAAATAAGAAGGAAATTAAATAATTCAACGTATCACAAGAAGAAGGAATAATTTCCAATTTTTTCGGTAATTGTAATCGGTCAAGGAAAAGAAAAATATTATAAAACTTATTCATGTTTTAAATCAAACTGTTTACGAATTAAAATAAATTATATCTCAGCTAATAATGGAGGACTAATTTCGATGATCTTTTTTTTTTTTTTTTGTAGGGAATTTAGTAATCTTTCAAATAATCATACTTAGGTACAATCGACAAAAAAAGGAACACTTTTTTAAATATTCACAAATAGAATTTCTCTCCCTTTATAACTTTTTTCTCTGAAATTTTGGGGAGATGTGACTACTTTTCCCATCTGAAGGAGATCTTCAAAATGAGAGCTCAATCATTGGATTTGATGAAGAATTGACAAAGATATGGTGTTTCTCGGCGAAAAAAAAAAAAAAAAAAACCTTTGAGAAATAATATATAAATATTTTCAAAAGAAAGTTAGGAAGAATGTAACTCTAACTTACCACTTCCTCTTTCTCTACTGGAGGTGAGCTTATTTTTTCAGGTGATAAGGATTTCTAAAAAGTAAAATGAAATTTGAATTGGAATGATATGAACAAACATCATATTATACTTGTAAAAACAGAAATGTATTACAAAAGTATTATGATTGATTGAATATTTTGAATAACTTGCCTCTTTCTCTACTGTAGGTGAAATTACTCTTTCTGGTGTTATGGATTTCTAAAAAGTAAAATAAAATTTTAATTAAAATGAAATGTACAGCCCTAATATTTTAGGCCAGTTTTTAAACTCAGTGCTGAGCTCATCAATGGCATCGGATCCGCCTCTAAACTGGACAAAATGATCTTACTGATGAAGTCAGCACTAAGTTCACGAACTTCACCTATACTTATAAAAATGAAGTATACAAATTTATTAATATTGATAGAACAGTTTAAATAACTTGCCTCTTTCTCTACTGGAGGTGAAATTACTTTTTCCGGTGTTACAGATTCCTAAAAAATAAAAAGTCAAAAATGTTTAAGTTAATCTAAGGATTAATAAATCTATTAAATCAATAGAAGGAATATCATCAGCTAAACGAAATGCTCAATTAACCAAAATATGAATAAAAAATTAATTTAATTTTAATGTAAAGGCTTAATTATTGCACAATTTAATTTCTCAATGATCAAAGAGCTATTCATTCAAAACAACTAACTTGTCCATAGTCTGAAGTTTATGTAGTGATATAATTTTTAACATTAATTAATTGGTATTGTATTATCAAAATATATATATATATATATATATATATATATAATCAATCACATATACCAGAGCCAGGTTAAAATGTTTTAACATAAAAAATTTAATAAAGATTAGACTTTTTAGTGCCAAACAACCAATAAACTACTAATTACCATTTTTAAAGATTTTTTTATTTTCTGTAAAACCTGAGTGTTTAAAACTGGTGAAAATTCAAAAACATGTTTTTGAATTTTTTTAAAAAAGCTGAAGAATATATTTTGTATCAATTAATGAAATAAGATAATTTTATTAATTTATTTTTTATTATCTTATGTAAAAAACTAGACATTTCATAAGATAATACAAAATCCCATATGGTCATGGTGTGACCATGGATACATAATAATACAGTGAATATAATGATTTAATAATTTAATGATTTAAAATAAAAATAATTAAGCAATTGGAAAATTTTAAAGGAAATTCATATCATTAAAACATAAGAAGCAATCATGGTACAGTAAATAATATAATATTGTTTAAAAAATTAAATAAAGTTGTACCTATGGATGGCTAAAGACTAACCTGAACCACCTCAATTTCTTCTTCAGGAATAACATCCTCAGTTGTCATACTTTCCTAAAATATTACATTCATGTTGAAATAATTTAATAAATGAGTAAGTAATAATATTATAACATGATCAATGATAAATTGATTTAAATAAATTCTATTCAAATATACCACCAGAAAATGATTAGATATGTACTGCAATTATAATAAAAAATTAAACAAATTAATTAATACAACCGTAATAACTTCAGTTTTTTTTTTTTTTTAGCATTGTAGTAAATACTAAATCTGGGGCATGAGAGAGATTAAATATTTTTCATGGAAGTATTACGAAAAATCAAATAAACATTTTCATCCTATTCATTCTCTACCGGTAAATAATTATGGTTGCCAAAGAAAAGATTGATTGGTTGATAAAGCAAACATCTTGGTAAATAGAATTAGATTGTAATGTATTGAAAACAATTAAGAAAGTAAAAAACAATTATCAAATTTAATAAAAATCATATTCACTCTAAACCAAAATTGTGATCTTAATTTTATATATATTTATTGATGTTGAAGCATAATGAGGTAATGTAAAAAATTCTAGATTATGATTTGGAAGGTATGATGGACCTCCACTTTGAAATTTAAAAGGTGTAGAGAAAGAGCAAAACTATATATGTTCCTTTGGACTAATGAGTGACACGGATCATTAACTATGGAGATTATAAAGGCCCTATTTCATTGATTAGTAAAAAATAATATAAGTGGCTACTTGACTAGTGAATATAGGAAACATTTTTGTCATAAAAAATAATATATATTTCAATTATTCATAAAATTTATACTTTATCGCAATGTACACTTATTCAAACACAATTATAATTGAGCATTTATATTTATAAACAACTAGGCAAATTAACAAGAGCATGAGAATTTATTTCAAAGAAGCTCTTAGGTTATAATGAGCATGATAATTAATTTTCCATCAGAAACACAAATTAAAAATCATAAAAATTCCTGCAAAAGATATATCATTGGAATTATATTGCATGCCTTATTTGTAATAAGATTTAAAACTAAAACATGCCAAAAAAAGAAGATAAAATTTAGGATAAAACATGAAATTTGATTAAAGTAAAAGATAATTGAGACCAAAACTCTCAAAGGTAACCTGAAAAACCTTCGAAAGGGAAATAAGTAGGTTATTAAAAAAAAGAAAAAAAAAGTGAATATGAACCATCACTCTTTAATATAAGCATAATTTACAGACCAATATTAATGTCAACCAAATCCAAATTAAAACTGCAATATAGATTATTAAAGTATTTAATAAAATAACTTAATAAATAACAATTATTAAAAAATACTGTTTGTATTTACAAAGTACAAAAAAAATAAATAAATATATATATGTTTTATTTTAATTTATTAGCCTTAATGATTTATGTAATTATTAAATTATCTTTAAAAAAATTCAATGAACATATTTTGATAGAAACTGAAATCTCAACGGCTGAACACATCTTCAAACTAATTTAAGTAGATTTAATAAATTATAATAATGGTCAATGATTTAGACACATGATTTAACTATCATATTTTAAAATAAATATACTAATTATATATTTTAAATTAAATATCTGCCCTATCTGCATAAATCTTAATCAATTATTTTTGTAATAGACCGTTCTATCTGAAATTTAAAGTGATTCGTAGTTACATAATTAAAGAAATCGAAGTGTCCAATAAACTGAAGATGAAAGTAAAGAGAATAAAAAAAAAAAAATCAAATTATTAATAGTTTCCTAATATTTTGGACAATAGGTAAAAAGAAGCTTATGTTGAAAAAAAAAGATTAGCAGTCATCAAAATCAAGGAAGATAATTTAAATATTTAATGAATGAATATATTGATAACATCAATCAGAAAAAAAAAAAAAAAAAAAAAATCTAGGTAATAAATGAATATGAATGAATCGTATACGTAGTCCAGGTTATTATAATTTATTAAATACATAAAATGATGGAAAAAAAAGGTTGAATAAATCCTACTTATAGGTTTAAATGTTGGTGATATGAAGATATAATAAAGATACAACATCATATAACAATATAATAAAGATATTAAATGAATATTAAGTTGGTTAGTTGTTCTTCATCTAAATGATCTATTAACATTAATAAATAGATTATTTATATAAATGATTTTTATTTTAAATGATTTTGCTGTTTCAAATCTATATATCACATAAACTATATACAGGAGTTAATAAACAACTCAAACAAATAGAAAATAATTTCAAATGAAATATCAGTTAAGATCTAAATATATACAAAATCTTGCCTGATGATAATCTCATGGGAAAGCTTAAATGTATGTCAGCAAATAATTCCTAAAATACAATCATTTCGGAAATACAATCATTGAAAGTTGATACGAATAAGTGATACATCTTCAATTACTCTATTATCAACCTTTCCTTTTTTCTATTTGTACATCTCAGTTTAGTTTTGTGAGTACAAATAATAATGTTTTCTTTAAAAGTTTGTAGAGTGGCTATATGTTACTCTATGGTTAGGAGGTAATAATAAATGTAATGAATACCAGCATATTCTTCAGTTGAAAACAAAAATTTACTAACTTTTTAAGTAAAATATGACCATTGACAGAAGATAAATTAATCTAGACAAACAGTAAATGCAAAACAATATTAAATTAACTGAAAATGTAAACAAAATGAAAAAGACCATAAATATAAGAAACATACCAAAACTAAACATGTTACATAGACATCAGCTTTCAATGTTTGTATTAAGGTATGGAATTATTTGTGGATATATGTTAGAATTTTGTAACTCAAAGCGACACGGGACATCCTGTATATGCCAGTGACTATTCCATATTACTGATCACATTAGGTACAATATAAATATAAACAATGACCATTAAAAACCTTATACATTCCTGAAACTGTTGATCCAAGGTTTATTTAATATAAATGGATACTATACATATGAAAATTTACCACTCTTCTCATTTCTATAATGCATCAATAATAGGGAGAGCCCCCTGTTCGCTAGCCTATTTTGTAAAACTAGCCAAATTCTATAGAACATAAAAATATAGTGAAAAACTCACCAGAAAACAGAAATCCAATGTTCGGTTATAACTGAAAACATTCCAGCCAAAGAGCCTTATATCTCCAAAATGGAAGTAAAAAAAAAAAAAATTGACTACATTTCCCCAATTCAGACATCGTCAGGGGAGAAAGTATTCAGTATAAGATTGGATATCATTTAGTGATGTGATCTTCGATTTGCTTTTCTTTTCTGTCCTGATGATGCCTTAATTGGCAAAACGTTGACGGATTTTTTTTTTTTTTACTTGCATTTTGGAGAAGTAAGATTGTGTGATAGGAATTTTTCCAATTATAACCTAACATTAAATGATTATTTCAAATATATTGTATTTTAATTGGTAAAAATTAATATATTTTTAAACACAGGAATAATTTATTAACATAGAATATGTACAAAAATGTATTTAAAAAGATTAATAATGATTGTATGTTTGTTGTTTGAATAATATTTAAGACCAGAAGGATTATGACTCACAAAAATATCAATGAACAAAAAAACAGAGCTTTAGTGATTAAAATACGCTAACACTCTCTCTCACACACTATACCAAATATACACACAGAATAAAAACCAAACTTGTAAAAAAGCAGAAAGAGTTAGTAAGGCTCCAACCGAAAACACCAAAATACACAAAGAGCATAAAATAAATATCGAACCTTCTGGAGATCGCTTTGAAGTTCTTCAGGCGAAGAGAGGCAGCTATGAGGATCTCCTTTTTGTGTCAATGTGCCGCCGATCACGGGGAAAGGTTCACTGGGAGGGTCTATTTGATTGGTTGCACTTTTACAGGCTGGGTTCATGAGAGCTTTTGCTGGCGAACTCTCTCTAGATCTCTTAGTTACTTCAGCATAACTTTCCAAGACACGATATGTCGATGGAAAGCTTTCATACAGTTTCTCTTTGAATGGATCAATGTCATGACTTTTAACGTCCGAATTTGATTCTTGCTTAAATAATTTGGATTCTAAAGTGTAAGAAGGATCTATGTTTGTTTTACGAATAAAGTTTAATTCTTTTATTTGAGAAACATCATGCGGTAAAGAGTCAGAGGACGGTTGAAGACTAGGATTTATAAAAACATTACCTGATGGAGATGAATCATCGTAAGTAAAAACAGTGTTATTATCAGTTAGATTTATATTGTGCAAAGAACTAATAGGGAAAGATTCAGCTATTTTTGGTTCAACATTATATTCATTTACAAATATAGAAGGTGCGGTGTCAGCCGTTGAGTCTGAAACATTTTCAGTTTTTAAACTTGAAAACGGTTCAAATACGATTTGTGGACAATAATCTGCCTCAGATTTAGTTACTAATACATGAGCAGTAGTCTGACCATCTTGTTTATCTGGGATTACATTTGAGTGTGAATAAATAAAAGAAGAACCACTAGCAACTGGTTGATCGCAATTATCTGCGGCATGCTTATGGAACGGTGCTGGGGATGGATCCCTTGACCGTTTAACAACTTCAGCGTAACTCTCTTTGAATAACAAATGACTCTTGTCCTTTTCTAGACTTTTGTGAAGGGTATTCATGAATTCTTCGGGATCTAATGGTTTAGATAAATTGTTAGGGGATGTCTCTACATTTTCTGCCTTTTCAGCACTGACTTGCTGACCATCACTAACATTAGAGAGCTCAGGAGAGCTCTTAGAGATGCCAGCGGATGGAGGAACTGTAACAACTTCGTGAGCCCCCATTTTATTGCAGAAATAGGGGTCAGCGGATGCACTCGGTGCAATATCATCAGAAAGTAAGCCAGGCTGTGCTAAGCAACTAGAAGAAATATTGTGACTTATGGCATCACTACTCGGGCTTAAGGTTTCATAAGAAGAATTGATAAAATCATTTCCTTTTACTTCAGACAATTTATCTTTCTCTATAATATTTGACAATCCATCTTCTATGACACATTTTAAATTAATTTCTTCTGGTGACTGAGGTGTTGTAACACTATTATCATCTTTTACACTAGAATGTTTATTAACAACATCAAAAATGATAGAAGAACTTTCATTTGATTTTGGTTTATCTTTGTAATAGAAATTTGAATCTACCTTATCGACACTTTTGGTTTCACTTTCTATCATACCAAAATTCTTACAAGATTCATCAATGCCAGAGTTCTTATTTCCTTCAGAATACTTCTTCTGTTCTGTAACACAAACTTCTCCTTCAGATTTCCCAGAAGTAAATTCTAAACTACTAACTTCAGCATAAGTCTTCTGCAATGAAATTGGTTTTGGTGGTTCATCATTAATTTTTGGTGCTTCGTCATTAACCTTTGGTGCTTCATCATTAACTTTAGGCTTCTTTGATTTTTTCTTCTTTTTTCCTTTAACACTTACTTCTATCTCTTGGGAAATGTTTTCTTGCAATGAAACAGCACGGTTGGATTCAAAGTCCTTAGTTTCAAAAGTGACTTCATATTCCGTCAGTTCGGAACAAGGATTTAAGTTCATACCTTCTTCCATATCACGGACATCTAGATCTTCTTTAATGTTGACAATAGTATTGCTTGGTTCAGGATGTGAGTCACTTAAATCAACTGAGCTTATTTTATTAAAAGTATCATCAAAACTTATTGAACTAGACATTTCCTGAATGTTAGAACTATCAGGATCTGTTTTGGATTTTCCAATGCTTATAACAGAACCAGTAGATTGTAATGGTGATTTTTCTTCACCTACTGTTTCATCAACAGCTTTAGTTTCCAATTCTAAACCAATCCTGATATCAGCTTCTTCTTTGTGAGGAGTTGGTACATCATCATTTGAAACCACCACCACTTTATGTTTCCTTGCTTTCTTCTTTTTTCCTTTTATGGAAGTCTCAGAACTTTCAACAGATGTCCTTTCCAAAGTTGGAGCATATTGTTCAATCATTTTACCATCAATACTTGCTTCATTATTTTTACCAGTACTATCGATGACATTATCAAGTTCTTTAAATTTCTGTGTTTCAAATTCATTTGTATTATCCAATCTAATGATGGTATTTGAACCAGCATCATAATTGCATTCATTACAGGGTTGAACTATTTCTGAATCTGGCAATATTTTATGCTCATTATTATAAAATGTTGCTTCACCTATATCAGTAGTTCCAATATTCTCTGTTATTTCTGAAGTCTCTTCATTATCAGATTCCTTACTGTAAACTTTAATATGATCAGTATTAACTTCTGATTCAATCATACTCTTAAAAGTATTATCATCGGGTATGATTTCTTTATTTTCTTTTGTGACAGAATTATCTTTTTTAATTATTTCAGAGCTATCTGAGGAAATCTGGGGCTTTTGTTTCTTAGCTTTCTTTTTCCTTTCGCTCTTGACAGGAGGTTTGATGCTTTCAGTTTGAATTGAATCAGTAATTTCTTGAAGATTAATACTTCCAGGATCTTCTATCTCTTCTACGCATAATGCAGAACTAGATGGATAATCTGACAATGCTTCTACTTCAACAGTGTCTTTGACAACTTCTACTTCAATATTTTCAGAACTTACCGCTGTTTCTGTTTTTTCATGGGAATCTTCATTTTCAGATCCTCCTTCATTGTCAGATGAAATCTCAGATTGTTTAGGTTTCTTTGATTGTTTTTTCTTTTTAACTTTTTCTGTTGTTGCTCTGCTCTTAATAGTACCAGTGATGTCTTGGAAAATAACATGGTTTGGATCAGTTTCAGAATTTTCAGGTGGATAATCTGCATGCCCTTCTTCCACATTTTTGGAGGTTACCACTCCATATTCTAATTTTTCAATATAATCTTCTTCAGGAACTGCTGAAGGATCAGCAGAAACTATAGGAATCTTATGTTTCTTTGATTTCTTTTTCTTATTAGCTTTTAATGAGGCAGAAGAAGTTTCCTTATTTTCGTTTGTGTTAATATCCTCAAGATTAACTTCAAATGAATCTATTTCTGATTTTTCAAAGCTTTTAATAGAATCAATTGGATAGTTTGGTATAGGTAATGTTTTTTCCTCAACAGTTTCTTTAAGATCATCTTTTGCCTCCATACTACTAGGTATTACATCTGTTTCGGTCTTTTCAACTGAATCTTCTCCAGAAACTGTAATAGTGTCAGTAGAAATTCCAGGAATCTTATGTTTCTTTGATTTATTTTTCTTATTAACTTTTAATATGGTAGGAGAACTTTCTCTACTTTGGTTTGTACCAGAAATACCCTCAAACTTAACTTTGATTGGCTCTATTTCTGATTTTTCCAAGCTTTTAAGAGAACCAGTAGGATAGTTTGATAATGATAATGCTTCTTCCTCAAAAGTTTCTTTAACCTTATCTTTTGTTTCCATTTTTCCTTGTGGCACTACCTCTGTTTTTGATTTATCTACAGAATCTTCTTTGGAAACTATTTTATTCTCAGACAAAACCTTAGGCAGTTTATTTTGCTTTGATTTATTTTTCTTTCCACTTTTTACAATAGTCTGAATGGTTTCTGTATTCTGAATTACATCAGGGGTTTCCTCAATGCTCTCCGGAGCTTTTTCTGATTTTTCAGAGCTTTGAACAGAAGAAACTGGATAATCTGATGATACTTCTTCCATTACAGTTTCTTTGATAACTTCTGTATCAACAGGTTCACAAGGAATTACTCCTGGTTTTGTTTTTTCAATGGAATCTTCTTTAAAAACAGTTAAATGTTGAGACAAAACTTCAGGCAGCTTATTCTGCTTTGATTTATTTTTTCTTCCACTTTTTACAACAGCCGGAACGGTTTCAGTACTCAGGATTGCATCAGGGATTTCTTGAATGTTGTCTGGAGCTGTTTCTAATTTTTCAGATCTTTTAACAGAGCAAACTGGATAATCTGATGGTTTTTCTTCCACAACAGTTTCTTTGATAACTGTTACATCCACATATTCAGCAGGAATCACTCCTGATTCTATTTTTTCAACAGGATCTTCTTTAGAAATAGTTAAATCTTCAGACGAACCCAAGGGTAGTTTAGGTTTCCTTGATTTCCTTTTCTTTTTACTTTTTAAGGTTGTTTCAATGATTTCACTGCTGTGAATCAAATCAGGATTTTGCTGATCAGCACTGTCTGGTTCTATTTCTCTGACACTTTTAATAGAACTAGTTGATATATTAGGCAGTGTTTCCTCAACTATGGTTTCTTCACCAGTTTTTTTGACAAGCATGACATCTGTTTCTCGTTTTACAACACTATCTTCTTTAGTAATTGTTACAGTTTCAAACAAAACATCAGGTAGCTTATTCTTCTTTGATTTCTTTTTCCTTTCACTTTTTATAGGTGTTTCTGTTCTTTCGCTATAGTGAATTGTTTTAGGTTGGTTAACATGGACTATAACCTCTTCACCCTGATTGATGTCAGTTGAAGAATACTTTTGTATTTTTTCCTCTTTTTCAATTATTTCAGATTTATTTGATATATTTTCTGCCTCAGCTTCTGTTCCAAAACTTATATCATCTTGAGGAATATCCCGTGAACTTAAATCAGTAATAGTTATGGATTCTTGAATAGTATCCTTCTCTATTGGTTCTTTAAAACTCCTGCTTTTTTCAATAAACTGATTATTATTTGAAACGGTTATTAATTTTTCACCAATCATTTCTTTGTTTATTACAGGCTCTGACAACTCAGATTGTTCTATATGACCGATATTATAGTGAACTTTATTTATATCAACTTCTGACGATTGTAAGATGGACCATTCATTTTCTTTATGTACAATTTCTGATTTAAGTTTAGTTTCAGTTGGTAAATCAGAATTTTCATACTCGTATAAGCCATGAACTGTGTCTCCAAGAGCTATTACTTTCTCCTTGGATAAATCAACTTCGTTAAAAGAATCCATTTCCTTTCCTATCAGAATACTAGTAGCCTGTATCACGTCTTCTGTTTTCAGAACAGGCCTAGTTTCTATAAAATCTTTGCTAGTGCCTTCACTAAATAAAGATTTTTTACTCGAAAATATTGGCTTAAATTGTTGAGAATCAAGATTTTTTTCAGTTTCAGACCCAAGGAATGAATTATCAGGGTTTGAGTAATTTCCAACAACAGCATGTATTTCTCTTAATAATGGCTCTAGATCATCTTTGGTGTCGTTACCAAATTCCAGTTCTTCACCTCCAGTCATTTTGCTTACATCATAACCGCTTATAGTTGATGAATCATCAACATTACTAAAATATGCACTGGTATTCAAACCAGATGGGTCACTATTACTCATTGAAATATTTTCAGTATTAAACATAATATTGGATGGAATTTCAAAAGACTCTTTATTGGCACTGCCATAATTTATATTAAAAGATGTTAATAGGCTTTTTTCTTGGTGTTTTCCTAAATCTTTATCTTCGTTTGATAGTAAATTACTAGCAGTAGTGCTTGTAATGTTTGAAATATCCTTTCCTGAAGGGAATTGAATATCGGTTTTTTCTTGTAAGCTACCAACTTCAGAATAACTTTCCTGTAATGAATTTGGTTTCTGTTTTGATTCTTCATCAATAATTTTAGGCTTCTTCTTCTTTTTCCCTTTACCACTAAATTCTAACATACCTTGGGTTATGTTTTCTTCTAGTGATCCACCAAGATTAGATTCGATGTTCTTAGTTTCAAAAGTGATTTCATATTCTGTCAGTTCTGAACAGGGGTTCAGATTCATACTTTCTTCCAAATCAGAAACATTTTCTTTAATGTCAACATGAGATTTGCTTATTTCCGGTACAAAATCATTTATACCAACCGAAAGAGTGGTATCTGACTTTATAACGATATTATCAAAACTTTCTGAACTGATTGGTATAGCAGGCATTTCTTGAATGTTGATAACACCACGGTCTATTTCTAATTTGTCAACAATGGGATCTAGTGACAATACTTCATCTACTCCAGTTTTTTCAACGTTTGTTTCTAAATTTTCCCCATGTGTGATCTCTGTTTTAGGTTTATCAAACGAATCTACATTGCTAGATGAAACAGTAGGTAGTTTAAGTTTCTTTGATTTGTTTCTCCGTTCGCTCTTTACTGTTGTTTCGATGCTTACACTACTCTGCACTGTATCAGGAATTTCTTGGAAGACTTTAATTGAAGCACCAGAATCTAATGATGGTATTTCTTCTATTACTGTTTCCTCATCACCTTTAGCTCCCACATCATAACCAGACCTGATATCTGCTTCTTCTTTTATGACATAATCTGCTTGGAGAGGAACTTTTGTACTATCTGGTGAAACCTCAGCAAGTGTTAGTTTCTTAGCTTTCTTCTTTTTACCTTTTGTTGAAGTCTCAGAACATTCTACAGATGGCTTATCCAAAGTTGGAATATTTTGTTCAATAATTTTATTATCACTGTCTTCTTCAAAAACAGATTTAGTGTTATCAGCCTCAATGTTGTGTTCTTCAAACTTCTGTGTTTCAAATTCATTTATATGTTCCAATTTAATAATAGTATTTGAATCAACCTCATAGTTCTCAAAAGAATATTTGCCATCACCAATATCAGTAGTTCCAATTTTCTCAGTTATTTCCCAAGTCTCTTCATTGTCAGATTCTTTACTGTAAACTTTAATATGATCAGTATTAACTTCTGATTCATTCACACCTTTAACAGCAATATCATCAGGTTTGATTTCTGTACTTTCTTTGATAATAGAATAACCTTTTTGAATTAGTCCAGAACTTTCAGATATGACCTTGGGTTTTTGTTTCTTAGATTTCTTTTTCCTTTCACTTTTTACAGGAGCTCTGATAGTTTCAATATTCTGAATTGTATCATCAATAATTTCCTGAACGTTAACACTACCTTGATCTTCTATCTTTTCGGAATTTACAGAACCAGTTGGATAATGTGTTACTACTTCAAACTCAATTTCTACATTTTCACCAGGTATAGCTGCTACCTCTTTTACAGTTTCTTTGGTATCAACTTCCACTTCTATTTTTTCAGTGGAACTGACCTGTGCTTCTAAATTTGGAGAAGAATATTCTTCAGAAAATACCTTGCTGTCAGGAGTAGCTTTTGTCAACTTGTGTTTCTTTGATTTATTTTTCTTATCGTCCCTTGAGTCTAAAGAATCATCTGTATTTTGAATCGTAACAGATTTATCCTGAATGTCAACACTATCAGGTTCTGTTCCTTCATCAATTTTTGCTTCTGCAGAGATTAATTTTATATCAGGTTTTACGTCAGGATCTTCTTTCCCAGATATTTCTTTAGTTTCCTCAGCAACTCCAGTTGGCTTGGGTTTCTTTGATTTCTTTTTCCTTCCACTTCTCTCCTTAACTTCAATGTTGTTGCTATCCTGAGGGGTATCAAGAATTTCCACAAAGTTAGCAACTGGTGTGGCATTTTCTAGTTTTTCAAGGTTTGTGTTAGAACTAGTTTCATCAACTGAATGTGTTTCTTTTATTGAAATATCTACATCAACTTTAATTTCTACATTTTCATCAGGTATAGTCTCTTTTACAGCTTCTTTAACATCAAATTCTTCTTCTATTTTTTCAGTGGAACTGATCTCTGTTTCTGATTTTACAAGAGAGTATTCTTCAGAAACTGCCTTATTAACAGGTGCAGCTTTTGGCAACTTGAGTTTCTTTGATTTCTTTTTCTTATCATCTTTTATATTAAAAGAACCATCAGTATTTTGAATTTTAACAGGTATTTCCTGAGTGTCTACATTGTCAGGTTTTGTTTTTTCATCAACTTTTGCTTCAGCAGAGATAAATTTTAAATCAGATTTTATAGCTGAATATTCTTTCCCAAATATTTCTTTAGTGTCCTCAGAAACTTCAGATGGCTTGGGTTTCTTTGATTTCTTTTTCCTTCCACTTCTATCCTTAACTTCAATGTTTTTGCTATCCTGAGGGGTATCGAGAATTTCCACAAAGCTAACAACTTGTGTGTCATTTTCTGATTTTTCGAGGTTTGTGTTAGAACTCGTTTCATCAACTGGTGAGGCTTCTTTTACAGAAATTTCTAGATCGACATTAGTTTCCACATTCTCATCAGGTATATTCTCTTTTACAAATTCTTTAATATCAACTTCTACTTCTATTTTTTCAGCGGAATTCATCTCTGTTTCTGATTTTACAGGAGAATATTCTTCAGAAACTGCTTCGTTATCAGGAGTAAGTTTTGGCAACTTGAGTTTCTTTGATTTCTTTTTCTTATCATCTTTTACATCTGAAGAACCATCTGTATCCTGAATTGTAACAGGTATTTCCTGAGTGTCAACATTGTCAGGTTTTACATCAGAATCTTCTTTCCCAGATATTTCTTTAGTTTCCTCAGCAACTCCAGATGGCTTGGGTTTCTTTGATTTATTTTTCCTCCCATTTTTATCTTTAACTTCAATGTTTTGGTTATCCTGAAGGGTATCGAGAATTTCCACAAAGCTAGCAACTGGTGTGACATTTTCTGATTTTTTGAGGTTTGTGTCAGAACTAGTTTCATCAACTGAAGGCGTTTCTTCTATTGAAATTTCTAGATCAACATTAGTTTCTATTTTTTCAGCAGGACTGACTTCTGTTTTTGATTTTTGAGAATATTCTTCAGAAACTGCCTTATTATCAGGAGCAGCTTTTGGCCACTTCAGTTTCTTTGATTTCTTTTTCTTATTGTCCTTTGGATTTAAAGAATCATTAGTATCTTGAATCATAACAGGTATTTCCTGAATGTCAACATTGTCAGGTTCTGTTCTTTCATCAACTTTTACTTCCGCAGAGATGAATTTCATATCAGGTTTTACATCAGAATGTTCTTTCTCAGATATTTCTTTAGTTTTCTCAGAAACTCCAGACGGCTTGGGTTTCTTTGATTTCTTTTTTCTTTCACTTTTATCCATAATTCCGATGGATTTACTACTCTGAGTTGAATCAGGAATTTCCATGAGGTTAGTAGCTTGTGTGGCTATTTCTGATTTTTCGTGTTTGGTAGTAGAACAAGTTTGATCAACTGATGGTGTTTCTTTTACAGGAATTACTTGATCGAATTTAGTTTCCAAGTTTTCATCAGGTACAGCCTCTTTCATATCAAGTGCTACTTCCATCTTTTCGGCAGAACTGACTTCTGTTTCTAGTTTTGCAGAATCTTCTTTTCTAGATACTACTTCATTGTTATCTGAAACCTCGGGTAGCTTAGCTTTCTTTGATTTATTTTTTTTATTACCTTTTACTTTGGTTAAAGGGGTTCCACTACTCTCGGCAGTATTTAGAACTTCAGGAAGGTTAGCATCAACTGTATCTATTTCTAATTTTCCAAAGGTTTTGGTAGAACAAGTTTGACCATCAGATGGTGTATCTTCTCCAAGAGTTTTTTCATTGATTTGTGCTTCGACCACATTGTTGCTAGGGATGATGTCTATTTCTTGTTTTATTTCAGAATCTTCTTTTCTGGGTACTACTTCATTGTTATCCGAAACTTCAGGTAGCTTAGGTTTCTTTGATTTCTTTTTCTTTTCAACTTTAATGGTAGTTTCATTAGTTACCCTACCCTGAACTGTGTCAGCATGTTGCTGAAGATTAACCGTATCACTATCTATTTCTGATTTTTCAAAGCTTGGGACAGAACGAGTTGGAATGCGTGACTGTTTTTCTTTAACAAGTTCAGTTTCCACTCTTTGATGAGGTTTGACTTCTGCTTCCTCTTTTTCGACAGAACCTTCTTTAGAAACTGATAAATTTTCAGATAAAACCTCAGGTTGCTTATTTTTCTTTGTTTTCTTTTTTCTTTCACTTTTTACTATTGTTCCACTGCTCTGATCTTTATGGTATTCAACGTTGTTAGGATCTGTTCCTAATGTTTCAAAGCTGTGAACAGAACAAGTAGTAATAAATGCCGGTGTTTCTTCTATTTCGGTTTTTTCATCAACTACTGCAACATTTGTCTCATCTTTACTAGAAATGTATTTTGGTGACGATTCTATACTATCAGCTGAAATGTTTTGCTTTTGTTTTTTCGATTTCTTTTTCTTATCAGTTTGTATACAAATTTCAGCACTTTTTGACAATTCCATTAATTTGGAATTGCCAGTTTTGTCACTATCATCAAAAGGAGCAGAGTCTACTATAGCCGAAGACAGTACTTCATCATTTTTGTCCTGAACTATGGTTGTTCCCGAAGAGCTAGAAATAAGCTTTTTCTTATTTTTTTTGTTCTTTTTTAGATTGGTTTCATCATTGGATGTTTGAAAAGAATCTAAATTTTCTGTGGTAGCTGAAGAAATATTTTCTGTTTTTGGTTCTTTAGATTTTTCTATAGTAAGTACTTCAGCTATTGTCTCATTTTCTTTTTTATCGAGAATTTGCTCACCAAGGGGTGATTCTTTATTTTGTATAGATAATTCATTAATATTTTTCTTATTAATGTTTTCTACTGATTTGAATTCTTCAGAAGTTGAAGAATAATCTTTCAAAGAAAGGCCATAAGTATTAGTTTTTTTTCTATTTCTTTTTTGAGAATAGTTCAGAGCAGAACTTGTGACATTTTTGAGTTTTAATTCAGTTTCATCAGTGGAGGTAAGGTCTTCTAATGATGGTACCCTGGAACTATTACGAGAATTTCCTTTAACAATGTCAGAATAAGAAGCAGTTTCGCCCGGAATCCAAATTGGACTCTTGGATCTACTTCTTTTAGATTCTACAGTTAATAGACTCAAGTTAGCTTTTTCCCTTCCAACAATTAGTCTACTTGGACTGAGCGATCTTTCAGTTGAATTAGTTATTTCAACCGATTTATAAGATTTTTCATTTGGTGGAGAAACTTGTAATAGGGCCTCTTCCTCTGAAGCGTTGGTTTGCTGCTCATTCAATATGAAAACAGGTAAAGATAGAGGTGCTTCTAAGTTTCTTTCAACTCTACTCTCAATTTTTCTACCAATATCAAATAAAGTAGCTGGTCCAGAAGGACCTTCAAGATAAGATTTGTCTTCTTGTTTAAATTCTATCTGATTAGAGATATTTGAGGGAAGATTTTCCATTTTATTTTCTTCATTACTAATGCTTACAGGTTCTTTTAATATTTTTTTTGTAATTTTTATAATTTTTTCTTTTCTAAAAGATCCTAAATCAGAAGGATTACTGATGGTGTTTGATCGATCTATGTCATCTAAAGTACATTCTTTAATAATATCATCAATCGAACTATGTTTTCCATGAACAGATGATACCTTGATGAAGTAACCATCTGAAACTTCTTGTTTATTATCATCAACCAACAGCTTCTTCATTTCATTTTCAAGTTTAATATTGTTTTTCGAGTCGCTTTTTTCATTTTTCGTAGTCGTATCGAAGCCTGATTCAAAGCTGCTTGAACCAGTGAGAGTAAGATCTTCTAGCGAAGGAATACGAGAACTGCTACGTGAATTTCCTTTGACAATATCAGAATACGAAGCACTTTCCCCTGGAATCCATACAGGGCTTTTAGACCGACACCTGGTAGATTCGATTGTCAACAAACTGAGCTTTTGACGATCATCTCTAGATACACTAGAGCCCTGAGATCTTGTGCCCCTATTTAATTTGTTAAATTTGCTTATATAAAATGATGCCTGTACAGAATCATTGCTAGGCAATTTGGTATGAGAAAATCCTTGTTTTGCACATTTTCCATCTGTTGGACTTTTTGATCTACTTATCTTGCTTTCATTTGATAAAAATATTTCGGTAACTTGTCTGTTATCAATCTTTGCAGGACTCTGAGATCTACCTTCACTTGTTTCAGAAATCAGCAGCTTCTCTTTCATTGATTCCAAAGGAAGTGTTTCTTTATCTTGACTTGAAAGAGAATATTTTTCATTTGGTTCGTCAGTTTTCTCGTCATTCACAACAATGGCAGGCGGCTGCTTAATATGCAATTGGAATTGATCTAATCGGCTGAGTCTACGGGGAACAGAGGTGTCCTTATCGGTAACAATCTGAGGCGCTGGTGTTGTCAACGGACTTTCAGAGTAATTACTTTTTAATATTTCTGTGGTTTCACTAGTGTACGAAATGTCTGAAGAGTCGTTTGTTTGAATTTTTGTTTTTGAGACGGGAGATCCATCGAAACGGGCAGGGCTTGTTGCTCTTCCAGCAGCTATATCCGCATAAGAACAAGAATCGGTAATTAATTTAATAGTTTCAAGCTTGCTCATGAACCCTAGCTCTGTTTTTTTAGTGCCAAACGGATCACGTTTTTGTAATAGAACCATGAGTTCACGAATCTTGTCACGGGTCTCAAGGATGGAGTTCTTCAGGGCCTAACCATCAAATATAGAGTAAAATGTGTCCTCTAAGCTCAATTTACAATATGGAATAAATATGGAAAGTACAAAAGTTTAAAAATATATCAACACAACACTTATGCTCTGAAGCGAGAATGCCTGGTGTCTGGCCAGGAATTGAACAAAATATGAATCTGGCAGGAATAAAAATATAGATTATGGAAAATAGGAGGGAGACTAAATATCTACTAAAGGATCTAAGTCAGGAGTTCCCCGCTGCAATAGATGCTTCAGCCGTTCAGTCAAAGCAGATATCTTGCTCTCCAGAGCCCGCACTTTCTCCTTGCATGCCTGTTTAGATTCAAGGGACAGAAAAAGGGAATAGCTTAGAAAAAGCCCATCACCATTTAATAAGTAATTAAAACTTTTAATGCTAAGTATCAAATTGTATCATGCATTCATTCATTAGAATTCAAAGTTAAAATATAGGATTAAACAAAATTCACATAACCTTATCTTTTTTAAAGTTTATTATTTTCTTGACTTATCCAGAATCCAATAGAGTAGCAATTGCAAAGTGATGGGTGAGAGATTTTGAAATTTGAAGAATTATTGAAGAAAATAAACTTAGTTTACTATAACCAATAACCATGGCCGAAAAAATTTCAGATAGCTCCTCTAAAATGTAAGTCTATAATATATTTATAATGATAAAATATTAATTCATTAAAAAAAAGGATCAAAAACCTAAATTACATACAATATGAATATCAAAACCACATTTCACCCACCACCATAGACCTTTTCCTAAAAAAAATACATGCATGTAGATTAAGTATATGCCCGACAATAAAAACATAAATAAATAAAAATAAAATAAACTCAAGAGATAACTGAAAACAGACTTATATGTAAATAGGCAAAATTTTGTGGTTTATATTGAATACAAACCTGGAATATGTTTGAGAGGAATATGATGACTACTATAATTACTAAAAAGAAAAAGCTTTGTTGAAAAAAAAAAAAAAAAAGAAGGAAAATAATCAAAGTAAATCTACAAGCTTTAAAGAAACACACAATTACAGATGTTTATATATGCCAAGTTCATCAGTAGTTTATATTTAAAATACCCAGGTGTATGAGAAGAGCATAATGCTATATTTATTTTTCATTAAATACAAATTAATATAGAATGAATCATCCTTCTTTGAAGGATTTTTCTCATATAATATTATTATTATATAAAAAATATTAAAGCGTTATTAGGGTGGCTGCCAATTCCAATGGGGCTTAAGCAGTATTTGTGAAGTATTATTGTAAACTGTGGCATATAATATTGAATCTACTGGTTTGGAAGCAAGTTATACATAACTTTGAAATGAAAAATGGATTATGAATAAACTCCTGTTTTGAGGAAAATCCCTAAAGTCAGTATGTCTTTACCAATAATGAAGTTTCTTAGCTAATTATTTATTTTTAGATTCAACAGTTATAGATCTGGTCAACTCCAAAATAACATGGTATGAAAAGTGATAAATTCTAGAGCCTCTTCACTAGTCAGGCTCAGACCTGAGAAACCTGAACTGATTTACCACTTTGATCCTCAAGTCTATTAAACGAAGAGAACAAGTTTACTTAGTTGTAATGCAAGATCACACGTTTTCAAGTTTCCTCACGAAATCATAAATTAAATTTTGTGAAAAAGTAAAATATTGAAGTTATAACCTCTTACAGGTATTATTCAAGCTTATCCTTATGGAGAACACTTCTCAAAATAATATTTTTATTTTTATTTAATATTATAGTTGAAATGGATCTTTCCTTTTTCTTCATTAGGGAAAAGTGTTAGCCTTTATTAACTTGCTAGGTGACCCTCACTTAGTGAAAACCTTGAAGACTTGCTTGTAATAACATATATTTTAAGGACTACAGTTATTTTGATGAATAAAATTTAAAATAATACATAAATAAGTCCTACAAAAGCTCTCAAAAGAATTAGGAGTTTATTGATTATTAAGCACCAAATGCCTTGCTAATCTGATGTACCAGGTGCTTATTTTAATTTAAATATTACAAAGTAAGTATCTCCCGAACCACAGTTTCCAACATGACAAAACCCACCATTAGAAACGAAAATTCACTGTACCAAGCTTAGATTAAACTGGATTTGTTCTACATAGGAAACCAGAGTTCTGATGGCTAGATGGACTTGATCCCTCCACTGGTACATAACATGTTCGCTTGATTAAATACCCAACTTTTACTCATTATATTAAAATAAAAATAATAATTACCACAGAAAGATATTATAAATTAACAAATATTAAAACTACATAAATAAATAATAATGGTAGCTTTTTTACCAGAAATAATTTACAATGAAAACAGATGACTGTAATTGTGTGTTTTAAATAAAAAAAATAAAATGATTCCAAGAAGCCAATTACAATGCTCTATTAAAAAAATAAAATAAATAAAAAAAAGTGACATTTAAGCAAAGGCGGTACTAAAATGGAAACACATTGATGAATTGCATTAAACACCAGGCATTCTCCTAAACAAAATAGGAAATCTCATCAAAATGTTTCCTAATGCTTCAAGAGCTATGTTGTGACACACAATTAGTTAACTAATACCAAATAACAACTTGTTAAGATACAAGCTTAATGTTTTTATCTTATTATTTTTTTTTCTTCTTTTGAAGAAAATAAGATTAAAAGGGAAATTCAATAAAAAATGTAAGACAATATAAACAAAATTATAAGTCCAAAAATATGAAATTTAGAATTTTCCTGATTATTTACATGAGTTAAAAAATATATAAAGTTTACTAGAAACATACATGAAACATGCACCAGCACATTTATGAATCTTACACAAATATTTTCACTTATTATGCAAAAAATATCACAACCGTATGGATTAAAAGTATTAAATATGTACATATGTTAATACGCAGGACACTTCTACAGTATATAATTAACTAGAATCATAATTTATCAATTAAAACAATGAAGATAACTTCTGATAAAAATAAAGTAAATATGTTTATTAATTTATTTGGTCATATTTGGTTGTCGAGTGCAACTACGAAGGTTAGAGGCACCTTATTGAAATTACATTACAATATGTCTGTAAAGATTGTGTTTAAATAGTATTATAGTATGTTTAAATATTACTACAATAAGATCATTATAAATCATAATGTTGTATCATTTTAATGGTTTTTGTTTTTTTTTAAATGGTAATATGCAGTTTGAATCATGAAAAGAGGTTACCATAGATAAGGTATCCTCAACTCTGTGCCTGTGGGCACCAATTTGCCCACATGAGGTAATCCGTGCCTATCTGATTTAACATGTAGTAGCGATCAACATGATAGCTGTTAACAATTACGCAACTATTTCTTAAAAAAATATTTAGCCATTTATTTTAAATATCTAAGAATTAATTAATTGGAAATATAATCTATTTTTTTTTAAATGGTTATTTTCTATATAGATTTTTTTTTCAAGAATAAAAACTACACAACATAGTGAGTAATTTTATATATTAACTTTTAATCAAGAAGTAAAAGATTGGGGAGGTAAGTTTATAAATAAATGAGAAAAGTAATACACAAGTCATGATATGTATTAGATAAATAATGAATACACATTGGATAACAATATATGTTGCTCACACATAAATACAACAGAGCACACTGGAACCTCCCCCCATACAGTACTGCCACCATTACAGCACAAGCAAATAATTCAACAGAGGACTCCTGCTTTAAATCAATTAGGTAAATGGTTTTAGTGATTTTGATTGACACATGAAAAATGATTTTCGAAGTTATAGAGATTAACAATCCATTCCTCAAAAATGTTTCTATTAATCCCCTTTTTCATTAATTACAATTTTATTTATTAATAAACAAGTTTTCTTGAGGGATCAGAAAAAAATTGAGTAATTAAGATAAATTTCAACATAAATTAAATTACATAAAGAAACATTATTCCAATTTTTTTCCCTGCACAGTTGTCTTAATCGAGTCATTTATTCCCAAACAGCAATATATTTCACCATAAAAATTCAACTGTTAGTTTAACATACAACAAGTATGATACAAGACACGGGTATTACACAAGTTTAAATTAGTTACTTAAGTCATCCAGTCAATAAATACAAATAACTTATAATGTAAAGTAACTATCAATATCAAATATTAATGTTACAAAGTTGTGCATCCCCCAACGATTAATATTAAAAAAAAAAAAAAAGATATTCCAAAAAAACATCACCATAAATTTGGAGATGGAAATATAGTTGACTGTTAAAATTATGAAGATGACAAATAATTAGGATGCAGTCGCTTATGATGTTTATTAGGCTTACTGACGTTTAGATCCAAGCATGTGAGCTATCATCAGGACAAAGGTAACTATCTAGACTTACAACAAGAACTGAGTAACAGCCTAAGAAACATTAGTTGAATAACAAATGTTTTTTGTTTTGATTATGTCCTCACAGGTAAACCTTCAATTGTGAGACCTAATGTATTCACATTTTGATCCGGCCCGGAGGACCAAAGTCACTATTTAACTATGACCACGACCTTAGCACTAACTCTTCTTTGAGGAATTTTATTTTCTCAATAAACTCAATGAAATAATCAGGAATCTTCTAAAAGCATTTTACGACCAAACAGATAATTTTAAAATCCTTACATTTTGTTCTCGTGCAGCAGTTTCTCTATCATGAGGCAGATAGGCAGGAGAAGAAATGGTGCGCAACTTTTGCTCAGACGTAATTACTTCTTGTTTCAGGTACAATAATTCCTACAAGTGCAAATAGTAGCAAGTGCTAATCAATTTCAACTTGTGTATTTACTAATTGAATAAAAAGAGGGATGTGTTAATACAAGTACAATACAATACTAACTATAGTCTGCCTACCAAATACGTTCTAATAACTCATTTAAATCAGTAAATTGAACTAAAATTGTTAAAGTGCATGGAATACTTTCAAAATTTAATTATAAGTTTTACAGGAAATGTGCAAATGAGTTCCAAAATGGTAAATCTAATTTAATTTGTTTAGCAAAATAAGTGAATAATAATTAACAATACATTATATTAAATGTAAAGAGATGAACACTGTCACATCCCTTTGATGAGTACTAAGTGTGCTGACTTACAGGCACAGCTGATTTATACATATAATACTTGAGGTATGCAGTGAAGAAATCAAATATATACCATCATATTAAAATGTGCAATTAATTTCTATATAAAATTAATGTATAGTGAAATAATCCTTTATAGGAAATAGAAAAAAAGATTAAAATTTGTTGTCGTTTTTAAGAAGAAATATTCTTAATTATATGATATTTATTAAATAATGTTTCTTTTTTTTTTAGTTTATCTAAAAAATATAATAATAAAATCTAAAGTATAAACTATAGGTGGCTGCATGAGTTAGTTTCAATTTTTCATATTAACATTTAAAAAACAAGAATGGAAGTAATATAATTGTGCCGATTAATCAGAAATATGTAGTTGTTTTTTTTCAATCCACTACATAACTAAGCCCTCATTTTTATTTTAACAGCACAAGATCATGAAAAGAGATAATCAGTCTCCGACTGGTTTTAAGGATACAGAAGAACATGAAGTAAGGAATGTTTAAAAGTGGATAGTCAGAGATGAGACATAAATGTTATACATTTTTACTTATACATAATTTTTTTCAATAAAAACAAGTTCCACTTAAATTTCTAAATCAATATTATTATTAATTATAATGTTTACTGTATTAAATATTTTATTAAACAATGTCATTCCTAAACCTGACATTTTATGTAACACAACCACGTACTTCATAAGTGATTAATGCAAGCTGAAAACTCATTCTTTTTTAAATGATTTTAAAGTTATAATGAAAGTAATTAGCAAATATAAAACCTATTCAACTATCATTCCTTGGGATATTATTTAAGAATAAAACATCTTTAGAAAAAACAAAAGAGGAATGACAAAAAAGATTCAATTGCACCTTAAAATAAATAACTGATAAGATTGATGGTTCTATGAATACACCATCAGAGGAATTCAACAACCCACAATTAATTTATTTTGTTGAAATGTAATAATGAATTCAATAAATACTTAAATCATCAGGAATTTAACCATTATATTCTATATCTCATTTCAATATAATATACCTGTTGGTATTGCTCAACTTGGTCAATGGCTGCTTCAAGCTCAACACTTTGCTGTTTCACAATACCATGAAGTGATTCAAGTTCATGTTTCAGTTTTTCAGCAGCTTCAACAACAGATTCACCACCTTGTAATCCACATTTAAAATGTACCTGAAATAAGAAATTTCGATTATCAAATACATCATAAATTGAATTCATAATTATTAAACAAAAAAACAAAACATGAAGTACCTGAAGTTTTTCGACCGATACAGATATTTTAGTCTTCTGCACTGAAACGTCAGCCATTATTTTTTCTTTGGCAGCTAATTGGTCTCTCAATGGTTTTTTCTTCCCTGCACCAGCATCTAAAGCTCCTTTAGTTTTTTCATACCAAGATCTTACTTCTCGCAGTTTCTTTTCACACTGTTCCCATTCTTCACTAGTTTCATGAAGCAGGGCATTCTAGAATAAGGTAAAGAATAATTTCATTAATTATAAACGTTAAACCAGAATTACAATATTACTTCATTATCATAGTAGAGTTTGTAAAGGTTGATTATTGAAAATAATAAACCAAAGCATTCGCAAAAAGTCTGATGGACTGTATCTTCGCTAATAATGGTCCAATACAGAGATTTTTTTTTTTTGTTTTGTTTTGTAGGTGATTTAAATACATTTTACATGGTTATATAAAAAATGAATGAAAACCGTTTACTTTTTCTAGGGAATAGCATTAAAGAGAAGACTTTTTGGTAAGTTTCATTGAAATGATTGGAGGTGTTTTGGCACCACAGTGTATGAAAAAGATATTTTATGAATCGGAGATATGGAGACTGATTCGGAGCAGAGACATTGGAGGCTAAAATCATAGAAAAGAAAAGAATGAAGCAACAAAATCAGTCCAGCCATTCAAGAGATAATGGTAACAAAGGCAGAAACATTTTATGCAGATGTTGCCTCCCTCAAAAGAACATATTTATTTTATTATACTCGACACAACAATACCAATCCAGTGATATTATCCTTATTAATTATACTTTCAGAGTAATCAGTACAGCAAAAAAAAAATGTTTGCCTATTAACACATACATTTATTTAAGGTACCATTGTCACTCCGATTTGACGAGCGGGTCAAGATCCAATTATCACGCTATAAATGAGATTCTGTGAATAGCCAAGATCATAATTTACAACTTTGGCAAATGAAAATTGGGGAGTTAATTAGCTTCAATTACATTGCTGCTTTTAACTCTCTCATGCTCTAAAGGGATTTACAAACCCCCAACGGGTTCTTTTCAGTTGATGTTGGGACCTTACCAGACCATTTGGTCACCCCCATCTACTTTCAAAGACACTCGATCATTCTCGAAAACTTATTCATAATGTGATCACTAGATGTTATGCCATCCATCAAAGTGGAGTGACGCTTGTACAGTAGTACTTTACTTCAGTTATTTTAAAATGAATACAATGAACTTACTCTTTCCAGCAATTTTGCTTCAACTTCCACCTTAGCTGCCTCAGCTTCTTCCATTTTGTCGGATAAATCACCGATACTACCGTTTTCTGAGATGGTTTCTAGTTCTTTTGACATTTCACTCAAGGTTTTACCCATATTTTTACAGCTCTTCACATTGACCTGAAATTTATTTGTCATTAATTTATTTACTTTTAGAATATCATAACAAACAGTTAAAAAAAATCAGTTATTGAAGTTTAAAGATATCTTATGGAATGATAATGATAAAAGGCTTGGCGAACACGGAGGTTCGATGCAGACACCACCAATCGCTATCTTACGGAAAGCTAATGAAATTATACTTACATTGTAATCGTGCAGTTTGGACTTCGTATCTGCCAAACTCTCTAAAATTAAGGGCACATTTACGAATTCTTGTTTTTCTCTCGCCCAATTCATCACTGTGTTGTACAGTGTCATGAACCTTTCCCAAGAATCCAAACAGTCGCCAATCTACGATCAAACAGAGCTCCATTACAATATGACTATGATCATACTTAGCAATTCATTTTTTTTTTTTCATTCAAAGTATCATTCAAAATTATGTCAAATATTGCCCAATTGATGAATGAGTTTCTTGGAACCAGATTTAAGTCTTTAATGGAAGAAGTGAAATAGGGATAAATAATCTTTAGCTTAATCACAAAGTAACATGCACAATACACATAAACAGTTCTAAACAAAATGTTTGAATAGAATAAAACTACTGAAAAAATTAGGCAATAAACTTCAGGGATCTATATCATTAGCCTATCAAGAATAAATTAGAGATTTTATGATCTTAAAAAAAAAATGGATACTGCTGTTGTATAAATGGTAATATGGAATAAGTGCACACTAAATTTTACAAAATACATTTTTAACAATTTTAATATCTTTATTTTCAGAGCTAGATTTTTAATTTTTATTTCTTAATGTCGCTGATTATTTTTAAAATACTACACTCAAACCGACGTTTCAATCATTCTTATGAAATTGATAATCCACTTTATAGAATACATACTAGCCCCTGCTTTAAGGTGTGAGTGGGTACATGTACAAGATTTGGAAGACTCATTATTCAAGCAGGAACAGTAGTGTGTAAGTGCAAAAGAGTATGATTTCCAGAGGGCTATTTTATTTGTCTAATAATAAAAAAAATTTAAAACTAGTCTCAGTCACTAATTTTACGACCTACAGTTAGTCATGAAAATGCGCTGCTTATCTGATTTTTTTAATAATAAAAAAATAAACATTAAATAAATTTTATCTCAAGATTGAAGATAACAATTTATTGCCGATAAAAATATTTTTATAGCTCTGTATTTCTATAAATAAATAAGTGTTTGATCCAGCCACAGAAGACAATGATCTTTTATTTATTTCAAATTTAATCAATTTAAATTTCTGTAAAATTTAGATAGCCTAAATTACTCGTAATATCAGAATAACTCATATGTGCCATTATCACCATATGATACAACAATGAAATATATAACTGAATTCAGTTTTAGGTTAGGAGTAGAGCAATGACCAAAACTGGAATTTCTAAAAGGTGTACAGTCCTTAATTTTAATTATCAGAAATATGATTTTAGTTTCAAGTTATTTCAATTCCTCTAAGAATAAATTGGTTTATAAAGAGTAAGTTGGACCTAATACTACATATTCAGGTAGTTAGCTATCTTTATACTATGGCCAAAGAATCCTATTGATCATAGTCAATAGTGTTGGGTGACCATGTATTACTTGTCTTAATATCTAATAATAAAAAATAAAAAAATAAAATAATTGCATGAATAATTTACTTTATTACCAAACAATCATAAATATAAAGAATGCAATGGAAATAGAACTTTGAGAAAATGCCATAGCTTAATGAAAAATGTTTGCATAATTTATTTTTAACATACCAGTTGCTTTTTCTCATCAAGCCAACTTTTTATTGTATTGAGTTGCTCGCTCAGTGTATTAATGTTCCCCCTGATAAGGGCTACCTCATCCGCATCCTGACAATTTTCACAAATAGTATTTGCATTCAATATTAATTTATCCAATCTCTCTGACATTGAAGGAAGCTCTGATTGTATTTCCTTAAACGATAATAACAAAAAAGTTTAACAGAAAATAAACAAAACATAAAAAATGTTATTAATAATTCATAATAATCATTAGGTTTTTTAAAAAGTTCATATCATCTGATTCATTTCCTTGAAAATAGTATTAAAAATTTATGATTAACAATAGAAAAAATATATAAATGTTATTGTACAATTATATTAAGATATACATTGCTAAATATGAAGTTTAAAATAAAATGACTGGAAAAATAAACAATAATTAAACAAATAAAATTCCTAATGGTGGCTAATAGATGATGACTTTTGAAATGAATAAAAATAGCAAATTTTACAACCACATACAATTCTATTTTTGTTGAGATATTATATTCAGTATTTTCAATGGAATAATGATGATAGAACAATATTTTTAAACCACCCTTTTAGACTCCAAGAACCTTAAAACTATAACTAGCTAAAAAAACAAAAATAATTAATTAAAAATTCTAGCTGATTGCCAAAGTCAAAACAATAAAAATAACATTTCAGGGTAAGAAAATATTTAAAAACAAAATTATTTTTTAGTACCTGTAATGACTGCTTCAAAACCTGGGGCTGACTTGTTTTATCACGGACTTTAATTTCAGCTTTCTGGATCCAGTTAGTGAGAATATCGAGGTCATTTGAATATTCTGAACGGACTGTTCTTGCCCGCTTTTGCTGCCTTTCTTTGTCATCCATCGATTGCACTAATCGTTCCATGTTTAATTCTAAGTCAGTCAACTAAAAGAATAAGATAATTTGAAACATATTTTAATCGGTTTTACGGAAAGCCAATACTAAAATGAGACTTACAGCTTTTTGCAAATCACTAGGAAGTATTTCTTGAGACTTCAGATAATAATCTTTTGTATTTGCAATAAGATTCTTAATATGAGAGGAAAGTCCTTCTGTCTTTTTCACTAATGTCTGAAAAAAAAATATATAAAATTTTAATAATAAAATATAAAATTTAACTCCCGAATAAACACTTTTTTTTATATTCTTGTATTTGTTAATTTAGAATATAGAAAATATTTTAAATTAAAATAGGATGATTTTGTATAAATATGGGCTTCATCCATTTGTTACTGTTAAGAAAATCCCACATATTAAATTGGGCTCATTCGAGTATAAAAGGCTAACCTAAGTTAGAGAATGTTTATTTTATTATAAGTAATTAAAAATGTTTTAGGAAAAAGTTAAAACACAGGAATGGTTAATCCATTATAAACATTGAAAAATTTTTGACAAAATTTATTTTATGAAAAAAAAAGAAAAGTTATTGAGCTTTGCGTAGCCAGCCAGCAATGAAGTGTAAGCCTGAATGGCAAGCTGTAATTATCAGGTGTGGGGATTTACTTTATAAGCATAACTTGCAAAAACAAACCTTTACACTTTCAAAGTCATGTTAACAAAACTACGATTTTATTAGGAAAATTATGAGTCAATCAACTTACAAGAGACTCATCAATGACTCATTAATTATCATTTTTAAAAAGAAAAAAATATGAAGTCATCAGATGAAGAAAAATTGATAGCTGTATAGCATTTCAATTCGACAGTATTTTTTTTTTTTTTTTTTTTTTATAAAAGAGAACAATTTTGCCAAAATAAATGGGAAACACAATGTTTATTACTAAATTAATTTTTTTTCTTTTATATCTAATCAAACATAAAAAAATCAATGTAAATTAGAGGATGGTACTGTATAATTGACTGTAAATAAGAATACATATTTATGTTGTAAACAAAATGAAATAATGAAAATAGACATAGTCTTTTCAAGAAATATACAAAGAAATAAAAAAAAATTAAAAACAAAATTGTATAACATCCAGAAAATATATTTTAATACAAGATCAAAATAAAGAATATTGTGCCGTGACCTAATTTCATCATAAAGAAGAAAAGGTTTTAAAAATATCTATAAATAAATATTAACAAATTATTTTTTCATGGATTCCTTTCGATTAATTAAAATAATTTTGTATGAAATTGCTACAATTATAATAAAATATTATCTATAAGCTATTTAATAAAATGAAAATAAATCAAGTAATCAAAATAATTAAGCATTTCTAAATAAAATATTAATTGACAGAGCTTCTAGGATATATCTGTATCTAAATGTACGAGTACTCATATGATGCACAATTTAGAATGATGTACATACTTGGCAATTCCTTTCTGCTTCTTCTTGATCTGAACCAAATATGTATAACTTATCTATTTCGTTGCTGAGCAAATCTATCTCTTTTAAACAATTATCGATATCTTTTTCTGTTTTTTCAAATATATTAAACTCTGATATAGTCTTCTCAAGTTTTTCCTTTATAGCATCAATCAAACTAAAAAAAAAAAGAAAAAAAAGAATTATTACCTGCTGAAATATAAAAATACATACATAACTGCAACTAATCAACAAAGTCTGTATAGTTTAAATTAAATGACATTTAAAAATGAACATAAATCCTTGATTAAAATAATAATTAATGTATTCATATTGTCATTTAATAATGACAGAAAAAAAAATTTGACCTTTTTATTTTTCAATAAAAATAATTAATTCAAAGTCAAATACAACAAAAATTCAAAACATGATTCTAACAATAAAATTAAATCATTGAAGAAAATTAAGTTGGTAACATTCCAACTGGGTCTGAACTATCTATTTTTGGATATTTTTCTTGGGAGCCAAAATATTCATCACATACAAGTAAAAACATTAGCCAAAAATGTTCTATTGGCTAACAAAAACAAACAACTCATGTTACATGCAAGATATTCTGGATTCAAATTTTGTTAACAGGATCAGAAAGTAATTTTTAAAGAAAGATCTATCAACAATTATTAATCTTAAAAACTTATTTACACATTTGCAAATATCAAAACTTTATAATATATAAACATAACTTTAACAAAATCAATGCTTAATTTTATATTACATTTTTTTTTTCTTCAATTTTTCTGTGAATGGTCATGAAAGATTCTTGGGATTGGCTGTTCCATATAATTCAATATATAATTAATTCTTTATACATCTTTTTTTATTTAGAAATGGTCCATTATTTTATAAATTAATTCAAAGTAAGATTAATAAGTTTAAACAATTATCATTTGTTTTTAGAAAAAGTCAGAGAACTCAATTTTGGATAAATACATTAATCATTTCCGTTATTTTTCATAAACATAATAAACATATTTCGGAATATAGAGAATAAATGATTACTGATCAAAACAATAAGTATTAAATTGAAACCTACCGATAATGTAAAAAATTAAATTATCGTTAAATAATAAAATATTTCAGAACTCAGAAGCTCAAAGCCAAGACCGTATGACATCATACCCAGTAATAGTAAGACTTTGTTTTTCAAGGCTTAAAATAAAAAAAATACAATAAATTCGTTTGAAGCATCCTAATAAAACTTCATAATTCCTGGCAACAATAAAGAAGTTAAGCATTGCCAACTAAACAACAATAGAATATGCGTATAAACCCTTAGAAATTATTTACTTAACAAAAAAAAAAAACATTTAATTCGGTTGAAAACAAACAATAATTATAATAATTAAACTGTTTAATTTTAGTAAACAAATTAATTAAACATTTCTAAGCTAAACAAATAAAAACAAATAAGTAGAAAAAATTCTTTCGGCGGTCTCAATATTTATTTACATTTAATACTAATAATTGTTTATTTATTTAGTATTTACGGCTTAATACAAAAGATATTTACTATATGATATAGCTCGAAAGTAAACATCACTCCAATATAGATATTGGATATTATAATAAAAAATAAAACTGCAACAAGCATTATTTACAGACATTAATCTTACTAAACTTATATGACGTAAATATATGATAATTATATTAAGAAACAAAATAAATAATAGGCCTGTAAAATAATAAAGACCTTACCACAAACAATATAAACAATGAACAAATACAGTGGACGAGCAATTCTTTTCATGAGCGTTTGAATCGGACTGAAGACGGACACCTCCCCACCACCGATATCGTACCTGACACCCCTAGTCCAAGCCCTCGCTTTACTACTTCCGGAACCCATTATCGGCGATGAACAATTGAGCATATTGAAAAATGAACAGGGGAAAAAGAAATGTCGATTTACATCGTCAACTTGCACTAAATTCCGAAAATTGTAAATAATGATGAAACAGCCGATTCTAAAAATAGAATTCGCGGGCGTGCAAAGGAATATAGCTGACCTCACCCTTTCTAAAAACTGAAAAAGGAAACAGTAAGCCAAGAAAAAATGTAATTTCTGATATAAAAAAAAATGGTAATATGGAAATCTGTTTAGAGAAAAAATTATAACTTTAATTTTTCAGAAAAGCAGATTATAATCAGAATTATCAATCCCATTTCCTCAATACCTTTCTAAGCCATTTAGGTGGATTTATTTTTGAGGCCCCCTAAAAAAAATTCTTAGAGTAAGACCCAAAAACAAACAAAAAAAAAAAAAAAAAAAAAAAAAAACCGAAAGGATATGTACAGATAATTTTCTTAGATATTTTCTCGAATAACCGAAATCAGACAAAATGATTGATTATTTCCCCAAAATTCCGGTCGCCATAGACGAATCTAAGTTTTTGAAAATATATTAGATGTAAAATTAAAATACCTGTTTCAAATCTGTCAAAACTAAATCTGTGCACTATCAATTAGATTTGTTATCAATACAATAGATTACCTTCAGAAGGTAATTACATGACAAAACACAAGTACTTTGTACTTAGTATCCTTTTATATGCTTATCAATCAGATCAGGTTCAATTTTCAGCTCGTAATTATCTATTACAGAACAGTTTCTCTTTATCAAAAGTCATGAGTAAGATAGAAGACGCTAATCTCTGTTGCCAATCTAATATACTTAATACCATAAATCAATGTTAAAACACAAAGAAAATAAGTAAATAACCGACAAGATCTAGAAAAATAGATGCACAGGAATGTACAATTCGCAGCCTACAGAATAAACCTCTTTTTAAATGTAATTAAAATTAAACAAAAAGTATGTTTTTTTTTACTAAAAAATGTTTAAATATTGAGAATTCCCGCCAACGACCGAAAGCATATCTAATTAAAAATGGACATTGTCAGAAGTAAATACGTGTAGAAGGGTAGTACACATATATGCGATTTTTATTTTTATTTTTTTTTTCAAGTAAAGTTCAATTTTGTCTGCCAATGAGAAGAGTTTTCCAGAAAATGGTTCCTAACTTAACCGGTTCATAGACGAATCCACAACTTTCAATCTTAATATTTGATCCTTTTGCTTTTAATTTGGTATGATGCCATGGTCCGCGATATCAGAACATTTATTTCTGTCCAATCCAACGTCGATAGCACATGCCATCCTCCCTCCACCAAACAAGTTTATTGTTCTCTTCCTCTTAAAAACGGTCCAAATGGAAGTGAAATGATAAAAATTTTGGTTTAGTTGTTTCATTTGTTTTTTGTTTTTTTTTGTTTGAAAGGTATCTTCAATTGAAATCTCACAAAAATATTGATACTTCCAAAAATCCATAACCCCATACAAAAATGCCCTCTCAAAAACATTGATAGCGGAAGTTGCGTCTTCTCTTTTGGGCACTCTTGTCAACAGAAACTGGAAGGTTTCAACAGAAAATTAGTTTTAGAGAAACGCCGTAATATAAGTCGAAGAAACGGCATTATGACACGTTTAACAATAAGTTGGTTTTATACGTCCAGCCGAATATTGAATTTAATTTATTATCTTAAATGTATTGGACAATGAACTCCAATTTTGTATCTGGTAGTGTTTCATGATTAACTGTGTTATGATTACCACCATAATCAATTTTAATTTTATCCTATGTCGTTGACAACACTAGCGGATCCAGGATTCAATTTTGGGGGGGGGGCTTCAGCCCGAAAGCTTTTTTTTTCATAAAAATGGCGATAATTACCTTGGAAAAAAAGAAAGAAACTAGCTATCTATATGAAATGGTGTTTAAGTGATTCCTTAAGTCCTTTTAAATGTAATTACACCAATAATAATACTTTAAGAGATAATTTTTTAATATATTTTCCCATAAAACATAGTTATATTTTACCATTTTGGAGGGGGAGGGGGCTTCAGCCCGAAAGCTCCCCCCCCCGTAGATCCGCCCGTGGTTGACAATAATTAGACATTGATTGATATACAGACTCAAATAACTTAGCTTAAAAATTTTTATTATTTTTAGTAATGCTTCAAAGTCAGTGGTACAGGCTCCTTTTTATGCAATTATTAACATCCACCTGAAACTTTGTGAATAGCTTCAACCCGTCGTAACCTACAACTATTTTATTTAACGTAGGACGTTTTCAGTCTGAAGATCTGCAAAGTTTGTCTATTTAATTAGATACTAAAAACTCGTAAATAACCATTTGCTTTCCACTTTAATAGTAAGATAATATGATCACTAAATCGAGAAAAAAGGTGGCCTACAAAAATATTGGGCCGTTTGGCCTATATAATCTCGCTATTTTTACATTTTAGGGGTGTAGGTCAAGCCAAACGACTCAATATTATTGAAGGCCACCTTTTTTTCTCGATTTTGTGCTCCAATTATCTTATAATTGAAGTGGAATGCAAATGAGTATTTACAAGTTTTTAGTACCTGATTAAATAGATGAAAGTTTGACAATCTCCAGATTAAAAACGCCCCAATCCAAGAATTTTCGTTAGTAAATTAGTTGAAGGTTAAGATGAGATGAAGTTAATTAGGAAGTTTCTGGGGATGTTTAATAAAATTTGATAAAATGGAGTTTGTGCCAGGGACTAGGGGCTATCACCTATTAGCAACAATATATGTATTGACAGTAAGAGCTAATGTTATTATTATAATTTGAACTCTGAAAAGTGAGAGTAAAGGCTAATATTTTTAGGGGATGACCATGAAAATCTATTTACTGAGAAAAATATGAAAGAAATAACTTTCTTAAACCTCAATTGATCAATAGATTTCTAAAACAATAAATACAATTATACAGCTAAATTAAATTAGTTCAATTCAAGTTATTTCTAATGAATTAATTATCTTATGATACAGAAAACAATCATTAAGTTTCTTCCACAACCCACTAAATGACCATGCCCCCAAATTAAACTTTTACCACAACAACCAATGATGGATACTAACTTCAGTGCTTGGTAAGTAATTTCATGAGCAATTATACCAGGAAGTGATGTTATGTTCCAAACCCAATTTCTATTTGTTTTCTGTTAATCAATGAAGGACCAGGGATCCATTTTAAACAGAGAGGACATACTTCTTTCATGCTAAACCATGACATAGAAACAGAGGGTACAGGGTAATGTAAGAATTCAGATTACATATGGGAGAGCGGCAGGGGAAGCTCTTCTCTATTTGAAATAGATTTGAGAAGTTATTATTGATTTAATTCAATCAAAATGTTTCTAAAAAAATGACAAAAAAATTATAGTCTGCTAAGAAAATGCAAAATAAAAGTCCCCCACCTAACTATTTTACTTGGCCCCTTTGACACACTCTCTTGTCTGTTTCTCCCAGACTCCTTCTCCCTCTTTATTCTTCATTGCTCTCTAGTCATTTCAGGAACACAAAATTAGTCAGCAAGGAGAGTGAGGGTAATAAGAGGTGGGAGAATGTTTGATAGTCATGTCCTACTAATGAGAGGATTATTATTTTTTTTTTTTTTGTGAATGAAACTATAATGGTTTTTATTATAAAAGCCTTAAAACTTAGTTTAACATTTTCTACGAACACCAGAGAAAGATAAATTTTAGGTAAATGGTGTAAATTATTATCCATGATATGTTTATTATAAGAAAAAAAGAACTGTTTATATGAAAACAATTAATCACTGATTCCATTTTCATAAGAAAAACTTGATAAGTAGAAGTAATTCAAAAAGATGGCAATAAATCTAAATAACTTTAATATTGTTTATAACATTTAATTATGACACCCAGATATTATGATGTAAAGCTTAATAGAAAAACAGAAGCTCTGGAAGCTTAAAAAAATATACAAAAAGAATGTTGAAAAGATATTGTATACATAAGATTGTAAAATAAATAAAATTTCAAATCATTTAAAATTTACAAGCTTAAAAACAGGATAACATAAAACTAGAAACACCTGACAGGTGAAATGAAGAAATTCCTTTATCAATCATCTATTGGTTTGCTCATGTTTTTATCAACTAATACTCATTCGGTTGTTAGTTACTCATCATGTACTTTGAATTTGTTCCCAATTCAACTATTTTAATAAAAAAGAAAGTAAAAATAAAATTCTTTTCTCAAGAAAATTGAAACACATTTATTTTCTCAGCTATTTAGATATATCAATTTATGTATAAAAACAAAATTAAAATAAATGTTACTGATAGTGAGGTAATAATTTAATATTTATTTAAATTTGAATGATAGAAAGAGTTGGTTTCATTTAAATAACAACTATAAAATTATTAAAGTATAATTTTAAATATAATAATATTAAAATAATAAATACAAATTTAATTAGAAAATTTGCACAATTTATTTTACAAATCAGAATTTAATTTGAAAAAACATACAAATTTGAGTAACAGTTTAATGCACTAAATTCAACATAGATAATTATGTAAGCACTAGAAAAAAGTTTCAGAATTGAAAATAAACAAGAAATTGGCAAGAGTTATTTTGTCACGTGGAGGAGGCTGGAATAGATGACTCATAGTTATATTTTGAGTTCCACTATAAATATTTCTAGGACAGTTCGATGCTACAATGGTTGCGATCTTGGATTTATTAAAAGAATCTTGCATAACTAATAAAAAAGAATAATTCTTACCTGGCATGATGGTTATGAGTATTTGAGATCTTAGTGCTAAGAAGTTCAGCTGATGAGGGCGAAACGGCTTCAAGGAACGTGAAGATTGGCTGAGACAGACGTTTCACCTCTTCTAAATCTGAGCCTGATTTCGTCAAAGAATCCAGTAAACTCTACACCAAACATTTTAGTTCAATGAATTTTAACTCAAACACACAAATTATGAGTATTATACAAGATCAAACAAATTAGTTAACATTAATTTTTTTTAAATCTTAATTTTATTGAGAAAAAATACATTTTGCCAATTAAGGGCATTGAATATTTGAGATGTATTAGACTCATTCATATATACAATAATAAAAACAATAGAAAAATTATAACAAAAGAAAAGAAAAAGACATGTCAGTGACACATGATAAGGTGGACAAAAATTATTATTACAAAAATAAAAAAAATTATTATGAGTGGACACATGCAATTCACATAAGTGAAAATGGACAGGTAAATGATGGGTATTTAGACTTGAAAATGGCTCAATGAGCCGAAACGTCGTAATTAGATGTGATGTCTTTAAGTTGACAAAATTTTAAAAATTGGTGTAAAATTGGCTGATAATAAATGAATAAATAGTATACACCGAAGATGAAGTTGAGAAATAATGTGAAAAGAAAAAGAAAACTTATTAAAACAGTAGAAATGAAGTATGTGACAGCATTAAATAAAAATATAAAATAAAAACACATTCATAATTATTTACAGTCAGCCGAGGGAGCTCCAAGTTGGGTCCTTTCCCCTACATGTGGAGGATAAGGCAAGACTCTAAGAGAACCCAGTGCTTCTCTTTCAGGCGCATCACTTAGATGGGTATTCAATGGAGACTGAGAGGGCACTAAAGCTACATACGCTCATGACTTGAGTGGAGAAGTGGGCCATTGCCAGGACTCCAGTGACGTATTTACAAAGATCTCAAGGTCACTGCCATTTCAACTTCCGAGGAGGATTGTAGGGATGACTGGAACTGGATAAGGATTGTGCTAAGGGATTGGGTTCTGATGAAAATTTGAGAATCGGGATGGAATAACGTCAAAGACATAAGGGATATTAAGGTAATGATGTAGAATTTTGTTTGTAACATAATAAGGAGCATTGACTATTGTATGTAGGACTTTAGATTGGAAAGATTGGATGTGTTTGGTGTTCAAAAATTTAGCTGTCCCTCATAGTTCAAGACCGTAGGTTCAGATGGGTTTTATTATGGTCTTGTAGTTATTATTGATCGATAATAAAAAATATAGGCTCAATTAAAAAATATTTCTGCCCATTAATCTTAATGAACTAATTTGATCCAATTAAGCAGAATATAAGAACAATAATAAAAGAACACAGAATTATGAACAATATTCATCATAGGAAATAGAAAAAATCCTTTTAAACAGACATCAGCTACTATGAGGCATGTCATAAGTAAAATAATTAGAAAAACCTTTTCATCATTTTAGACACTTTTTATTTATTTTTTTACTTGTTTATTTTACCATCTATACAATTAAAAAGACAAATTTAGCTGTCTTTCTCCATAGGCTTAATGTGCACAATATTCTAGCTTAGCCAAGACTTGCTAAAATTGTCCATTTGAAACAAGTGTCCACTAATTACAGTATGTACTATTTTCTGCAGATTTATTAACTTGGATTAAAATATAGTTTAATTAATATTAAACAATTTTACAAACCTCTAAGCTCCCTTTGATTTCCAACAGATGATCCTTGCATCTGATAGTCATATCGATGTGTTTATTCTTGTCATCAATAGGTAAAAGATTTGATTCGAACTTTTGTAGTTTTCCCTCAAATTCCTGAAATTAAAGAAAATATTGATTTAAGTCATGACTTTTTAGTGATGTTAACCTAATATCATTGACCAAACATAATAAAAATATTATTTTAGTCAAGACTAAGTTATGATTATTATTGATAAAATTTCAATTTGTCAAGAAATAAAGAAGTTATTTACTAAATAAATTACAAATCTGGGTTATTCTTTCTAATATTTGGTCCATTAAGTATTGTTATAATATTGAGAAGCTATTTATACAAAGAGGTAGGGATTCTGTTAACCTGTTACACTTGTTTTATCAGCCTATTTTTAATTTATTGAATTAAATAAAATGGAAACGTAAAAAGTTAGGCCCATCTTTTTCTATATAGGTTAAAATATGTTAAGTAATATGGAAAAATAAAAAATATTCACATACCTCCCACAAAGAAGCCAGTTTTGCAAGAGTATCTCGTCTGGATTCAAGGTTCGACATGAGAGAGGCCCAGTCTTCATTCAATGATGCCACTTCACTTGAAATAATGGCTTGACTATCGGTGTTTAAATAAGGCAATAATTCTCTCATTCTTTCATTCAATAAATCAACATCCATTTGATTGTGCTGTAAATCACATATATTATAATAAACAAATCATTTAAGTCATAAAAAGTACTCTAAAAAAATTATTACCGTATAAAGTACAAAAATATTTTATAAAAAAAACCTCTTGGTATCCTAAGAAATATCGGATTGCAGAAAACCTTTGATATGAAATTTAAATATTTTATTAAGCAAATATATCAAATCTCTCAATATCCTTTTGAAAACAATAGTATTGAATATATTAAGAAATAGATTTAACGAGCTCATCAATTTGACAACTATTTCATATTTGTGCAGCACTAAGCACGAGGTCAAAAAATCTGCTTTTGTTTTTTTTATAGAACAACAAATAAAAGCTAACACTAAAGTTATGGAAAAATGTTGAAATAACAAGATATAGTTCATATCAGTTTTTGCTGAAATTACTATTTTAGATTTAAAGAAAGGCTTAAGGAAGCTATTTATTCATTAAATAAATGGCGGGGATTAATGTCAGAGTTAAAAGCCCTCCTCCCCTTCTCCGGCACAGGAACGCGAACTTCTATTTTATATCTGCAAACTTCATCTTTATCAATAATCTGGTTGTCTAGCAACAGGTATTGGTAAACACGTTAGCTGGGTCGGGCACCCCACCCCCACATGAAATTAAGTTAAAAAATTAGCATGAAAGTAGACTAAAGTTTACCTTAATGTCTCTGATGGCATGATCTATTTTGTCTAAATTGAAATGAAGGCCACCGAGTGATGATACTGGTTCATCTGAAAACGTTGCTCTTTCTAGAGCCGTAGCTGCAGTATTTAAAGCCGTCTTATACAACCTTGATAATTCCAAAGCTTCATTTAGCCGAGCACCTCTAGACTTGGCTGAGTTGAGGATATTTCTTAATGACTGACCGAGTTCTCCCTGTCGTGCAGATAGCACTTCTGATTCTTCACTTCCTAATGATGGTAACAGTGCAGAACCAGCCTTATGGATTTCAACTGATACAAGGTCATGAAGACTTTTTTCGTCGGAAAAGTAGCTCTGTACAACAAAATTATATGTTTATAAATTATTTAAAAAAGACATTATCAGAAAAATACAAATATTGTAAATTTAAACAAAGTGATATTTACATTATGGTCATCAAGTAAATTCTGAATTTCTCCTATATCTATACCATCCTTTCCAATCTCTAATTTCCTTTCTGCATTATCGATCCAGTCAAAGAAGTTTTGTCTTAATCCATTATAAGTAATGCGGAATCTGGAAATATCAATTGTAAATAAAAAAATGAATAGAAATATACAATTATTATTTATTTATTGTTAAGATATTCACATATGAATACTTGTATTTGGAGAAATTTTAAAGCACAGCCTAACTTCCCCTTGGAGATTGGAGAAGAACCTTACATGTACATTAGAGCAAATGCCTTTAAACCAAAAGAGGAATTTATCTATTTCCTAGGAATTTACCTATCTGAGATATCAGATCAACTTTTGGAATGACATGACCCAGGAAATTCAGTCCAAAAATGTCTCTGGTAGCATAGGTAGGTTAATATGGACTATTTGGAAATTTCAAAACAAGATTATTATCCTGAGGTATAAAGATCTGCCTATATAACACACTAGTATTAAGCCTGATACTCATATATGATGCGGAATATTGGACTATAACCAGCGATCAAGAACAGGCTCTCCTAAGATTTGAGAGTAGATCCTGAGAGGAATCTTGAAGGAAATCTTTTAAAATGGACTCTGCTGGACTGATGGAACTATTTGGGGATGTTGATACATCAACCTTTATTAAAATAAATTGCCTCAAGAGGCAATTTTTTGTTATAAGTGGCCCTGTCCTACACAGGACATATTTGATTCACATACTTATGTAAGAACATCACATTAGTTGTTTCTCAAGTCTTAGGTAGCAGATCTGTTCTGCAGGGATATAATAATTAGATTTGGAGTGGACACAAGCTAATCCCTTTATTCTCATATTTGGAGATTGATACTGCTATTATAATAAATTATAATTTATTGTTAATAGATATAAATATTACTTACTTCTTATTATCCAACAAATACTGTTCTCTATCCTTTAGTTGAACAGGAAGGCTATGTAATAATGATGAAGCCTCACTCAATCGCTCCTGTAACGTATCAGGAAGGAACTCTTCTGATTTGAATTTCTCATTTAGTTTTTCCACTCCGTTGAGATACTTTTTCACCTCTGATGCTAAAACCTAAAAGATATAAAAATTACATTGTAAGAGTTTTTTTTAAAAAGTATATCTGATTAAGAAGAGAAGTTTTAAGCCAATGAGGCTCCAAGTTTCAATATACCATAGAATAAAGCAATACGTCTAATTACTTTGTTTTTAAAAATTAAAATCAAATTTCAACTATAACTAATTACTAATTAAATAAAAAAATCACCTCATGTTTTCTAATTTCGTCGTCAACACTTTCCAATGCAATTTCCAATAAAGGTCGCTGTTTGACTTCTAGTTCGTGAGCATGTAACCAGTCAAGCAGCGCATCTAATTCTTGCATAGCTTTAGAATAGGCCCTCTCAGCATTTATTGTTCTTTCCCTGGCTGCTTCTACAGCCTTCCGGAGGACGCCAAGCTGCTGTTTAAGAGATTGTAACTGCGATGTGATAGCGTTAGCATCAGCCGAAGAGCCTTCCAATGCTATCCTTTCACCTTTATCGGTAGCAGAAGCAAGTGTAGCATCACAGGCTTGAATTTTCAAAATTACCTATAAGAATATATTCACTAGTCAATATATTTAATAATACAATGGTCGATAAAATAATACTTGAAATATTTTGTCGAAAAATATTAAAGACTATCTTGGTAGCATAATATAAAAAATATTAAGTATAAAAATATAGTTTTTGAATTTAATTATCAAGTTTGAGTTTAATTTTCTTGGTTATTATTATTATTTTTATTTTTTCCAATAACACATGTAATAAATTCCATAGGACAATTTGGTTTAAAAAATAATGACAAGCTATAGATAGCCAAAAATATCATTAACTCCTTTAGGTTCATGACAGGATTAGGTTTGACAAATCTGAACTACGTCAATCCCAAAGAATTTATAGGCTTATAAAAAAAAATAATAAAAAGAAGTTTGAATAAAATTTTTTCACTAGCAGTTGGTGAATAAATATATAATATTGCAGAATTGAGTTCCCAGTATTTGGCTGAATAAGAACTTTAATATAAATCATAAGAAAAAAATTGAAAGCTAATAAACATTTTGCTTATGAGCGGATAATATAAAAAAAAAGTAAAAGGACTTGTATTTCTCATTTATGTAAAAAAAAAAACAATTAAAACCGACAGTAATTAATTTCATTGGCTTATATACAGTCAATTGGGTTATTTAGATTTTCAATAACAAAAAAGATTTTTAAATATTAATAAAAACTATTTAAATTTCTAAAGCACTTAGCTATAGAAACAACATATTATTTCAATAAAAAAAATCATTGCTCAGGGTTAGGTTAATGGATCATATAAAAAAGAAAATAGATATATATACACACATCATCAAGTTTCTTTATTTTATCTTGAGTTGGTTGGTTGGACGTTTCAATATCCTGAACGATTGGAGTGTAGGTTGTAATGAACGTAGTAATATCAGTGACCAGGGCAAGGTACTGCTGCCTCAATCTTAACAAGTCTCGTAATCTTGAGATTTCATCTTCTAATAACTTAATTAGATCCTGAAGATTACCATGGACACCTTCTAAGCCTTCAATATTTTCATCTCCTAATGAGCCGTCCCAATCTTTTAGTTCATCAAGTAATCGCTGAAAAAAAATCATATAAAACACATAATAATGAGTAACTAAAAATAATAGATAGCAATAACATTAAAACAATTGTTTTGAAGGTGAAAAAAAGTAATACTAACCTGATATGCATCAATAGTTTCTTGTACATCTTCGATTTTGCAGCCTAGCGGTTTCGATAAATTTTTCATTTCTTCTTTGACTTTCCCAATTAAGGCATTAGATTTATCCACTTTCATTTGAAGCTGTAAAAAAAAAATATATATATTTGAGTATAGATTTCTTCATTAAAATATATATTTTATAACATAAAATTCAATGAATATAACTTGAAAGACAAATTGATACCTGTTTCATATTTTCTAATGCTTCCCCGAGGGCTGAGAGTTTTTTGAGGATGTCGGCTTCAATTTTACTTCTTCTCTGTTCCAGTGTCCCTAAGTTATCATTCAGGGTAAGCCTATCGGCCTGACTCAGTTTCATTTCGGAACCTACTTTGCACAGTCCTTCCAACTCAGACTTTACATCCTGGCATTCCTTATTCAGCTTTGAATACTAGGAAAAATAAAAAATAAATAAATTAAACTAATGAAATCATAATTAAAAATTGACCTTAAATAATATTTTTTTTTCTTCAACTTTTTTATTTTGATATGTTTTTTCAATAGAAGTCACAACATAGAATTTTTGTTGATTTAAATCCATTATTATAAGCAAAAAAATATAGTGTTCTATGATGATATAATCATTTTATATAATTTCTGTCATTTTCTTTCAGCGTAATTACCATATAAAAAAAAAAAAAAAAAAAAAAAAAAAAAAAAAAAAAAAAAAAAAAAAATTGTATCACTCAAAAACATCCTAAATCCGCTACTGCTAATTCATATTCCATAAAAACTGCTGAAAGTGGTTTTAGACCAGGACTCATCAATTTTGACAAAAAAAAAATGTCTTTAAGTTATCAAGAGTATGAATATATCATATCATATTTATCTGAAGATAATATAATATGAAGATTTTTTATATGTCAAATTTAATCTTGAGAAATTATTCATGCTGGTATTTCAAAAAATAAGTTAAGGCAAAATTCAGGGAAGGCAATAAAAAAGAACAGTTTATCTATAAAAAAAAAAGATTAAAATTTTGCATAAATTAGTTTTAAATTTAATTCATGTAATACAAAAAAAAAAATATTGAACTTTTTTGTCATTATTTTAGTTCAGAAGATTTGTCTGTAATTTATGACTCTGAACTAAAATCTACTTCAAAATTTAGGGAGTAGTTCTATAATTCAGAAGAACAAGAGTCATTAGAAATAGATGATGAAAAAACAAAATAAATTAAAGTAAATTAAGAAAGTTCTAAAAAAATAGTTTTGACAGATGGTCATACTCCATCTAGCTCAACAGGTGGAATGAATTTCTCAATCTAGAGTATAGAAAAGGCTAATGAGAATAAGAAAAAAAAAACATATTACAAAAAATAAATAAACTAAAGACTAACTTTGTCAAGTTGTTCTTGAATGACCTTGAGACTGGAACCTCTGACATCAGCTGACAGCGAGACCTCAGCCTGATTCAGCCATTGCTGTATCTTCTCAAGAGATGCCTCAAATGAAAGCCTAGTCTCCAGTAGTTTCTTCAGATTACCATCTCTTTCCACACCTTCATTCACGTTGCGTGTGTGTTCTTCTGATATAGCTATATATAATAAAAAAAAGAAAGTCCTTTAGAACCCAACTACAAAACAAATATAATAATTTTTAAAACATGATACATTTGTCTGAATTCAGTAGCCATACCCTCATAGTAATATTATATTTATACAGTTGACACCCGGTAACTTAAATTCTTTGATAACATGAATTTTGTTCTGATTTCTTATGAAAACATATTTAGTCGAAAAAAAAAGAAGTGGAGATTTTGAAATAATTTTATGAGGAATATTTAGTTACTTTGGTAGAAGGTTTTTCAAAGGCACTTAATATACCTATAAATTATGTCTCCAAGGATATATATAAGTTCTCATAGTTTTATTATTTATTCACTTTTTAACAATGTTTCGAGCAGTTTGCTTATTCTCAAGTTATCAAAATCCAAAAAAAAATTAATAAATTCCAAAGTCTTTTCATTATATTATTCTATTATGTCTTATTTCTGGTCTACAAAGATATTAACCTGTTCCCTACATTTTATTCGCATTTTGTATAATGCTTGTCAATTACTGAACTCGGTACTTGGTAAATGGTGCTATTGTTTAATAAAGAACAACAGTGGGAAAAGGTAGTGCTGAGTTCCGTAAGCAATTGACAAGCATTATACAAAATGCAAGAAATATGGTGATTTATATTTTTGTATACCAGAAACAAGATATAATAGAATAATATAATGGAAAGATTTTGGAATTTATTTTGGTATTAGATAAATTGAGAATGAGCAAAATGCTTGAAACATTGTTACAAATTGAATAAATAGTAAAAAACTATAAGGGCTTATATATATCCTTGGAGACACCATTTATGAGAAATTTTATCTCTACAAGTTAAAGAAACAAGCTAATTGCCTATATAACTCGAATAAAGCCAAATTTATTAAAAAGTTACCCTTATTCGGCACAGGTCAAAGATAAGTTTTAAGGTGTCTAGTGAGAAGATAAACAGAACACTGATTCAGATGATAAAAATAATGATTCAATTAATAACAAAATAAAACCGTGGAGCTTAAAAGGACACCACAGTAGCAATAAATACTTCGTAGATTTTTCTTGAAAAATTATGTTGTGTCATAGACATTGACTTTTTTCTTGTGCTTTCATTTGAAATCGCATTGGTATGTGGAAGAAAGTAGTGAATATTTTTCTCTGTGTTTTTATCATGTAATTTCAATTAATTTAATTTTCTCTTTGTATTAAACCTTGTGTCCGAAATGTAATGTAATGTGGTATAATTGGGAGTTTTTTAATTGAGTTCTAAATTAAACAATAAAATTCTCCTCATAAAAAAAAAAGATCTATCACTATCTATAGTAGGAGTGAAATAAAATACCTTTAACAATAGATCTAAGTTTTTCTTCATCATCTGGATTACAACTTTTGAGAACAGCAGATACTTGCTTTTGAAGAGAAGGCAATTCTTCTTCACCAATTTTTTTCATTTTATTAATATAATCCTGTAAAAGAAAAACAACAAAATAAATAATTTAAAAAGTAAAATGTTATATAATAGGAGGAAAAAATAAATAATTTTACCTTATTTTCCAAAATATGTTTTTCAACTACAGCAGCTAACAGGGGCTCGTGAGATCCATGAAACTGGGGCTTACATCCGTATAAGTTTCTTAGTTTTTCATGTACAGAGGACAACTTATTTTCAAGGGATTTTCTCTCATTTCCGGCTTCATTAGCTTTTTCAACTGCATGTTTAACTTCTTGAACGAGGTCTAAACAAAAGAAATATAAATTGTAAAATTAGTAATTTTATGAAAAAATTGAGGCTTTATCTTTGTAAGGATTTTCATATTGTGTAATTACTATCAAATATTACACTAAATACTACAAGTAGTTTGATCAATTTTTCATCAATCAGAATATTTAAATTATTATAAAAGAAGGCTCCAAATATAACAAATTGATATTCTATTCATTGAACAATAAGTTTAAAGCTTCCTCAAAATCTACCGTTAACTCACCAGATACGACGGATTTCAATGACTGAATTTGTTGAGATACAGACTCTACTTCAAAAGGTTCTAATTCGTTAGAAATATTCTGTAACCTTTTTTCTGCGGAATTAGCTAGGACTTGTTTCCCTTCTGCTTCCTTTAGAAGAGCCTAAAAATAATGACAGTTTTTGATGACTGTTTTTTGGTTTTCAATGACTAAAATATAACATGAAAAAAAAAATGTTCTAACTGTACATAAATCAGTACTTGTTTTATTGAAACAAAAATTATTCATTTATGTACTATTAATCAACCAAAGAATGAAAATATATTTGTTATGTTGTCACTCTGGATTGACTGGGGGCTGTAAATTTTCCAAGGGTACATATTTTCCTTTGAAATAGAGGATCTAATTTACAATAGTACAAAAATAATCTTTAAGCATAATTGTTGGTCTATAATCAGTACCCGATTATCAAGTATTTCCTCATGATTTTTCATAGATTTTAAAGATTATTTTTTTAATACACCATAAAAGATTTAAAATGAATTCAATAAAAGGATATATGCAACCAATGGAAATAATAAGATAAAGTAGTAGAAAAATTATATTATAATTTTTAGGAAAATTATTGAACAATAAGTACCACAGTCAAATCTCTATATCAAACTTCCAGGCATCAAAAATCTCTATATATTAGGAATCTTAAATTTTAATTATACAAAAATATTCTGTAACAAAGATGCAATAGAATAGCATGCAGATAACTGGAAAGAAATAGCCCTAGATAGGCAGAGATGGAGAAGGCTGATTTAGGTGGCAAAAGATCTTAATGGTCTGTAATGCCAACAGAAAAAAATATATACATGAAGTTGCCAAAGTAACAACAATTTACCAAAACCATGATTCTGTAGTGGACATCCTCCTGTATTTACTCCTTTACGTGACATTGTGTGAGGGAATGAGAAGGAATATATAATATTTAGGAATGTGAGGTTGCACGATGAATTGTACTCAATTGTGCAGTGGATAAATTATTGATTGAAAAGTCCCATATCGATAAACAATCGATGGAGGAAGAAGGTTTGGCGGAGAAGGACGGAGCAGGTAGCAACAGCTGGAGAAGGAAGCTGGAGAGAAGGCACTTGAGGCTGGGACACGGAGGCGAGAGGACGTTACCTGAGAAGAGAAAAAGGCCGGGACAGGTAGAAAGGAGGTTGTCAGAAGAGAGAGGTACTGCAATGAAGATTAAGGAGATCAAGCCTAAAGTTATAAGACTTTAATATTCACTTATAACAGTTGTAAAATAAATTGTTTTATTATACAGGAGTGAAAAGTCATTTTATTTAGCTGTCCTATATGCCTCACAATTGAAGAATAACAAACCAGGTGAGTCAATTCATTCAAAGTGTATTTACTCAGTTCCACATTTCATTCTTATTGTTTCTTCTCACTCAGTGTCACAAAAGTATTAGGTTCCCGAATTCCCAACTACAGTTAAACACCCTCAAAAAGTCTATATCCAGTGCCGGGGTTTTGTTTTAATATTCACGAGTGTAAATAACCTAGTCTCCCGATAAAAATGGAAGGAATATCTACAATTCCCGCCAAAAAGGCATATTTAAAATTAACTTTTAATATGTTGTTTACAATTCGGTCATTAAATCATAAGAAAGTTTCTGAGAAGATCGGAAACTATTTTAATCATTAAAGTTTGATAAAACAGATAAAGTGATATTTAGTTATAACTCATAAAATATTGCCTTTGATAATGCTACTTAAAAAATAATTGTAATTGTTTTTAGGATGAAAAATAGTAATGTTTCGAAACATCAAAATTTCTATACCATAATTTTTGTTTAGAAACCTTTATGTTTGATATATAGAGATCTGGCTGTATCTCCTTATTAACCTTGAGTGATATAATATTTTTTATGCAGAATAGTTTTAATTTGTGAAATAATTTATTTACTTTCAGTAAATGAACCCGGTCATCACACATCTTAGCTTGATACCCAACAGGTGGGAGGTTCTTGACATAATCTGCTTTTTCAGAAACCCAGGATTTAGCTTCATTCACTTCATCTTCTATGGCTTTTAGCTCTGACTGAGTTGATTGCAAAATTTCCATTTTACGCTGTATACGTTTTCCAATTTCATTAAACCTCCTTTCTATCGATTTTGCCTGAAAAAAATTAAATAAAAACACTAAAATGTCAAAATATGATTACCAATGGATTATAAGCTTGTAAAAATCTTCATACCTGTTCTTCTACTTGCTGAGCATCTAAGTTACTAACAATGTCAATAACATTATTCATCAGAGATCTAATTTTAGGAACAGTCAGGGATTTCATTTCGCTGTGGTTTTGAAGTATCCCTTGCAAGCTATTCAATTTTCCTTCTAACGGTAATCCACGACCTTTATCAACTCCTTCCAAGTCACGGATCAGATTATCCAAAAATGCTTGAGCTTCTGAACATTGCTGACGATATGATTCGACAAAATCTTCATCACTCTGTTTTTTGGCAATGGTTTCCAATAACTAAAAAAATAAAATAAAAATAATTTTTATCAGATGGGATCCTGACTGTTTTTTTTTTTGTTTGTTTTTTTCAGTCCACAAGTGACTAAATCTGAACAAATGAAAATAATTTTGATATTTAATACAGTAATTGATCACTACTATAAATTTAATCATCACACTTACTAGAGTTTCCAAATCGTCTAATTTCTTGGAGACTGACGTGCTGTGTTCCCCTTGAGGAAATGCTGTAAGAAGAAGATTCCTTTTTTCGGCAATACTATTTTTCAAGGCTCCCATCGAAGAGATTTCTGCCTTAGCTGCATCAGCTCTTAATTTTCCAGGTTTTTTGCTCCATTCAGAAACTGCTTTTCCTTGGTTTGTTATCCAGTCTTCTATTTCAGCTAATTTTCTTTCTTTATCCTCTAATTCGGAAACCAGTTGGTTTAATGTTCCTAATCTTCCTTCAACCTACATCATAAATTGAATAATTAACAATTTAAATAAATATTCAACCAAAAGAAAGTATACAATCAATCATGGTATAATTTTCATGTAAAACAAAATGATAATTAAATTCATAAATATGGTGTTATTAATATCTAAACCGGCAGCTCCCAAAGTGGATGCCACAAAATATTTGAAAAAATGAAATAAAATTAATATTGTTTTATTGTAATTTTATGTTGATATGTTGTTCATTTCCACAGTTTATTATTTTATTTATAAAAAGAAGTAAATAAAAAATCAAATCATAGATTATTAAATTGCAGTAGCTCAATATTTATTTTATTAAACATTATAATAATTCATTGTTTATTGCTCCTAGTGTAATTATAGAAATATACAGTTCTCTTCTTGATGTTTGAAGTATTTGATATGAATATAAACATAATTTTTCAAATTATATTAATTTGTTTAAATCAACACAAAATTTTGTTTATTGCTATAATTAATTATTTATTTTATAAAATCATTTTGCTTATCAATATAAAAAAGTAAATAAAGCAAAATTGTAAATACATTAAAAATTATAAGCAAACAAAAAAGCCATTTTATTATTCAAGCCAAAATAAAATTTGTACGCACATAAAATTAAAAGAATATATTAGCTGAAGAAAATCAACAAAATAAAAATATAAAAAATAATAAAATGTAAGTCCATGCATTTTTTAAATTTTTTACAAACCTGATTGTTAAGTAAAAATATTTTTTGTATTAAGCTTATCCATTGTACACAAGGACGTCATAAGGAGTTGAAATAATGTTATAAAATAAGAGATGGAAGAAGAAATGAGAGAATAAGAGAACTTGTGATACCCTCACTGAAATCAAATGTAGAATGCTGACAACTTTGATGATATGGACACAACTGTAGAATAGAGAAAAACAGAGTACCAAAAACGTGTATGGAAGCGTGGCCAACTAGCAGGAGACCATGAGGCAGGCCTAGAAGCAGGGGTGTTCAGAAGGGAATTTCATGGCGCAAGTTACACCATCTAAATTTTTGAGGGGGCATATTTTGATGGAGTTTTGAATTATTGAGGAGGCTCATTTCAACGGGGTTATGCATTTTTGGAATGAAAAGTTTCAAACTAAGGGACAAAAGGAAAACATGGAACAGATGGCAATAAGTATAATTAACAGGGGTAGGCGGCTAATAAGTGGCTGAGCGGGCTAATGTGTGTGCACAGCACTGTGCGTTACCCGGCAACCTGATAACCAAAGTTTTGAGATAAACAAATAATTAAGAGTTCAAATCCCTGTGCCCTGTGGGCCTTTTAATTCGGCCTAATTCCCCTGCTCTCTCCTCTGGTCCAGGAAAAACATCGTATAGCCTAGAAGGCAAGGAAGGAGAGACTAAAAAAAAAAATGCAAGTGTAATTATATATGATCTTCGCATTTTCCTAATCCTATTTTCGCTTGCACTGGTTTTAAAAAGAGGTGAGCAATAAAATATCATGAAAAAGGGTGAGAGCAGTTCATGCACCATTGACCTTGGGAGGGAAGGGCATCGCTGCCTAGAAGAACATACCTAGAAAATATCCAACAACTAAATCAGGAAGGAGGGGAAATCCTAGCTCAATAGAAGGACTGATGAGAGACCGAGATGAGTGGTCAAAGTGACTGGAGGCTCCCTCCTCCATGCAGAAAGGAATATAAGGAGGAACAAAAAGAAGATGTCTTAAAATATTTGAAAATTAAATAATCAAATTTGAAAACAAAATCCAAAATATAGCAAAAGTAAACTTTGATCGGATTGCAAAAATATGGAAAAAGAATTTAAAAATTACTAGAAAAGTTTTTCCATAATAAGGCTTAAACATTTTAGGATGGGAGAGGAATACATTTAAAAGCCCAGCAACTAGGATCTTTATAATGCAGTAAAACCACAGTTAGCTAGGTAAAATCCACATGGGAGAAACGTCAAACCAAAAATAGTAAACAATTATAGAAAAATGTTTTAAAAAGCCTAAGATATACAAAGACGAAGTAGATTGGCTAAGGCAGAAAAGATGGCCAAGAGTGTTGAGGTGTCACCTTAATAACCTCAGTTGAAATCTGTGGCACTTGTTCCTATTCTGGTCTGAATGGATTGAATTTTTTTTTTTGTTGCTGATCCACAGAATAAATTTCAACTTTCCTACTCTGGTTAGAAAAGTTTTGTTATATCTATAGAATAAAAATCTTGGATACCATGTTTTACAATTGAATGCCTCAATATATTGTTAAGGATTGTTGTAACTAATAATGCATGGCTTTATCCAAATAGAAACTTAATTTGATAAATAAAATCTCTATTAAACATAAGTAAAAGATAATACAAAAAGAGTTCTACAAAAAAATATTTAAATAAGGAACATTAAAAAATGTTTGTATTTGACTTACCATAAAATTTATGTCATCCACCTTTTTTAATGCACCACCTTCTTTGAGTTGATGAACAATTTTATTTAATCTTATCATGCTGGGTTCAGTTTGAGATCTTTCACACTAAATAAAACATAAAACGTTCCCAAGCAATAAAATAAAACACAAGATAAACAATGGACTAGAAATATTACAAACAAAAATAAAAAGTACAATACACTGCAAACCAAAACCATGCCCCCAAAACTACTTTCAAACTGATTACTCACTGTGTCTACTAGATCTTCTAGCCTAACCCTTACAGCTATTTCCCTGTCGGGGATCGGCGCAGTGGTCGGATCCTGAGGGCTCGAGGGCCTTGATATACAGGCAGCGGCAGCTTCACATGCAGCAATAGCAGCACCGAGGCGCGTTTTTTCCCCTTCTAATTTATTTTGCAAAACCTATAAGAGAAATACAATATTACATTAAATATAAGACTGATCAGTTTTTTCCTCTTAGTATGCAAGGGCATTTTGTAAATAAAATAATAATGAAATATTGGAGTTAGGAATAATGAAAAGAGTGAAATTTATTAGAGCAGCATTTACTAGATATTTAAGGAATTCAAAAAAATAAAAGTAAAGACAGCTCAAGCAATGAATTAGCCTAGTACTATTAATTTGAAAAGTTTTATAGTAGATTGATAGTATAAACTGAATTTCAGAATTCAAATTTAAGATAAATCCAGTTTTAAAAATTCAATTTTTATGAAAAAACTTATATTGCTTGAGTGAACAATAGAAACTCTTTTTTGACAAATATTCTCATCTATAACTCATTGAAGAGATAACTTCAACAATCAAAAGCTGTTTGCTGAGTCAATGTTTAATACAGTATTTGGTCAGAGCCAATTGGGCCTCTTATAGGGTCCATTTTTTTTTTAATCAGATGAGAACATTATTGTTCCTATTAAAATTTTATCTGTTTTTATTTGATTTTTAATTTTTAGGACACCTCAAAAATAAATTCGTCCCGGACCCCAAATGGTCTAGGCACACCGCTGCTCAGTACTTAACAATTCAATAAAATTAAAGTACTACGTCAACATTTCCTATTAAATTTCTGAATAAACTAGCAACGGCTTAATTTTACTTCAAAGCTAACCCATCTCATGACTCTTTATTCAAGATTGGCAGAGTTGATTAGAATTGGCTTATCTAAAATTAAGCTTAACCCCTGATCTAATATCCACTATAAATTTTGTGAACCATGTTTTATCTAATAATCTAAGGATTATAAAAAGCAAAACAAATGTTTGAGAATTGTTGAATAAAAATCTTTCAACTTTTTATAAATACAAACATAATCTCTATTTTATTTCATTATTTACTTAATATTCACAATGTATTCATGTTAAATAAATAATGGAATATTACAATTTTAAAAATAGATTTATCATATTGGTGAAATTTATTTTCATAAAAAGATTTTCAAAGTATTAATATTTAAAAAATCTATACCTTATATGCTTCATGTTGTTTCTTTGCTACAACTAACTCATCTGTTGGTAAAATTTCAGAGCTTAGTTCTGCTTCCACTTGATCCAAATTCAACATAATACTTTCTAAAGTTTTCTCATATTCGATGAATTTCTCAAGAGATTCATCGAGCCTATTCTTGATCTGTTTTGCTGTATGTAGGAGAGAGTTGTAACTTTCTTGTACATTTGCCAATTGTTGCTCAATTACTTCTTTTATTGAAGGAGTAGTTTTGACGTACCGCTCGATTTGACAATAGCCTTTTGATCTTAGATCGTCTAAATCACTTTGATACCTAAATGGTCATATATGCGAATTAATGTTTGTGCACTATAATTGATATTTATTTAAAATAAATAGACTTTAAAAGAGCACCTCTTAATAACGAAAGTTACATCTAATGAAAATCATACTTCTGAACAATGATAAAAGATATTAAACTTACTCTATGATGTCATGAAGTAGAGAATCATGCAGTTGAATTTGTTCCATTGTTTGTTCTTTGTTTGTAATATACAATGAATTATGGGCCATCAATTGGAACGAAACTTGTAAAAGCCATTTTTCTGTGTCCTGTAAGGCCTGGTGATAAGCAGCGTGTTGTTTCATTTCATCTTCCAGACTGCTCTGAGCGTTAATAGCAACAGTTTCAATTTCCTTCCATTGCGATTTCAGTGCATTCACTTTAGCCACGGATTTGTCTGAACCAGCCCATGAATCCAAAAGGATTGCCTCATTTTCTAAACGTTCAAGTTCACGTTTGCTGTCAGATAATTCATTCTGAATGTGTTTTAACCTTAAAAAGATAATAAAACAATAGGTAAAAAATAAATAAAAGTTCAAAATAATGAACAGATAAGGAAAGCAACAATCTAATAGATTTAAATAATGAACAGAGTTATAGTTAATGAAGATAGTCACCTATTGATAACTCAAATTCAAGAGGAATGTTTAATAACTTTCAGTTATGTATAGTTAGAGAGAAAAATAGATTTAGTAATAGAAGTCAACTTTTAGAAATTTTAAATTCCAGATTAACCATTAGGTAAAACCTAAAGTTATGTATAGCCTGATTGAAGGAACTCCTGGCGATAGTGTTCCACAAGCCATGATAGCTCATTTTTGAGTTGCAAAATAAAAAGAAACTCACTTTTTTTAAATGTTTAAAAAAAGAAGTGAACTCTTTGTTTCTTTTCAATAAACAGTTGAAGTTAATCCTGAGATTTTTTTTAGACCGCCTTTTATTTTATTTGTATTTTTTGACTACTGAGTTTTCTCCATAAATTAGGAAACAAAAAATTGTTATGAAAGAATTTGAGTTATCTAGGATCGAGGATATATGAAAAAAAAATGAAGGGTTCGGATAACTGGTATAATTAAAAAAAATTTTGTAAACTACAAAATTCAAAGAATCACTGCTAAATTAAATAAAATAGAAATAGAAACCTTTCTAAAATCGTCTTCATTTCACCCAGCTCAGCTTTAGTATCATATTTCTCAGCCAATTGACTGGAGATTCCATCCAAGAAATTTTTGGCACGTAGGACACTTTCTTCGAAATCTTCCCACCTTCCAAGAGCAGCTTTCAATTGTGCAGTAACTGATTTCAAGTCCATGGTCAGTTGGTCCCAAGAATTATGAAGTACTTCGACTGACTCTCTTAGAGAATCTTGATGTTCTGGTGGAGATCTGTCCAATGCTCGTTTGAAAACCTCTTCTACGACACTCATCAGATGTTGGCCTAAAATGAAGATAATAACAACATTAATTTAATAATTTAATTTATAATTATAAAAAAATATTTTTTAAATTTCATAAATATGTTTAATTGTAATTAAGTGTTAATTGTAATTGTTTATCATAATAACAAGTGCGAAGTGTGAATTTATAATAATTAATTTTACTAACCTTCAGTAATTCTGTTGGACACAAGAGCAATAGTTGTAATTTTGTCTTTTGTCCATTCTTCACTACCAACACCAGCGCAATCCTTGACAGTTCCATGAGATCTTTGAAGCCAATCCTCAAGATCTGATTTAGCCTTTAAGAACTCAGTCTGGTCAGATAGATTCTTTTCAACTCGTGATACAAGCCTTAAAAAATAAAATAAAACATTAATGTCAAACCACTTGGAGGAAAGCTTTGAAATATTGGTAAAATATTTGATATGAATGAAGACATTAATTAAAACTAGTATTTTTCACTTATATATATGTATATATATATATATATATATATATATATATATATATATATATATATATATATATATATATATTTTTTTTTTTTTTATGGTGGGGGTTACTAGCCCTGTGCCTAAACTCCAACCTGGAGGACCAGGAGCTATTTCAGATACAGGGGTCGGTCATCTCCCTGAGATGTGCGTTGCCTGCAGTAGGCTGAAGGGTCTCACATACCCGAGATATATGTCTAGCATAGGAAAAAATATTTTGTAAAGGGAGGTGTTAAGCTACCTTCCCTCCAAAAAAACACGAGAGGAGTTATAAAATATGTTATTAGGTCATGAATATATTCCTTTGAAAATTACATACTTAAAATATGAATAAAAATATAGAAACATAACAGATCATGATGGAACTAGGGGCAGGCTCTGATAGAAGCACTATGATTATTTTAATCAAAATATTTCTCTATCAGAGGAAAAAATAAATAAAACTACCGAAAATAACAATGATACAAACTAAATTTAATTCTAAAATATGTTAATGATTTTTAAATATTAAAAATATTTAGTACATATTATATATAATAATTAATTAATAAACATACTCTTGAATTTCCAAGAAAAGAGAGGTGTATTCAGCTTGTATTTTAACTGTTTCATCTCTGACCCAGTTACAAGCTGACATTTCCATAAGCGCTTCACATTTGTCTCCTAGTTCTTCAACAGCGCCCTTCTTTCCATTTATTTCATCCATGAGCTTGCGAACAGTTTCTAGATCTTCAGTTGTTTTTCCTTGACCATCACCGATGTCCTGAACTTCTTTCTTCACCCTCAATTTGGCATCTTCTAACCAACCATGTACAGAAACTCTGATTCCATTATAATCCTCCCAGGCTAATAAACACTTTCCAATATTACTTTGAGTGTCTCTTAATAAACTTCTTAATGATTCCAAGCTTGATTTTAACTGTGTGGAATCATTCTTGATTGCATCTCGGCCATCAGGTCCTAATCGATTTAATATGGACTTTCCTTTTTCAATTGCTGATTCAACAAGAGATTCGCCTAAAATTAAAAAATAAAATGTTAACAAGTTTGTTCATCACCTCCTTCTTAAATAACTTATAAATTTGCAAAATTTAATGATATCATCCATCTTATTTAAGGCATCTAAAATAAATTTTATTCAATTTAAAATTAATTTATTTTAATATTTAATACTTTAGTATGAGAGATAAGCAAACCATTTGATAGTTTCCATTCAGCCTTCAGTCATATATAATAAATGTAGTAGATGGTCTCTATTTACTCCTTTATATGACATTGAATGAGGGAGGTATGTATAGGAATGTATGGTTACACTATGATTTGGACTCAATTGTGCAGTGGAAAAATTGTTTAGAGAAAATGTCAAATATATAAACGTTTGACGAAAAAGATACCGAACAAAGAAAGGAAGAAGCCTGGAAAAGTGTCCGGCAGGTGGCAGCAGCTGGAGAGGGACGCTGGGAGAGAGAAGAATAAAGACGACACTTGATTATAAGACTTTTAATAGATTCAATAATTACAGTTTGTTAAAATAAATTATCTTTGTTATACAGAAATGGATGTTCCCTTTTATTTAGTTGCCCTATATGTCTCACAACTAAAGAAGAACAAACCAGGTGAATCAATTCTTTTAAGGTGTATTTGCTCAGTCCAACATTTCATATATATTCTTGTTATTTATTACCACTCAATATCATAAAGGGTTCCCAAATGCCCAACAGCAGTATACACCCTCAAAAAGTTTGTCCAGAGGCAGGGTTTAGTTTTTAAAAATTAAAATTCATGGGTGTAAATAACCAAGATTCCCGACAAAACGGAAAGTTATTTACATACATTTTTAACATGCGGAAAAAAATATAAATTTGATCAATAACTTTTTGACTCTTTTGTAAAAAATTGATAAATTTTTATCCAACTGTTTGTTTTGCATAACTATTGAATCCATATCACATTCTTTACTATTTTAAAAATACAAATAAAAAACTTAACAGCTGAAAATTGATTTAAAGGGCTCAGCACCCAATAAAAGAACTAAACTAAAATGTTGGGCTTCCAAAAGTATTTGAAGAAATAAAATACCTTCTTGGAATGTATTGGATATGTCTTGCAGCTTAGCTGCTTTGGATTTTGTAGCTTCCCTTTCTCCATGGCAGTCGCTGCAACTTTGCACTGAAATTCTAGTCTTTCGGACCCAATCAAATGCTTCACTTTGGTTTGAAAGATAATTATCATAATCCTTAACCTCAGTTTCAAGTTCTTTCAGGGTTGCAGTTACCTGAAAAAGAAATTAAACATTTACCTTGGTCAAGATGATACTAAAAAAAAAATACAAATTTGGAAGAAAATAAATTTACCATATCCTTGAGGTTTTTATAATCTTCTAAACATTTATCAAAATCTTTTCTGGGAATAGTTTCATCATTTTCCAATTTTTGTTGTATTTTTCCAATCTAATTACATAAATAAAAAATCATTATTCCATAATATTTATGTAATTAAAAAATGTTATACAGTCAACTCCTGATTATCTGCAGATTGATTATAGCCTAAACAGCATATGCACAACAGCATATGCACAACAGCATATTGAAATTGAAAAAAATATGATCAATAACAAGCAGAATGGATAAAATAAACAAAAACCATGTACCCGGATGGTTGTTTGTTGTTAAGCGTACATGACTCAATGTAATTATTTAAAGCTGCAATTTTTTTTTTCATTTTTATTCCTTTACATAGAATTATACATTAATAAAAAAAATCTACTTTTTCTTATTGCAAATTAATTTTAATATTTATTTGCATATTTTTAAGAGTAAGCATTCTTTTAATGGCTCTACAATTCTCTTTAACCATAAAAGTTATCGACAAATATCGGTCATTCAAGGCAATCACATCATTTAATTCCACAGATAATCGGAACAGACTAAATCACATTGAAGATGCACATAAAACAAATAATAAAAGGAGTGAAGAAGAATTAATTATAAAAGCAATACCTAAATATATTTTTAAAAATAAAATATAAAAATAATAAACTTTAAATATTTCATTTATTAAAAATAATAAATTTTCAGTCCTTTATAATAACTTACATTATATTAACTTTATAATAAACAAATTTAACTTAAAAAAAATTATTAAAACTCACTAGATCAGACTGATTATTAATCTGCCTCAGTAATCCTTTAAATTTCTCAAGCTCTGCTTTAGTGTCACATATGTCAGATGAATCATTTCTAACAGCCTTCAGTTTCATTTCATTTGTCCATTCTCTCATAGCCGATACCAGTTTATTTACCTCTTCTAACTCACCAGCCCTTGCAGTTAGAAGCTGTCTCAAATTCTATAATAAAATTATTTAAAAAAATAAAGATGTAAATGAAAGACTAAGATAAAAATTAGTGGATCTAGAAGTCGTACTTGAACATCAGTTGTAAGCTTATCAAATTCTTGTTTAAGTGAATCTGTATCTTCCTGAATTTTGGCTACACCGCTCGGTTCAGTATTGAGAATTACTTTTTCTTTAAGTTCTAGAGCATAGCGGAACCTATTTTGCCCCTGTTCGAGGGCTTGTTGTAGGCCTTTTACAACCCCAAGGCGAGAATTAACTTCAGCAATTGAATTCGGCATTTCACTACAAGTAGCAACCTAAAATTTGAAATTAAAAAATTTAATATTTTCTCAAAAAGAATTTATATTTATTTTTGTTGTTTATACAATATTTTGATTACCATATAGTTATAGTTTATTTTGGTATAAATACTTTTGACTGAATTTTTTAAACTAACATTTTCCAACCATGTACACCTATTTATGTTTATATCTAAATATTGTAAACATGCTAATTCAATAATCTTTATTTTTGTCAACCTTCTAATTTAAAATTAAATTAGTAATTTAAATCATATCTTCAATAACATTCACTCTTAAAATGATAATGTAACCTTAACAAATACCTCAATGTTCACATTACCTTCTCTTTGGTTTTTTCAATCCATTGTTGACATTCTTGATAAAGAGAATTATGTTGTTGGTGCTCTTGATAATGGAGTTCTAGTCGTCTCATGACTTCCTTTGCGAGTGATAGCAATGCGTTATACTTAGTAGTCAATTGCATCAAAGCATTCGATACTCGAGTATCGGAACATGTTTCAAGAAGTAGCTGTGAATGAGGAAAGAATAAAAATAAACCTTATAAAAATTACTTTGAATTTACAATAATAAATAATAATATTTATAGTCATTTTTGGATAAAAAATGTGTAGAATTTGGTAGTTATCTTATGTTTTCTAAGTTTTATACAGTTTTTGGAATATTTTTTAAGATTTAGCTTCTTTCAAAAATAAAAATACGGTTAAAGTTGAGCCTTTTGTAGTCACAGCCATGCCAGTTATATACAAATTAGTCTAAACTTTCCTTCAACTGTGATATAAATGCTTCACCCAAAAAGAATAATAATAAACAGGTTACTCAAAATAGCTACCAATCAACTGATTTATAGGATTACCAAAGGTTAAAATACTAGTAAAAAGTTTTTAGTTAGGGTATATATTTTTCAAGATTGTAGGGAGCTGTGAAAATTCCAACAGGAAAATTGTCCACAGTTCTCATTGACATATTTTAAATAACTTCCAGTTATTTTATTCCTCTCCCATTCCAGATAAAATCAAAGTTTTCTGCCTGAATTATTACAAAATTATCAACCAAATAATTGCTATATTTTATCTCAATTTATTTTTCTAGAGAACCATTTTATTTACTAGATAAATTTTGATTGCTGTATATAAAATAAATAATAAAACCAGGGTTAGATATAAAGACAGAAAATTTGAAATATTTTTACCTGAGCTTTCAAGTTGAGGTTGTCTAATTGTTGTTGCCAGCCGAACAAAGTTTGTAAATGGCCTTGAAACAGTTCTAGCATCGTCCTCTTCTCTTCCAGGGTGCTTTGTAACTTATTGAATGATTGGACTGATTCTTCTGTCTGGCTTAACCATTCAACTGCTTCTTTATATTGATCTTCATATTCAGTCCATTTCATAATACCAGTCTAAAAAAATAAAGAAAAAAAAGCTATGAAAACAAATCTAAAATTATTTTTTACAAACCACTTAACAGAGCTTATTATCTGTATTTAATCTATAAATTGTACAAGATTCAAATAATTTGACTTTAAAAATCTTTATTCCATTCAATATCAACTTGGTCAAATGATTTGCCAAACTTTAATAATATAAACAGTGTAATTTTTACTTTTTTTCATGAAACAACAGAAAGCAATCAATAATCTTTTTTATCTCAAAACTTAATTTGGGCAATATTTAAAGGAGGTCTAAAAAATTGTTTTCCTTACCTCAAGAAGATTTTTGGTTGTACCAACTGATTCCACATAACTGTCAAACTCATCTTGAAGCAAAACCACTTCCTCTTCAATTACTTCTTTGTCATCAGCATCGGCTAAAGCACAGGCGACTTCTCCTAACTGAAGTGCCTTCTCTAATTTAGACTGCCCTTCTGGAATTTCATTCTGAAGAATCTAACAAAAAATAAAGCAAATATTGATTGATAAAAAGTACCTTATATAATCTTAATTTTATATTTTTTTGTTAATAAATTTTAAATTGTTTGAGTAAAAATAAAATAAATACCTTCAATTGGGTAAGTTTGTTTGCCAAAGAATCCTTATCCCCCATAGCTTCAGCACATTTGCCAAGCATCTCTTTGGCACCTCTGAGCCAGGTACCAAACTCATTTCCAGCATCAATGAATGCTTGATGGCCTTCTACGGTTTCTCTCTGTTTTTCAAGGAGTTCTTTGGCAGCCTTGGAAAGACTTTCATACTTGACAGTGATTTCAGGAGCTGCTTGTTGAAGATCTTCAGCTTTTGATGTAACTGATTGGATCATAGGTTCAAATGATACAATGTCCTGGACAATGGAGTTGGTCTGCCTTAGAGTTGCTTTTCTCTCAACGATGCTTAGTGATGCCAAACCGGAAGCTTGACCTCTCTTAGCTTTGGATAACTATGCAACAGAAAATATATTATATCTCTGACGGTCTACTCAATTAACAAAATTAAACTAATTGAAATTGTTAGTACCTTTTGTTCACAGACTTCCATCAATTTGGCCTCTCTATCACTGATCCATTGTTGTAATTGAGAATAACTTGAACTATAGTCTGCCCACTGGAGTAGACTCGTTTCTAAATGGACTTTAGCTGTTGAAATCTTCTTGACAAGTCGTTCCCATTCAGCTTGAAGCTCTTTTAATGTATTTGCGATAGCTTCTTTACCATCAGAGCGAGTGGCTCTTAGAACCTTTTCCCCTGAATTCACTGTCGCATGAATAAGACTTTGACCCTCTTCTCTTCTATTGGTCAGTTCCTATTAAGATAAAATAGGAGTATAGATAAAATGACCAGTAAGTTTCAAGTATTATTTGTTTCTACCTGAAAAAATAAACCATTTATAGTTGACAATTGCCTACCTGTATTTTGGCAAGCCTAGCCTGAAGAACATCTTTGGATGCTGTAGCGGCTGAAGTGCTAGATTCTCTGATGATTTCCTTAGCATCATTTAACCAGTCTCTTGCTTTGAGGAGATTTTTTTCATATTCTTCATGTTGCTCACAGTTAGTCTCTACTTTTCTTAATACATCTTTGGCTAGATTAAGTTGCACCTATAAATTTATTTATATTATAATATTGAAATTGTGCAATATAATTTCTGTATTAATTTTCAAGAATTAAAACCAATTCATTTTTCATCTACATTACATTTATATATATATATATATATATATATATATATATATATATATATATATATATATATATATATATATATATATATATATATATATATATATATAATAAAACCTATTATTTAATTCATGGTAAAAAGTATTAATAAGAATAAAACAAAAATACCTCATATCTTGAGTTCAAATGTCTCATTTGATTATTCACATACGTGTCTAGGTGAGATGAAAGTAATGGTGCAGCGATCTGATTAATTTTATCTATTTGTTCTTGTCCTTTTTCTAGTTTTGCCATGATGTTCTGAAACCATTAAAATAATCAATAATTATATTATCTAATTAGATCAATTAACATATAATACAAATACCCATAACTAAAATATTGCATTGTTTTAATAACAGCATTTCTACCTTGACAGTTTCAACTTGTTTTTTCTTTTCTTCAGCAGTTCCAAGAAGAGCAGTCTTTTCAGCCTTCACTAAAATATCCATCTGCTGTAGCCAGTCAGAAATCTTTTCATATTCATCTTTGTAATTCTTCCATTGTATAACCATAGCTTCAAGTTGTTCTTTCTGTGCAAGCACATCTGGAATAAAAGATTCCAAATTATAGGAATGACAACCATCATTGGTTTAGATTAGTTCTACAAATACTTATAAAGAGATTAGGCCATCTATAACAACCTTCTTTTCTGATCACTTATTGCGTCTTTCATATGGAAGGTGGAGGATTAAAGCATTGCTGTCAAATTTTAATTTTAGATTAATACCTTTGAAAAATGACTGGAAGCTTTCTGTTATGGCCTTGACATCATTGTTGATGAGATTAGCACCTTCTGGAGATGTACTTGCAGCGGCTACAGCTCCGCTAGTAACTACTGCTTCAACTAGCAATTCGCCTTGGGCTCTTTTGTTCAGTAACGACTGTAATGGTGCCATAGCATCTTCTAATGCCAACTTATCAGAAAGAGAGCGGGATTTAAGAGATGGAAGTCGCTCCCTAGCACGAGCAAGCCAGGCTGCAAGTTCTTCCATTGCATCCTTAAACCTTCTGTGTTCTTGATATTCAGCTTCTCGTTCATTCATTAAAGTCTGAAACAAAGCATAAGAAATAATAAATAGTTTTAAGGTATATTTATTAAGAGAATATTAGTAAAAAAATATTTCCAGGCTACAAAACGTTAAAGATTAGATTTTTATGTTTTTATTTAAAAAAAAAAAATTAATAATTGATAATGTCCAATCAAACATAACATACAGTAATTAAGTACGGCCTACAATAAACATCTCTCAAATAAAACAAAAATGATAAATTAAAAATTATTTATTTAACTCACTCTAATTTTATCTGCAATATCATCGAATTTCTTCAATATCTCTTGAGCTTGTGTAGCTGCATGGTCTTGCTGACCACTTGCTAACATTTCGGCAGACTTAGCTTTCAGACCATCTACTTCGATTTTTTCACATCTCACTCTTTCTTCGAGAGTCTATATATAAAATGGTAGTTATTAGCATGGACAAATAATTAACAAAAATGTAACTGTAAATTGACTAAACAAGTTTTTATCATTTTATAATTAATACTCAAAAAAATCATATTATGATGACAGAATATATAATAACCTTGTCAAGATAAACATCAGAAACTGCCTTACACTATATAACAGAATGTGAATGTTTTGCTTCACTTAGATACAAGCTTCTGAGCTCCAAATAGAATCTTAGAACTAAATACTTACTCCTTCAGTCCATTTGAAGAACTTAAAAAATTTAGATGGAGGTGAAAGTAATATAAATTAACATTGGCATGATTTTTGGGGTTAGCAAAAAGGACCAATAGGTTCACTTTTCATCCTCCATCTTTATCAGTACCAATAAATCTTGGAAACTAATATGTTTAGAACTGGATAAGTGGATCAGCCAAAAAAAAAAAAAAAAAAAAAAAATATGAAGATCACAACGCAACATTATAACCCATACTAACACAATAGGTATTATAATAATTTAAAATAGCTATCATAAGAAAATATATTAGTTATTTTACCTTTATCTTATCCAGCTGAGTTCTTTTTTCTGAAAATGTTGTCTGATATTCAGAAACAGTTGCGTATGAACTGGTCAGATGTTCAACAGTCTTATTTAGTTGCTGTATCTGCTCCAGGAAACCAGCCCACTTATGAATGCAATCATCAAGAAGGGCCTGAAACAAAATTGTGACAATTTATAAATTGTATAACTAGAAAACACAATAAATAAGAAATATAGGTTGTTTGAAATAAGATAACTCAACCTTAGTATCGACCATTTTCGTAGCTAAATTGCTCCATTCCTGTTGTAAATTTTCAAGAGCGTTATTTATCTCCTCGTGTCCCGATGGAGCTGTATTAACTAGTACACTCTGTCCTAATTCAACACAGCTCTGAACTCTGACAAAACCTTCATCCTTGTAAAGGAGTAAATCCTATAAAAAATATTATAATTATAACATGTAATACATAAATTATAACATACATTATTTATTTATTCATTGCGATATAGACCAATCAAGAAGTTCTTGGCTTTCCTTTTTAATTATAATATATTATTATGTTATATTAAAATAAATAAATATATATATACATACAATATGTTGATTATTTCAATAAGAAAAGATGATTATTAGCCACATGTATTTGTAATAAATGCAAGGCTTTTTTAGCAGGGATTTTAATAAAAATTACAAAACGAGATTTGTATTATGAGTCTGTTTTATGAGACATCAAAGAATTAGAATTAAACAATCTTTTCAAGGATGCTTTAAAGAACATTATTTACAAGTATTTCATAAAATCAGTATGAGATAAAGTAAGATTTATGAAATAATCTGTTTTTTTTTTTTTTTATTCATTCATGAACAAATATGATCCGTATTGATAAAAATGAAATGATTTCTTTTTACCTGAATGAGTTCAACTTTAGTTTCTAAATCTTCTTGAGAGGAAGCACTCAGATCAGAGCAATACTGGAGCCTTGTTTTGATCCCATCCAACCACTGGCAGGCTTCAATGATGCCGCTGTTGAACTCGATGTGTCGTGAAACATACCCTTGCCAACGATTAGTAAGATCCTGAAAATAAATATTATTTTGATTAAAGAACCATTGTTTAAATATCATATTATTAACATTACAATTAAGAATCAAAACGACTAAAAAAAAATATATATATATTCACCTTTACTTTTGCTGATAGCTGTTGGTACTTATGTTGAAGCTCTGTAATGTGTGAGCTTCTAGTACTTGGTTTGTGAAGCTGCTGTGCTTTGTCCGTAACAGCGTCTATTTCAAGTTCTTTTGCCCTGATCTCTCCTTGAAGTGCCTATGGATGTTCAGGAAATAAAAATAAATTTTTCAAGACTGTTTTACTTATACTAGTTAATAATATTTTTAAAACTCTCACTTTTAATAATTCAAGCTGTTCCTTCTTTTCGTCAGCTGTTGCTTTGAGATCAACAGCATGAAGTTTTGTATCCGTCTCTCTCAACCAGGAGAGGCATTGATCTTTCATTTCTTCATATTCAGACCATTGCTGGAGTTTTGATTCAAGTTGATTTATAGTGGACCTGGAAAAGAAGTTATGTTATATTTTCTAAATAAATGATCGGATTGATTACTTTATATCAAGCATTAGTCATAAGTTGTTAAATATAATGAATATATGTAAAATATTGGAAGGGAAGATGAAAAAAATAAAATAAAAAAGGAATATAAAATAATATAAGTATAACATTTTTACTTTGAAAAGTTAAATAAAATTTAAAATCTACTGACTGGATTGCGGAAAGCAGTGAATGCCAATCTTGCTGAGAGGAATCAACCTGCTCTCTTATATTCCCTTGGCCTGATAAATTTGTTCCAGGTAGTACTTTTTCTGCTAGTGCTCTGATTCCTTCTAATCTAGGTTCTTCTTCACGAAGACCGATTTCTAAGTTCTAGAACAATTATAAAAACTTATTGAAAAAATTAACTAAACTATGAAGATTCGTCACTGAGCTATAGGCATCTACAAGGAATAATGAAGAATATGTATAACAAATTAAATAAGAGTTGTTAATTGAAGAGAAGGATGGTTGGGGTGTTGAGTCATATTGAAATGATAAAAAATAAATAATTTTATTTATTTATCTATTTTTGTAATAATAAATAAAATTATTTATTTTTTACCATTTAAATTTTACTCAACACCCTAATCATTCTTCTCTTTAATTATTCACTACAGTCAACCATAAACCCTCAATTATGAGTTCTTAGTTTTACCATCGATTCATTCTGCTAAAAATAAATGTTATAAAAAACAAAACAAATTTTTTTAAAAATCCTTCTTTTAAAATGGAAAATAAAATGATTCAGGCATCCTTAAACACTGTTTCTAGTTAAACACTAAAATAATTTATTAAAAAAGAAAAATTGTTTGATATTTTACCTTTGATAAAAAAATAATAAAATCTCGAGTAAAAAAGGTTGAGTAACAAGTAGAAACATAAAACTGTGTAAGGAACATATTAAAAAAGAAATAAAATTTTAAAACCTCCAGGGATTGCATACAGGTTAGAATATAGAACTCAAATAATGTTAATGAAAATCAATATAAAATTTAGTCAATTTCTTTCATTACAAATAAAAAAATTTATATATCACATGAAAATTAGAAATAATGGAATTAAAATAAAGAAGTATTGTATATCCTTATTGAAGAAAAATTTCATGGGCACCAAATATTTTCCTGCTCTCAGTATTACAAAATCAAACTTAAAATCCTTTAAATTTAATGAACTACCAAAGATTTCTCGATAATGAAAGAGAAACCAACAGTGGAAATTTTTATTGGAAAAAAATTAGGCACCAGATGACCAATAATAAACAACCTAAAAAAAATTTGCCAAACTGTCTAAAATTTGGAAGATCAATTTAATACTTATAATTTATTAAGTTCTTAGTATGTATTGGTAAATATAATTTTAATATATCAATAGTGAATAAATACCTTCAACCGGTCTAAGTTAGTATGAAGTGATACTCTTTCTAAGTCTAGATCTCCCCACAAAAGGACAGTATTGTTGGTAGCTTCGGTCCATTCTTGCATTTCCATTACAGCTTTACAGTATTCTTGATGTGTGTTAACGATGCCTTCATAAGTTTCGACAAATTTCTAAAGAAAGGACAAAACATTAATGACATAAATTTAAACATTTCTCATGATATTTTTTAATATGTAATTTTATTACAGTAACTATAGATGTTATTATTTTTAAAATTAAGTTGTTTTGTTTTAGAATTGCTTCAGTTTTAAATAGATTCTCATGAATAGTGTAAACAAAATATTATTACTGATGAACAACTTTTCCAAATAATTAATAATCAAAAGGAAAAATGCAGACCAGTTTTTAAATAAAGAATTTATGATAACTGTATAATATTAAAATAAAAAGATTGAAGGATAAAAAAAAATTGATTTACGTATATATTTTTTTAAATTAATTTCTTATGCCAGACTTTTTGAAATCAAGAACTGGCTCTATTTATCAATAGATAAATTATGGCAATTAACTTAACAATAAAAACACCGATAATTGCTATTTTCTGCTACTGAATTAAATGAAAAACAATACATAAAATTATATCTACCTGAGCTTTATTTAGTATATCGGAGTGTTGCTTTGTCATTTCCTGAATTCTCTTTTCGATTTCTTGATTTTTTTCAGGCAATGAATCGAAATTATCCCTCAAAGTCACAAGGTCTTGATGGTGAGCATTGGCATCTTGAAGAATAGCCCTGAAAATTTTATTGATTATTATATCCTGTAGGTCTCATTTAAACTATAAAAACTAACCTATCAGTTAGGGGAATAGATATTCAAACAAGCCATTACCTGTATGCTTGGAGTTGCCCCCTCTTTTCATCTAATGTGGCTTTTAGTTCTGGTTCATTGGGCAATAATGACTCCGTCTCTTTCAACCATTTCTGAAGCCTGGCACACCTCTCTTCAATTCCACTCCAACTGAAAAAAAATAATTCATGCATATAATCTGGTAAGTATAATTATTAAAATTACAACAATCTTCATAATATTAGAAATAGTAAGTAAATAGAGTGGTAAATTTAGAGATTTCATGAATATTTAAAGATAACTGGAATTGATAGGTTTATAGATTAATAACTTGTTTCATATAAAAAATATTGGATTACTCAATATTGATTAAAATACAACATAGTCACTTGAAACTTGAATTTTAAATTTTATTCTGTCAACCTAAAATTATAAAAAACAAGAAAAACAGATCCATATTTTAAAATCATGATAAAAATTCATTTTTTACTACCAGATTGGCTCATACACACATAATACATCACTCACTCAAGAAACATAAGATATTTTTATTAAAACAATGTATTTTATTTTCACTAATTATTTAATGTTATGATTATAAGCGAAGTTTACCTTGAAATTCTTGATTTAAGTTGCCTCTCAATGTCTGTTGTGCTATCATACAAAGAATCGAATGAAGTATGCAGCTCTTCAACTTGCAAGCGTACCTAAAATTAAATAATTAAAACTATAATGAGCAAAATATTTACTTTTTGTAAGATAAATGAAATCCTGTATATTTAACAAAACATTACACTGATTTCAGGCTTATTAAAAAATAATGTAATGTAAGAAAACTTCACTTCATTCACTCACTTGATCACGACCATTAACCGCAGTTGTTGAATACAACTTCTCTGCTGCGTCATCGGTCGCATTCATAATTGCAGTTCCGTTTGATTTTGTCTCCAATAAAGAACACAATCTTTCGCTTAGAGGTCCTAATTGATTCTGTGTACTGCCGCTGATTTCTCTCTTTATTTCTTCCAATTCATTCTTCTGAATGTTAAGCCATTCAGATGCTTCTTTAAATTTGGAATTAAATGATTCATGGTCTGTGACTGCTTGTTCACACTTTTTAACCAATTCCTAATTGAACAAAAGAATATGTTGATGAAAATTTAAAAAAATGATATTCTTTACAGTTAATAAAAGTAGATCTGAAAATTAACAATACATTGGTTCAACACTACAGGTTGATAAAGATTAACAAGGGTGAGTACCGTTAATAAATTTAGAATAAGAAAGACTAAATGATTCATTAAAGGAAAAGATTTGTTTTATCTACTTAATAGAATGGATACATTAATCTTGTAATATATTATTGTCAAAGTTCGGTGGAATATAAAATAATATGTTTGAGGATGTGAACTATCTACATTCATTCAGTGAAATTGTTCAGAAAAGAACAAACACTGATATAAAGTTATAGAGTTTTGCCACAACTTTTGATTTTCAAATTAAAAAAAAAATCAATAATAATAGAAGGGAACAAAATTGTTTTGAGTAATTTATGCAGTTCTTTCATTGAATTTTAACTTAGCAAAAAGGTACTAACTAATAATACTTTTTTGCTAAGATAATATTTTTTTCTTAAGGGCATTGAGTTATTTGAGATCTATGAAACACAATCATACCATATATACAATAAAAGAAAAACAAAATTATAACAAAAGGAAAGAAAACTTGGAATAACAGAATAAATCAAACATGAGACAACATTAAATAAAAAATTAAAAACACATTCATACTTATATTATGTAACTGATACATAAGTATGAATGTGTTTTTAAATTTTTATTTAATGTTGTCCCATGTTTGATTTATTCTGTTATTCCAAGTTTTCTTTTTTTTTCTTTTGTTATAATTTTGTTTTTCTTTTATTGTATATACGGTATGGTTGTGTTTCATATATCCCAAATACTCAATGCCCTGATTGAGGCAAAATGTATTTTTTTCTCATTAAAATTAAAAAAAAGAAGTAATGATTATTTATTTATTTACATCATTATTTAATCTGTCATGAGTAGTTAATTTGCTATCTGATAAGTATATTTTTGCAATAAGCAAATCTGTAAACTTCTGGGTAGTGGTTAAGTAAGGACAGCTTCATGATGGAACAAAGTATTTAGGCTAATATGTTCATGTTGTAAGTCAGTATCTTCTGGAAGTTTTTATAGTATTGTGTTGCAGTATAGGAAACCGTTTGGATGTCCATAACGATAATGATGTATTCTTAAAACATGTTGTAATATGGCTGGTTTAAAAAGTATTATGTAACAGATATATAAAGTTATGCATTAATTTAATAAGTAATTTTTCTTACTTTGCATGTACTCTGAATCGACTGAAATCTTGATGTTATCTGTTGAATGCTAACTGATATCTTAGAGTCGCTTGATTGTTCAGCAAGTTCCAACGAGGAATTATTTAACTTCTCTAGATCTTCTTCTTGAGGTCTCATACTTAATAATAGAGACTAGAAAAAAAAATCAAGTTATTAGGTCAATTAAGAAAAAAAAATTTTTGAACAAGTGTGATCTCAGAACCTATCTCTGAACCTAAAATATTTGCACCATCTGCAACATTTGTTTCATTCACAGAGCCTTGATAAACTAGACTATTTTTTGACACTTGGCAGTACAGATTCCTGGTTGGATATAAAAGTGTATTATGGGATAATTTATTTTTTTATCAAAAAGAAATGTTCAAACATCAAAAGATTAACAAATTTTTATCTGTATTACTTGAATTAGAGCAAATTTCTTGCTATCCAAAATTATTTTAGCCACTGTAATCCCTAATGGGGTACTACATGAAAAGAGAATGTATTTGAAAAAATATAGTTACTGTTAAACATTTTTTTTTTACCATACAGATTTTAAAATATCTTCCTCAACTGCCAATGAATAGCCTAAAATGGAGGTACTGATAGAGGTTCTTGAATTCTTGAAGTATTGTTATTCTCATGATTAAGTTTGGTCAGCATAGTACTTATATCACCTGATTCATTACCTGACTGTTGTCATCTACTCAATTTTGAGTGAAGCGAAAATGTGTGCCGAGCGAGAATTTCAGCCATGTTAATTTAATTTCCCCCCGCTCAACTACCCAGTACTAATTGTTTTAATAAATAAAAAGCAATATTCCAATTTCCAAAACAAAGCAATATTCTTCTTTTTCTTTCTCTTGCTCTTGTGCCTTTTAGCATCAGTCCTCAGATCAGAGCCTCAGTACACTTCCTCCACTCATTCCTACCTCCAGTCTTATGTCTTTTCTTTTATTTCGAAGCAATATTTAGAATTTTTAATTCATTACAAATGACTAATGAAGTGTGTTCCGTTTCTTAGTTTTGATTCTACAATTAATTTTTTTTTTTCTTTGCACTTTTCAATATTTTTCCCTGCTTAAGGGAAGTTAATTCTTCATCTAAGGGGAAATTCAAGATAAACAATGTATAAAACAAAAAAGATTTCTGAAAAATAGTTATTAATGATACAAAAAATGTTAATCTGTAGAGAACACACAAGATAAGAAAATATGAGAAAATAAAATACAACATAACATAACATTGGTTTATTGCAAAAAGTATCGAAGTGCTTTTTTTATATTGAATTAAATACTTTCAAAAATATTTTTATGAATTTTACTTTATTTATTGATTTAAAAATACTGTAAGGGCATGAAAATGAAACAACCCCTTTTCATATATCAAATATAGTTACAGTAGGCGCACAATATTCTGATTTCATAAAGAAAAAATTGTACTAAGTTCTTGATTAGTTAAGGTTATTGAAATGTCACTTAGTGACTTTTTACAATAAACTGATGATAAAACTAAATCAACATAAATAAAAACAATAAAATTTATAGCAATCAAACCATCAGCAATGATTGCTGTCTTACTTTTTATGTTCTGATTTTCTTCTACGAATGGCAAATTAAAATTAAAAAACATACATAGACCTAATTTTAAACCTATATCTGAGGATAATGCTATCAGATAATTTTTATAAGCATAAATACTCAAATGATAGGACAACAAAAAAATAGATAAAAGGCATGCAAAAAAAAAAAAAAAAGTAATACAAATAGTGAAGTGAAAAGCTATAGAAAAATCTGATCTTAAACTAGTGAAATAGATGTGAATGTGAAGAAAGAGCTTACTTGAAAGTGATCAAACTACATTTCAGCATGCTCACATTGAAAAAGTGACAGATTTTTTGTTGGGGTGTGTTATAATTTGAAAAATGAAGAAAAAAAACAACAGAAATATCTATAACAAAAAAAAAAAATCCTGTGGCAATGTGTTCTTACTTGTTCTAAATGATCAGCGAGAGAAATGACTTCTGTGATTTCTTTACAGTGAGAGTCGACCACTTTAAGGAGTTCCTGGGAAATTGATTGATCAAGACTGTTTATTTAAACTGGGAATACAGTAATTAAAAATAGAATTTTCAGGTAAAAAAATTTATATTTTTTTGTTTATTTTAAAATTATACAACAAAGTGAACTTCTGAGTAATCGAAATAAAATTTAAGTCTCCCAACTTATCTTTTTTTTTTTTTTTAATTTCAATTCAATATTCAAATCAGAGAAAATTTGTATGGAAGTCTAATGAACATTCTCATCGTAGCAAATCAATTGACATAAGATTTAAAAAATATACCATATTATTATTTGAGAAAAATAAATTGTTTGATTGATAGAATTTTATTATCAGTCAAAGACTGTAAGTTTTATTTAATTTTTTAAACAATGTGGGAGATGAATTAACATTTTGAATATTCTTTAAACAAAAATTGTTGGCTTAAAATTGGATAGTAAGTAAATGAAAAAAATAATGGAAAAGAGAGTTATGAATATGAATTTGACAAAGTCATGGTCATGAGAAAAGAAGGCTTGAAAATGAAATAGTATGGATTACAAAGATGAACCCGCAAAACATGAAAATGAGTATTTAATGAGAAACTTGTCTTAAATGCTGTAGGGATGAACACCGCAAATACTAAACAAGAAATGAAAAGCATGAATCCATTTGTTGGAATATAAAGTCATTATTTAAAAATATTTTAAAAAATATGTACATTTTCAATTGGTATCAAGTATAAAATTAAGATTGTTAAAATTAGTTTTACAGAGGACTTTCACCTTAAAGCATTGAAGAATGAACAAATTATTTAAACTAAATAATGCAATTATGAGGAGAAGGATTTCTGTTCTGAGGCTGGTTTTAATCGTCAAGAAAAAATACAAACATAATATTTATACCTTTAGTCTCAATTTATTAAATTATGTATTTAATAATTTTTTTGATGTATGTTTGATGTAAATTGGGAAATTCCAAATCATCGTTAAAATTATTTAAGCTTTAATCAAGAATTTTCTATTGAAGTGAAGAAATGGACAGGAGGTAGGCTATACAATACCTGCAATACCGAAACGTTATGCGGGTTTAGAGAGACCTAACTACCAACATTCACACGCACCCAAGCTTTTTATTATATAGAAATTTTAATTTGTTAATCATGTTAATATGCTACATCTCATTTTTCCAGACTAAATTGACTGGATTTAAAATTGAAAAAAATATAATGTTTTAGACAAACAATAAATAATAAAGTAAAACTATGATGGGAAAACATGAATGAACCAAAATTCAAAGATTTAATTAATATTGATTAGAAAATACAAATTTTAATAAAACTCAAAGGCGAAATTGATATTCTCTAATTTTTAAAATAAGAAATAATTAATTTTTTTTCAAGAAAAAATATAATTATTAAAAATTAGCAGTGTTGCTATATATTGCTTACATGGTATACACATACTGGTTATGTATACCAATGCCTAAAGCTGTACTATATACAAAAATTACTTTTTCTAATCAAATTTTTGTTGTTTTTTCCATAATCAGAGAGATACTACATGTTAACTAAAGCACCTAACATAAATTATTGAATGACATTATTGTTGGTCAATACATGATGACAATACAAATTTCTATTTTGGGCTAGCTTATTCTTAAAGAAGGAAGCAAACTTCAATGAAGAACACGAGAGTTGCGAAATAATATGAATCAATAACTCCAGGCCTATTTATAAGTACCTATACATTAATTATATATATATACACATTTTTTAATGTCCCTAAATGATATTCTCAATTAAAATACAGGAAATATAATATGATTATGAAGACGAATATCGAAATAATGTAAAACATAAAATTGAACTATTACCTGATATTTGGCCAAATTGGAATGTTTTTCAGAGAGTGTTGATACAGGAGTGTAGCTTTTCAAGCTCAATTCAGCTTCTTCCATCCAAGTCTGAAGTTTCTCCAGTGAAGTTTGATATTCAGTCCATTGGTTCATACGGCTCTCTAGTTCCTGTATGACATCACTGACACCCAAAGTGATTTTATCAAATGAAAACCTGAAATAATTATACCAAATAATGAATTCGAAGTCACTGTATGATTGATAATAATTATTCTTTAAAATATTTGTTCATTGACTGCTTACTTGAGGTTAGTTACATCTCTATCCATTGCTTCTTTAGCTCTTACAGGTATCTTTGATTTATTTTGATTGACATGGTCTTCGATTCCCTTCAATTGCACAGTTCCTTCTATCAAATTATCTTTTATTTCCAAAACTTTACTCAATCGAGACTGGAGCATACTACGGTTGCCACTGTAATCTGCAATGATATAATATTGCTTAAGATTGAAAGAAATAATAATTAAAAAACTAGAGATTTGACTATTTTTTATAATAAAAATTCATTTTTTATAAAACTATTAACATTTGCCTAAAACTTTGTAAATAGCTTCATCTAATCGTAACATACAAATATTTAATTTACGAAAATTCTCGGAATTGGGCATTTTCAATCTGGAGCTTGGCAAACTTTGTCAATTTAATTAAGTACTAAAAACTCACGAATACCCATTTGCTTTCCACTTGAATCGTAAGATAATATGATCACAAAGTTGAAAAAATAGGTGGCATAGAAAAATATTGGTCCGTTTGGCATGACTTCCATCTCCAAAAAGTTAAAATAATGAGGTTATATAGGCCAAATGCTCCAATACTTTTGTAGGCCACCTTTTTTTCGATTTCATGATCACATTATCTTACAATTCAAGAAAAAAGCGAATGGGTATTTACGAGTTTTTAGTACCTAATTAAATAGACAAAGTTTGCCAATCTCCAGATTGAAAACACCCAAATTCGGAGACTTTTTATAAATCAAATATTTGTAGGTTATGATGAGATGAAACTATTTACAAAGTTTCAGGCAGATGTTGATAATTTGATAAACAGGGGTCTCTACCTAGTACTAAATTGTTTTAACTTTAAAATAATGATCAATCACCGTTTAGAGCAGGGGTTCCTAAACTAACCATTGCTAGCATGCAAGAACATCTTAGATATTATGAGAGCAAGCATGAAAAATCATGGAAAAAAATATCTTTTTAATATGTTCAATGAGAGATAAACATTTTTTAAAAATAATTACTGGATATATCAATTATAAAATAAACATGATCTAAAATTAATAATGATCTGCAACAATAGTTACAGTAGTATAGATGAGAGCACGCAGTGCTAAAGAAGATTTCGGAATCAATTTGATCTTGAAGCATAGCATTGATGCTCTGATTGCAAATAATTCTCTCAAATAAAAATACTTTATTTTTGTTGGATATACTTTTATTTTCAAACAGTTTCATATTATTGCTGTTACGTAAAATTGACAAAATTTTGATTTCAGATGTTTGAACTTTATTTGATATTTGTTATTTCTTATACAAATTTAGTATAATATATATTATTTCATAAGTTAAATGAACTGCTGTAAATATTGTTATTATTTATTTAACAAAATGGCCATTCAATACTAATATAAGATATCGGGAGGTACACTGTGACATTAAAAAGTTTTAAAACCCCTGATATTAGGAATAAATGTTTTCTAAAGGACAACTGGAAAATGGATACAATATTTAATTGAAAGATTTTGTGCCGTATGAACACAGCATTTAATAAAGGTTTTAAAAAAAGAAGATTTCCTTGATTGACTCTTTCAAATAACAATAACCAATAAGTAATAAAATAATGAATAAAACAATAATAAGTAATACAAAATTGGATATTTTATAATTATATAACACGTTTTATCAATTATGATATACATATAAAAAATTTACCAGTACAGGTTGCAAGTCTATCTTTAATTTGATTCTGGAAATCTAAATGCTGTTTTTGAAGATCACTGAAAACTTGGACAGCATCAGAGTATTCCTCAAGCTGTGTGATAGAACCAAGAAGTTGATCTATTAGACTTTCATAACGAGGGCTGAGAGTCTTTAATTCTGGTGTTTCATCACCGACAGCAGCAGCCTTCTCCAAGACACTTTCAATTATTCTTTTATGAGAAAATACCTCTTGTAAGGAAGCCTGAAATATGTAAGGTTTATTTAATGATTTCCTAGTGAATTCTCTCTTTATAGATTTAGTCATATATATAATAAATCTAAAACCTTTAATTTTTTATTGACTAAATATTTTGTAATAGATGTAAAGGCTTACTTACCTTCTGGCGAAGAAGTTTTGATCTGATATCATTTGGAGATGTCAATGTGAAAATGCTGTCATGTTTCAGGTGCTTCTCCATCTGATCGAGCCAAGATAGAACCTGCGCCAAACTTTCCTGATAAGTATTCCACTGCAAAGATTGTGCATCGACTAACTTCTGTTGAGCTTTCACTCCTTCCTCGAGTGCTTCCCATCTTAAAATCAAAGTATAGTATATATAAGAAAAAATGAGATAAATAAAATCAATTTTTTTAATGTATTTCCATTAAATTACTAAAGAATTTTGAAGTTTAAAAAATGATTTCAAAGGCTCAGCATTATTCTACATGTAAAGTTTTTTTTTTTTACCTTGAACGTATTTTCCTCAACTGCTGCCTAATTATTTCTCTTCCGTTTGCTGCTGTGTCCGGATGTAGCCTATCGCCAACCGCTCCCAAATTGGAAAGTCTGCTATGACCCTGTTCGATCTCAGTAGCAAGACCTTTCAATAAACCTGATTTTTTAGCTAGTCCTTCGGCAACTTCTACATTTTTAAGTCTTTCTTCTAAGCCTTCCAGCCAATTATCCGTTTCAGTTAATTTGGAATTGAATGTTTTGTGATCTTCAACAACACTCTGGCAGCGATTTATAACTTCTTTGCTCAAAACATGAAGCAACTGATATCTGGAAGAAAGTCAGAAAAAAATATTACTCTCTGGGAGATAATAGATAGGAAAGAAAGAGAAGTTTTATTTTAATCAAAATTAAACTCTCTTTTTAATATTATGTTATATTAATATATTAAATTTAAATTATCTAGATATAACAATTTTTTTTAAATATTTTTATTTCTTGTTCATATAATGATTAACAGATAGGTAAAATTTATAGGATGGAAATAAATATTACACCAATTACCTATTGCTAATTTGAGAAATCAGTGGTTTTATACGATCCACCCCGCTGGAAGACAATAAAGCATTAGAGTCATCAACAAAAGAATCAATTTTAACCTCGTGATCAGTTATTTCATCACGCATTTTCTTATACGATTCCAACTGTTCCTGTTTCTCTTCAAGAGTAGCTCTCGGTTGCTGATTTCTAAATGCTGCTTCAACAGTGCGGAACCATTTGGTATGGTTTTCGAGCTCTTCTTCAAACCTCAACCACTGCGCTATGGTAGCTTCAAGATTTTTCTCTATGTTACCTATTTTACAAAGAAATATTTTTATATTACAGTAATTTGTTATCAATGAACAGCAATTAATATTTAATTACTGTTCAATATATATCTTAATCAGCAATAAATTTAATAAAAAATTAATACTTACTAGCGTAATCAATAAGTTTTTCATGATTGGTTTCTAACTTATTCCTCTCTTTATCAATCAATGATTGTCCTTTTTTAGTTGTTGCCTTCCTAATGACACATGCTAAGGACTTGAGTTCAGTTTGTTTTGAATTTCCTTCCACTAATTCTCCTTTTAAAATCTGTAACAAACACATAAATCATATCTAAGTACACATTAAATATTTAACCACGACAGATTTTAGCTAAACTTTCAGCAATTCCTACCTTGACATGTTCCAATCTCTTCTGAAGATCAGGCTTTTCTCCAGTGCAGTCATCACATTGGTTTAGTTTTCCTTTTTCACTTTCGATCCAATCCCTTAAGTTCTGACATTTTACACAAAATTCATTATGGTTTTCTACATTAGTCTCCAAGTTCCCGAGAAGTTCCTTAAAATAAAAAAAAATAAAAATGTCAGATCTACAATAATTATCTTAGTACCTTCATTGTGATGAACTATAATCTCTTTCATCATACCTGAGATTTAGAAACAATGTTATCGAACAGTTCTTGTATCGATGTCAGAAAAACATTAAGAGTTGTATCTTTGGTTTGATCTACTAAATTTTTAGCTTTATCACAAACAGATGTAATAAGTGGATGGTTTCCCAAAATGTCTTGATGCATAATTTTGTGATTCTGAAACATTTCAAAAAATTAATAATTCTAATAAATATAAAAATAAACGATATTTTAGGTGGCTTATTACGATAAAGTTTTGAAATTATTACTATATATATTTATTATGAAGAAATGAAAAGACACTAAAATATGTTTGAATTTAAATAAAATTGAGCTTGTGAGATCAGTGTGGACGCTAATTTTTTCATCAGGAAAAATAAAATAAACTCATAAGGATTTTATATCAACTTTAGTGAAAGGTTTTAAGACTTTTTTCAGTTAATAAACTTTCTGAACTTCAAGAATTGATTATAAGTTCAACAACTGACTATATTGTCATCATTTAAATTATTTTTTAAAACAAAAGGAGCTTTAGGACTGGAGAGAAAAATTCAAAAGGTAAAAAAAAAATGTTATTGAAATAATTTTTTTTTTACTTTTAATTTGAAAAAAAAATTAAAATACCCCTAATAGATAAAAAATAAGCTCAACAGTATTTCTTTTTTCTCTTATCGTTCATTAGAAGAAGAGGAAAAAAATTACTTGTATCCTCTACAGCCATTACCTAAGAGTCTGAACTTTTCTAAAATAGTTCTCTCATAAATTCAACATAGCTCATTTCTTTTCCAAACAGAAATTTGTTTGATTAAAGCATTTTTTTGTTAATTTAATTTAAAAGTAACAATATCTAAGACTGTTGATTGAATTAAAGTATTGAATAAAAAATATTAAATAATATTTACCTGCAGTTGGGCTTTCTTTTCTTGCAATGTTCCTTTTAATTCAGTGTGTGCTTGCATAGCCTTTTCTACTTCTTTAAGCCACTTTGTCAGTTGTTCTTGACTCAAGGTGAATTCTGCAAATTGCACAAGGCACTGTTCCAAAATTTGCAATGATTCCTGTAAATTTTCTGAGAGAGCTTCCCATAAACTTCTTAAATCTCTGTAATAAAGATCAGTGAAACAAATCAGTTATTTTAATATTCTAAATTATGTAGCAGTAAGCATTCAATAAGAAAAAAATACAGTTCATACCGAAGCTGCTGTCTTATTATTTCTCTTCCATCAGGAGAAGTGTGGCTGTATAATTTTTCTCCTAAATCTAAAATACTTTCATATTTTCCACTCTCTCTCGACTTCAGATCGGATAAGTCTCGCACCTTCTTTTGTTTTTCCTACAATTTTGATTTATTTTTTTTAAATATTCATTATTTTAAAACTCATTATAATAATAATAAAAATATGATCTTACTTGTAATGCATTCAAATCGCCAACTATCTGGTTGTGTTGTTTTAATTCTTCATGAGCAGAGTTCAACTTGTCAAGGAAGTCTTTATAGGCTGTATCAAAAGCTAAATGCTCTTTGGCGTATTGTTCATACCGAAGAAGCATTTCCTAAAATAAATAAAACGCAATTAATCAAAATGGTCATTTCACAACCATTTGTTTCATCAATACCAGAACCTCTTATTTCTACTACATTAAGAGAAGAATTTTGTATAAATAATTAATGCATGTTTTATTGTTATTATTTTATATCTTGATATTATTCTGCATTTATAAGCAGAAAACAGGAAAGTTAATTTGTTATTCATCATTACTGAAAATTAACAGACATTTTTTTCTAACTTTTTCGGTTTCATTTGGTAAGTTCTTCCCTCTCTCTATTAAAAATATATGAATAAATAATAGTCAACTTATATTCTGAATACAAGGTTACATAATGAATTGGTTTTATTTTGGTATGGAATCAAAGTTTAGGTAAATGTTCCATGAAAATATTTTTAATCTTCTTAAGAATGTCTATATCTCAACAAATGTTAAGAATGTTAAATGTTTTTGGGAGGAAATTAGCAATTATGGTCTTTTAAAAATCTTGCTTCCATTTAAGTATTAATAGAAGCAAGTTTTTCTAGTTAAATTATTGTTCATTGTGATATAATCCTTAATTTATTAACCATGCTATACTCCTAAAATTTTGGCTTTTACTTCAGATAACTATAAGAGGTTAGTTGTTCATAGAAAAAGATAAACCTGTCTGATACAGAAAGCAGTGTTTATTATAAAAATAACAACAATTCTTCTCAACAAGATAATTTAAAAAAAGAATATTAGGGGAGAGCAGGGGTGGTTGGCAACACTGTTCACATTTTGATTTTCATACAAAATATGGTTGACATTTGTGAATGTTCTTTGAATACTATATTGATGATACATATCATATTTTTTTTTCACATATTCATGCAAAGTGCTGAGCTCATAAAAGAAACAAAAAGTAAAGGTTTACCAACCAATTACTTAGGGGTCCGTTGAAATTGTTTGGAAAACTCTCATATAATACTGGTATGGTGTAGGAACAAAAATAATAAATGTGTAGAAATTAAACAAATTTAACATGTGAACTTTTTTTTTTTTTTTTGCTTTAGGAAGGCCATTTCTCTATATTTTATTTTTTACATCCCAATCTATTATTCTATTATTATTATTATTATTCTATTATACTATTATTCTTCACATCTTTTTTCTTTAGGTCTAACATTAAAATCCACATTTGTAACAAAGTAATTTAATTTATAAAATTAACATATTGACCAACCCTCATAATGAGAATAAAAATCAGTTGGCCAACCTATAAGCTCTCCCCTATTATATAAGTTTGATCAAAAATGCAAAGTGATTAATAAAAGAAAATCAATTAATTCTTTTTTATTAATTATATTAATATCTTAATTCATTATTTTTATTATCAAAAATTAATTTTAAATCTAACCTTTGATTGATTCTTAAGTGCTTGATATCTCAAAGCTGTTTTTGAAACTCTATCAGCCAGTTCAGCATCAGCTTCAACCGATGATGAAACAAGAGAAGAGAACTCATCAGCTTTATTTTTCACTTCTTCATCTAGAGACTTGAGTTTTTCTAAATGAGCCTGCTTAGCAGCATAAGTACTTTTCAGGCTTTGATCTTTTACTTGCATTTCTTTCGTCTGAACCCATTTAGTCAGCTCTTCTAAATCTTTAATTAATTTATCCCATTTATTACAAAGTTGTTTTAGCTTGGCCACATTATTCGAGCAGCGATTAAGGAAGAGCCTCCATGCCTCCTTGTGTTCCTCAAGCTCTGAAATAATGCCTTCATGGCCTACTTGATCTGTTTCCTTCAATACAGTTTCGAGTAATAGGTCGCAGGTCTGTATTAGACCTTCTCCATCATTTTTATGGGAAAGAAGATTTTCAATTATTACAAGCTTTCCTTCATTACCATCTTTATCAGAAATAGCTTCTTCGCTAATGAGGATTCGAAGGAAATCTCGTGATTTTTCCAATGCTGCAAGAAAATTTTCATGATTCGAAACATACTTTTCAGAAGTGCCAACTAATTCATTAGATTTTTCTAAAAGGGAATTGTATTTCACTAAAATTTCATTTAATTTGACACCAGATTCTTCGTCTGAGAAAGCCCCCGCTTTTTCTTCTAATTGTTTGAATATATTCTGGTGAGTAATGATATCTTGTTGCAAGTTGCGATAGTGATGAAGCGCAATTTTCTTGTCTTGTAAATTAGGTTGTAATGAATGATATTCATTCACTTTCTTTTCAGTATCGGAAAGCCATTGAAGAAGTTGGGCAAAGCAGTCGTCAAATGAATTTCTTTTCAATAGAGCACCTTCGATGGTTTTAGAAATAGCGTTGGCTTGATCAATTAAAGCTTCTGAAGAATCTCTAAGATTCCTTAGTTCATTTCTTATAACTTCTCGATTGTCAGGGGTTATTTCAACAAACAAAGCCTCGCCAGACTGAATGGCATTGTTTAAAAGGGCTTGTCCTTTATCACGATCACTATTGAAAGATTTCAAGTCTTGAAGAAGTTCTTTGTAAATTTGTGTGGTGACGCGGGATTTAAGCCGTTCTTTAATACTATCCAAACTGCTGCTAGAACTACTGATCCAATTCTGAGCAGCTATCAGAGCATCATGGTACAAATCATAATTACTTTTTACCGAATTCAACCTGTCACTGTAACTTGATACTGATTTCAATATTGTTTGATATTTTGACTTGAGAGCAGTGATTTGATGACTAGTTCTTGTATTATCACAATTTTCTCCTAACTGTTTGTTTACTTCGTCTATTTCAGACAGCAAAGGTTCGATTTTATCCAGCTGTTTCTTGATGGGTTCTAACTCTCTAATTTTGGTCGATATAGTACACAGGTCGGTATGAGTTAGACTTTGAGCCTTAACATTATTTTCTACTTCTCTGAGCCAGTTATTTAATTTATCAAACTTATGCTCGAAGTTTTCCCATAGAGATAAAAGTTGTTTTAAGTTTTCATGACATTTAGCATAGTCTCTATTGGTTTCTTCTAAGATACTAGAAAGTTGCTGTTGCTCTGTTTGAAAATGTTCACCCTCTTTTCCGCAACCGACATCCATCAGCATTTGCAAAGAAATTTGAAGATTATTTTTGCAATCATTACATTCTTTTAATCCAGGTTCCATATCTGAAAGAGAAGATAATTTTGCTTCCAAACCATTCCTATCATTTTCAATCTCTGGGATGCACCAGATAATTTTTTCCTTGTAATTGGAAACAGACCTTTTTAAGGCAGAAAGCTTTTCATTATGATATTTAATTAAAAAGTTCATAAGATTGGACTCGACTTTATCGGCTTGTAATGCAATATCTGCATATCGTTTTTGAAGAACAGAGATTTCTTTTCCAATGACAGGGTTAGAAAAGTTGGGATAATCTTTTGTAATATCGTGAAACTCGCTTTCAATTGCACATACATCAAATTCTTTTAATGAATCTTTCAAAGAACGACAAAGTTTCAACCTTTCTAAAATGACTGGAATTTCACCATTCAAATTATCACATTTGGCAATTTTCTCTCGAATATTACTAATTTTATTATTTGCTTGTTTTACCATATCTTTTACTTTATTTTCACTTTCAGAATAAGATTTCATATTATTATTAATTTGACTGTAGAGTTTTTCAACTGAATCGAATTTTCCTTGAATCATAGTTTCCACCGACTGGATATTAGGAACATACTCGATATCATAACATTGAGCAAGCTGTTTACCTTTTTCAGAAATGTTTTCTTTAAGCTGTTTGTATTCTGGATATTCATTTTCATAAAGACGCATTATTATATTCACTGATTCCGTATCAGAGGGTGAATCTATGCAACTTTGTAAGGACTGATGCATATTGTCTAACCAGTCACATAATTTTTCCTTGACTTCTTCAACTTGTTTCCATATGACTGCTTGGGATTCCAGATCTTGAAGCTTTGCCATAGTATTATCAGCTGTTTCCTTCCAATCTGCTTTTAGTTTTGAAAGGTTATTTTCTACATCAGTTGTGCTGAAATTGGGCAATGTTTTAGCATACTTCCTTATCATTTGAAGTTTATTTTCCATCCTGCTGATGACAACTTTGGTATCGTCTAGTGTGTCTAAAGCTTTGCGACACTTATCGTAGGACGTAGCAGTAGATGCTAGGTCACTTGGAACTGCCATGCCTTCGATAGTCATTTTAACACTTTCTATTGAATCATGGCAATTTTCCTGCATGTTCTTGAAGTCATTCCAAGCATTAAGCATATCATTAAGAACTATCTTATATTCCTTAATTCTGTCAGAAACTTTGTCCCAGTTCAAATCTATGGATGCTAGAATATTTTGAATGGTTGCAGCATTTTTCTTATCTTCATTTAATAAGATATGCCCTTTATTAAACAACTGTTCTTTCTCAACTGTATTAGCTTTATGTTTTTCATTTATATCATCAAGAACTTTTATAGATTCTTCAAGCTGAGAACAATTTGACGGTGCTAAGAATAATTCTTCGATAGCGCTCTGTGAATTCAAAATTTCGGAAGACAAATGTTCCTGATTTTCCTGGAAACTGTGCCACAGTTCACCTAATTTGTTGGCCATTTCTTTTTTCGAGTCCAATTGTGCTCTAAAAAATAAAAATAAATGTTAGACAATTATTTTATTGGGTAAGAGTACATGACATTCATGCAAAAATAATAAAAAGTACGATATTAATTTGTATTTGTGCCCAATTGAGACATGTTCTCAGGCCTGCCTTAAGCAAAATAGTAAAAAGATTGGACTAAAATTGTTGGAAAAAATCATAGAAAAAATGTACTAAAAATTCTGCCAGTGTGGGAGAATGACTCATAAGGTTTATATAGATAAGATGATATTAATAGGGTATATAAAAAAAAAAAATGACTGTTTTTCAACCAAATATTTGTATTATTATTTCTTTGATATAAAAACAATCGATACTCAAAGTATAGTCCATTGTTATCTACCGTCATTAGCCATCTGCTAGCCAATTGCTCGATTCAACGCTGATACCATTGTTCGGGATGGCTGTCAAAGAACTCTTGTACTACAAATTCAACTTCAACAAAATTATCAAATTGTTTCCCTTGAAGAAAATTGGCCATGGATCTAAATAATTCAGGCAAGGGTTTTTCAATAAATTTTTAACCTCTAAGCTGATTGCTGAGGAGTAAGTTAGTGAGGGACCAGCCTACTGCTCTTTTCACCTTCCCCATGGAGAGTAGATCTACTAGATAAACAGTATCTTTCGACACACTACACTCCCTGGTAAGTTCGCGAGTACTTGTGGATGGATTTGCCCCACAACAGCTTCCTGCAGAACCTAATCAATATCCATTAATGGTCGCCCGGAGCCCGTCTTTCTTTCCAACATCGTATCACCACTGCTGAATTTTCAAACCAACGCCGCACAGTGCACTAGTCAAGTATACCTTCCCCTTCATATTTAATAATTTCACAAGTTGTTTCAGCGGTTGTGAAATTTTTTTTCCAATAATGCCTTAAAATTACGAGAATTTTGTAGGACACTGTCATGTTTCTTCTTTGAAACAAATAAATAAACTGAAGCTTTTTTTGAAGAAGTCAAATGGGATTAAACAAGCTCAGAGAATGATCTAAAGGGATTATTAATTATTGAATAGAATTAAAATATTTACAGTTCTTTGAAATCTTGAATTTTATAAAACAGTGATTTATTTTTATACACCCTTTTGTAAAAGATCTTAAATACTATGTTAAATATATATAAATCTTATTTCAATCATCATAATCTAATTTATAAGATAATATATGTGTATATTTCTTACCTTATACGATGGACTTTATTAAAAAGTTCTTTAATAATTTCTGAAGGCATTGGATGAATGACAGTAACTTTGGACTCATGTATAAGGTGTTCAACTGTATTAGCAGCATCGCTCCACGCAGCTAATTCCTCTTCAACACTTTTTAGTTTTTTCTCAACTTCCTGTAAAGGGCAATTGGTCTCCAATTGATGGGAAATATGATCAATAACTTCAGCTCCAGATTTAACCCATAAAATGACTTCACGCCATTTTTCTACAACTCCTCTCTGAAGTTCAACTTTCATCATTAAATCCTAAGGGAGAAAAAAAAAAGCTTTTAAAATATAGGCATCAATTAATGAAAATGTTCAGAATCTGAACAGATTTTTTTATTTTTACGAAAATATATATTGTTTAATGATTGAAATGATTAAAATTATGTCAGAGTGAAAATCTTCTCCTATCTCTAAACCAACTAAAAATATAATTTTCAAAATTTAAATAATAAGATTTATTCTTCATGTATATTTTTTTATTATTCTCTTTAATGACCTCAGACTTATTTGCGATGGTCCTCCTCTCTTGCATGATAAGAGGCCCATCACAATTATATCTGAGGTATGTCTGATGAGCGTAACCTGTCATGGAAGAGAATAATAAAAAAATATACAGGAAGACAATGTCTGTTTATTTAAATTGATGAACTCCTCTAACTCCTCTAACCTTCCTCGCCTTTTAGGCCATACAGAGTTTTTTTCTGGCCAGGGGAGAGGGCGGAGGAATTATGTCAAAATCACAATTCCTTCTGGCCCTGGTATTTGAACTCTTAATCTTCGGTCTATCATTTGGTTGCATGGCATCACGAATTTTACACTTGTTAGACTGCTCGGCCACCCCACCCTCTGCCCACCTGGGACTGCTGGCAGTTGAATACTGCTTTGAGCTAATTGAATAACACAGAATATTTTTTGTTGGATCTGTTTGGCAATGAAAGTATGGCGTCATCTCCCTACTGCTCCATCTCGACAACCCCAGAAAGAGTCTGACTGTAATCAGCAAAGTGGTTCCCAGTTGTTCCAAAGTATCTTCCCCATCAAAAAAGTTCTAACAACAAATTAAGTAATGCAAGGAGAATTGGCTATTAAAGTGAGCAGTTTTGATGAAATACATAAAAAGTAATGGTTGCTAGTAATGGTAAGTAGTCACTAGTCACTACCAGCAGCTATAGTGGGCAGTTTCAACAAAATTCTCCTTTAAGAAGGAAATGGACCTACCATTTTTCAATTTAACAAATATGTCATGGAAGAGCAAATAAAAAATACCAACCTGATATTTACTCAACAGATTTTCATAATTTGGAATCAAATGTTCTGCTTTATGAATTCGTTCTCCAACATCAGTCAGTAGTGGTTGTTTTTCTGCGTGCTCCTGTAAGAACATATGGTACATTTCTAGCACACTATTGACAGTTTCTGGAGAAACTTCTGCTTCTAGTACATTTTCGTTTTCAATGACCCATAGCTCAGCTGACTTAAGATCATTGTTCAAATCTTCCCTAAAGAAAAAGAAGAGATTTTTAATAGATCAGAAACTAAATAAGAAGTTTCATATATTATAATCAAATGTGAAATAATAATCATAGATACAATTAACATTTTATTGACAAACCTAGCAATGCTCATTTCAGCCAATAGATTTGCTTTCTGATTAATAGCATTTGAAATAGACACAGCTACGGCTTTGAGCTCTCCAACTTTTGTCTTAACAAAAGTGGCTCCTTCAACCGCTAATCCTGAAGCAATCACGTCAGCAGCTTGTCCAAGTTTAGTGATATTAGATTGGCCTTGCAAAAGTTCTTCTTTCAATTCCTGCCAACGAAAGCATTATGTTCAACTTCAAACATATAAACAATTAGTAAATAAATCATATTTAATACTTTCAAATTGATTGGAAATGAAATATAAATGTAACTGACTAATTTATTTATTATTTATTAAAGGCTATTATCTAAGGAAAAGTTAACGGGGAGAGGAGGAGAGTGCGGTCAACAATAACACATAAATTGGTACAAGATATCATACACAAGCTACAGATCTATTTTAGGAAATGAGAAATGATAAATAGTAAATGGAGTGAGTATAAACAGAGTAATATAAAAGACAACATAAATGGATTGTAAATGGTTAACAATGATACATAAGTCAATTGAAATGAATATTAAAACTGATAGAAATACAATTAAAAATATATATATTGTATTTTTATCAGTTGTATTATGCATTTCAATTCACTATATATCATTGCTTACCATTTGAAATTTCACCTATGTTGTCTTCTATTTTACTTTGCTTATACTCATTTCATTTATTATTTATCATTTTTCAACACTAAAATAGATCTTTAACTTGTATCTTGCACCAATTTAAAATCAACTCATATTATATTTTGTTTGTACCTTGTACCAACTAATAGTAATTTTTTGTATATTGTTCTTTTTAGCCCTGGTGATCTAAAACGTAAGTCATAAAATAAATATTATACCAACATAGTGTGTTTGATTGTGGACAACACCACCTCTTTTCCTCTCTGTGACAAACTATTCCTCAAATTAGAAGTATGATCAATGATTTCTGTACCATTATTGGCTATTATCATATGATGCACAAAAAAAAATAAAAAATAAAAAAAAATAGAGGAAATGGTGCATCATGTAATATTTCAAAATTTTTCTTAAGAAATAATGGTTCAATAATGTTTTCGTTACTTTTAATTTCATTAGCTGCATTTCAATGGGACCATCTTCCTCCCTGGGCTCAGGGTTTTGCAAAATAGCCTGGAAAACCGGTGAATGAAGCCAATCATGTATCTGACCAGCTGTTGCCTCCATTTCTGACCATGCTGCAACTAGCTTCTCCATCTTTTCTGCTCTTGCTCTCGCTGTGGACTCCAGAGCTGTCCATCGAGAAACATAAATATCAACTGTATTGATAGCAAGGCTCTCCGGTGGAAGCGTTCCCATCAACTGAGACATTTCATCGAGTACTTGTTTCTTTTCAGTACATTCTTTCAGGAAGAGCTTAAAAAAAAAAGAAGAAATAAATAAAATTTTTACAAGGTAAAACAAAAACCATAATTATAAATTTTACTGGCTAATTTAAGATGCAATTTTCCCCCACAAAAATTGAATTTGTAAAACGAGGTGTGTCGGTAACTCAATGGTGTCTCGAATTTTAGGTCTGAATTTGTACCATTGAGACTGTAGCTGGGAACATCCTTTTTACTAATTATAGGTTGAGAGTGTAACGATTCATTTCTCAGTCTGTTGCAAATTAAATATTAATTAACCCTGCATTCCGAACTGGGCACTTTAACTTCATCAATACAAAACTTAGATATATGTACAGATTATGTAGTTTTGAAAATAAAATTAAACTAAAGGAAAAGTTGTTAATAAACAAAAATTCATTAAAATATTTGTCAAGTGTGTTTTTTATTGTAAATTCTGTTGATTCTGGACTTTTAGCGATTAAGGTAGGATCAGATTAACTACAATTGGACAATGTTGTACCAATTACATGGGAATAAAATATAAGTATATTAGGCCAATTCATGCAACCCTTTATATAATTCAATCCATTTCTTTTTATGTCAAGTTAACCACAAATTCATAGTGAATACAGAATATTTTACTAGAATATTAGACATTGATTAGGTACCTTGGCTTGCTGCAGCTGTTCTTTGGCGTCATCCAAAACAATTGGTTTAGGAATGCCCATACTAGTTTCCACTTCGACTTTTTCTAGCCAAGGTTTAATCTTAGCAGATGACACTTCAAATTTCTGCAATGCTATTGTGCCTCGTTCCAATTCTTGTTTTTCAAAAGCTATGGCTTTTTCTATAGCTGCTACAGTGTCGTCAACATCGTTCAGTTCTACCATAACAGCTTTACTTCCTTGAATTTCTGCTTTGTTACCTGTACAGTCAATATGAGTAACTTTTTAATATATCATAAAATAAAAACTTATCATCTTGTAATAGTGCCTAAAATTTATTAAATTTTAAAATAATAATCTTTTCATAATTCATGATGATATTTTGATACAACTAAATAAAAAATTAATAATAATATTAATACCTCTAAGTAAAACATTGGCAGTTTTCTTCAGTTGTTCCAAATTTTGTCTGGACAGCTGAGCTTGTTGAAGTATTTCAGTAGATTTTACGATACGTTCTTCTGGAGCAAGGCCAATTGATAAACTTCCGATTGAAACAGGAGCTGTTTCAACAGCCCAGCTCTTAACTTTTCTAACACCAGTTTCATATTCTATCCAGTTTGAAACTTCCTTTTGTAACTCATCCACTTTGATTTCAGCTTCCTCCAAAGTTCCTTGCAATTTTTTCTCCAACTCTCTTACCTTAAATTAACAGGAGTAACAAACATAAAATCAACTAAAATTAAATCAACAAATATAAAATTAATAATAAAAAAAAAAAAAAAAAACCTGTACCACTAACAACCCATGAAGGGTGGTTATAGGTTGAGTACAATGTGATGAAGTACTGTGACAACGCCAACGGTTGTGCAGGGAGGTGATGGGCCAATATCACTCTCAACCACCAGGTTTTTCCCTTTAATTAATTATTTAATTAAGAGTACCCATTTTATAGAGGCTGGGTTTGCCCCAGGAGGGTCTTCCGGTCCCAGGGTCGACCCACGGCTGATGAAAAATTACTAGTCATCAGCCAGATTTGAACCTGAGACCTTGAGCTCTGGAAGTCAGTGCTCACCCACTGAACTACCCCGTTCCCAATAATAAAAGTAAAGGTAACAGAAAATAATTATACCACAAATCATCATATTTCATAAACAATTTGCTGCAACCTATGTAGAATACAACAGAACTAATCAACTGTAGCACTTGAAGAATATCTTCAAAGGTTCTACAGTGTGTCTCAGTTTTTAACGGCCAAACTCTGGGGGTGATTCTAGACAAAATTTCCAACAAAAAAGTTCATTATTTGATGAATGGGCCGATTCTGAGCATTAAAGGAAGGAGATAAGACCTATTTTATGTTTTCCTTGAGGTGCTCACGTTTTTTATTGAATAAGAAGAAATTGCTCAACAACTGTGCAAGATAATTAAATTCTAAGTACACAATCCTTAATTATACAAAATTTTCTTTGAGAAAACAGTGATTAAATTCACTAAGGTCAACGATAAAAAGGGAGGTCTAATAAAGCAAAGCCTACCATTATGCCGAATTATTTCACGAATCGGAGTAACAGAGTTATCCTACTCGGGCATGGGTACTGTAACTGCAGCAGTACAGCGGCCATATTAGACCTCCTGAAAGTCCCTTTTATCATTCATCTTAGTAAATTTACTAACTGTTTTCTCAAAGAAAATTTTGTTTACTTTTGGTGTATTATAATTTAATCATCTTGAACAGTTTTTGAGTAATTCCTTCTTATTAAAAAAAACAACACAAAATTGGTCTTAACTCCTTTGCCGTTCGGAATCGGTCTATGCGTCAATTGAACTTTTTTTGTTAGAAGTTTTGTCTAGAATCATCCTCCAAAGTTTGGCTATTAAGAAATGAGACACCCTGTATACATTTCTTTTTTTATGTTGATGATTTGTCTAGTTCATACAACTTATCCTAAAAATGGATACTTCATTCTGACATACCTCAGCAAGAAATACTTTTTCACCATGAGGTACTATGGTGGCGAGTTCCTTGGTATAAAGCCTCAACCTCTTCAATATATCTTCAGTGGCGATCCTCAATGCTGAACACAGTTCTTGTTTGGCTCTGAGATCTTCAGCAACGTTAGCACTTCCAACTCCTTTTGTTGCTTTGGAAAGTTCTATTTCTGCTTTTTCTAATAAGTGCATGATGTCATTTTTCGAATTTGTATAAAGCTCCCAAGTTTTTTGAGTAGCTAGAAAAAATAAAAAATAAAAATAATCAAATGAATCCAGTGATTTAAATATTTTCCACTATTGTGAACTATTATTACATAATAAGATTCTAAATTATTGATAAATGAGATAAATCAAGAGCTGATATTGGGCTGAGATGTTTATAAAAGGTGCAACATGAAATGCTCAGTATATTTCAGCACAAAAAGATAGCAAGAAAAAAATACTGAAGAAAAAGCTATCAAAGATTAATGTCTGACAGATATTCAAAGATACTTGAAGAAAATACGAAGAATTAAACAGAGATTTTAAGCTTAAAAATAAGAAAAAGTTTTTATTCTAAAGTAATCAAATAATAAAAAAATAATTTAATATAAGTAATAAAGAAATCAATTTCATGATTAATAAACCTACATTTCAAGATATTAAGTTTGTCTAAAGTAGTTGTATAAGTTCTATTCCAAGTAGATTCTAAGCGAGTGACATCTTGTGAAATGAATTGAGGAGCACTGGATTCTTTAGAGAGTGTGCGCCCACGTTGCAACATAGCAACAATATTTGGCCGTTGGGCATCTAAAGAGGCAACTGCGGTTTCTTGTGCAACTAGCATTTCATTCAAAACTTCTGGTCTTTCGACTTCACATTTTGATGATGTTGTAACTCTTTCAAGTAATTCACACACCTAAAAAAGATTTAATGGTTAATTAATGAGTAATTCAAAATCTTCATCACAAAAAAAACATAACTCTATTATAATCAGTTAATAAATGATATTAAAATAATTAATACAATTATTATTAGTCTGTGATTAGAAATTAACTGGTGAACATAAAAAGGAACAAAAATGTATACAAATAAAATAAAAGTCATGTAATGATGGGAATGATAAGTGATGTATCCTTTATATCTATTTTTTAAAATATTACGTATTAGGAAAATTTAAAGAGATCAGTCCTAATTGGTTTATAAACGTGATGAAGTTAAGATATTTTATTTCTTGTAAAAAATGTCTAACTAGAAGTTTATTATTACATACATGATGGTCTGGTGACTATTTTTATATAAAGTAAAAATATATGATTTTTTGGTGAATTATTAAACAGGGCAGAGTAACTTCTTCCCTATGATAGTTGCGGTTAAATGAAAAAAATGATTTCACAGTTATTTTAATATCTTTAAATTTACTCAGAGAGCTTTCATCTCACATGATGTTTCATTAAAATAAATATTCAAAGTTATTGAATATTTATATTTTAGTTTTAATGTAAAACTAAAGAAAATATAGTCTTTAGTATCACTTAGAAAAATTTAACTGGAACTTACCTCAGAAACTTCTCGTTTATATGTATAACACTTCGAATACAGCTCCGTCCTTACAACAGTCATTTCGATGACAGGAATAAGTTTTTTATATCTGAAAATTAATAAAGTCAATCATTAATTAATAATGGTAACCTTCAATGTATTGTAAATTCTATCATACATAATGAAAGATTTACCTTGTAAGTAATTGGTCTAATTTAGCTTGTTCCTCTGCTGGATTAGCACCATGCGAAGCGAGGGTATCTAATGTCTGCACTAACCATTTCATATCCTCTCTTTTGCTCTCGACTTCTTTGCATATTTTCTTAATTTTTATGAAAAATTAATAAAAATTAAACAGAAGGCATACATAAAAACTATTTAGATAACTCACTATTTTACAAATATACTAAGAAAATATACATATTACAGACATATACATATCATTAACTTATTTACTACTACCAGACACGTAATTGTGACATAGTGGTTTGTTATAAGGAGGCATCCAGCTCAAAACATAAGGAAAGGAGATGTATTTTTTAAAAATTAGTTTCTTTCAAATTATTGATATTTTATTTTACATTTTTTTGGGGATAGTTACTTGGAAGGGAAAGTAGTTCTTAGTATTTTGAAGAATTAAAAATATGTACTATACTGCCAAGTGATTCTGTTAATTGATAATAAAAAAACAAGTAATATCTTCAAGATAATATAACTATATTATAATAATATTTTTAATCATAACCATTTGTTATCTCTCTGTGATATAAAAAAGTTTTTAGTGGTCACGTAATATTTTCTATTACATATAAAAAAATCATTCCCTTTATTTTATGTTGATAAAAAATAATACAATCTGAACAACAGAATACATGCAATTACATATTTGAGCAATGAGTGGTACAATTAAATGAATAGTTGTAAAATTGGGGTTAGTATGGGGTTCGGCATTCGGCCTACAGGGAGTATCCCCATAGTTGTATTAATTATCAAATATTTTCATAACCAAAACTTAGAAGTAATGATTTAAAAAAAAAAACCTTGGTAATTTAATTGCAACAACTAGAATAATTATTTACATGAAACTTCTAAGAAAAATCTGAGAAATATATGAAAACAATTAATTACTTGGAATGTTAAACGTTCATTTTCAAATTCCTCAGCAGTTGACAATTCCTGCAGAAGATTTTTGATGCTTATATCTACAGAATCCATCCACTTTTCCATTTCTATGAACCTAAAATGGAAAAAAAAATTTAGTATGATTTTGAAAAACAGGAACAAATACAGTATAATACAATGTTGTCAAAATATCATAGAAATAAAAGCACTTTATTTACTTTGTCTTATAGGCACTCCATTGATCAGGAATTATTTGTAATTGTTTTTCAAATTCATAAATTCTTCCCAAAAGGTTTTGCCATTTTACTTCCGACAAATGGAAGGCTTCGCTCAATGCTGCTTCTTCCTTTGGATGCTGACTAACAGCGTGGACACATGCCTTCATTTCTTCTAAACATTTTTTGACTTCGAAAGTCAATTTCCCCTCGAGAAGTTCCTGAAAAAAAAAAAAAAAAAGATGAAATTCAGACACAGGCCAATCATAAAAGTAAGATTATTCTATAAAAAACACGATTTTGGTTTTTAACCAAAATATTAATATTGATTATTAAAAAGATTACTTTATTCAGAGTATCTAGACCTAGTATTCTGATTTTTTAATAATTTTAGCTCTGAGATCCACTGACAAATCCAGAATTTTTTGAGAAGGCTTCAGCCCGAAAGCTTTTTTTTTAAATGTATTTATAACAAAAATGACTTTGGAAGAAAAAGAAAGAATCCAACTACCTCTATGAAATGGTGTTTCAGCGGTTCTTGAAGTCCTATTAAATGTAATTACACAAACCATAATATTTTTAGAGATAATTTTTTTTATAAGACCTAGTTATATTTTACTAGTTATATTTTATCATTTTGGATAAAATGGTAAAATATAGTCCCCGGAAAGCCCCTAACTCCTCCTATAGGCCCGCGTGTGCTGAGATCAAAATAATCTATTTTTAAGATATGATCACTAATCTATCCACATTTTTTTTTTTTTTTTTATCAATTTACCAAATTTAGTTCTTAAATTTTTAACTCTTGAATTTTGATGTACTCCAATTTATTTTAAAATTATTTTTATACTATATTATTATATTATTATTATTTTTATATTATATTATATTATATTATTATATTATTTTTTATATTTTCAACTCCGTATTTACCTTGTTTCTAGTGATGATTTCAGAGAAGTTTTCATTTTTATTCAAAGCTCGAGTTTCTAAATTGAGTTCTTTTTCTATTTCCTTGATATTTCTATGAAAGATTTGTTCTTTAAGTATAAATTCCATTCTTATTAAATGAGTTGGACCTTGAGAAATTGTGTTCTGAAAAAAAAATACCTTAAATATTTTCAGAGCCTTGTATAATTCAAAATATAATATAAGAAAAAATATCAACCTGAAAACGTTCTTTAATTTTTGAAGAAGTTCTGTTTACAGGTTCATGAAATTCTGCTGGAAGACTTCTTAGTAATTCTTGAGTGCAGTTTTGCAAATCTTGAAGCCATTTATCATTAACGAAACTGAAAAAATGCTAGAAGAAGAACAAATGTCAGTACGAGAGAAGAGCTAATTAACATTCAATTAAAATAAATAAACTGAATTTCTTATCTACCTTATGGTTTTCCAGGGTTTGTTCACTGTCAATATGTTTTTCATTCATTAATTTCTCTGCTGCTTGAACCCATTCATTAATGACACGTTCAACTTCTTTTAAATTTTTCCATCCACGGATGGATTCTAATAGCGCCTTTATTATAAAATTAGGTATTAATAATCAACTTATGAATTGTTCAAAAGAATTGAAATTTATAAGATAAAAAAAATTACTTGTTCCCAGGTGGTGGCATCATGAATTATTTTACTAAATCTTTGATTCAAAGCTAACATTTTGGCTTCAAACTCTCTGGTATCAACACCTTCAGCATTTTTTAGAGATACTAATAGAGTAGTCAGTACTTTGTTTTTACTATCTAGCATCGATTTATAATAAAGAGTTTTGGAGAAAAATGCCTAAAAACAGGAATATATTTTTTCATTTATATGCTTAATTCATTTAACAGCAGTTTGCTAATGATAGATATTAGAGTAGTTATTAAATAAAATAAATTACCTTATGTTTTTCTAGCTTGGCCTGTAATACTTCTTTTTCACCTCCCAGATTTAACTGGCTAAGAAAATCTTCAGCAGAATCAAGCCAGACTGATATCTCTTTTTGACAAGTTTCCAATGATTGCTGCTGAATCAGCAACTGATGTAAAAGTTGGGATTGCATTCCTATCCTTGCACGCAATCTTAAGATACTTTCTGAAAATAAAAAACAAGGATATTTAAAAATACAATTCAGAATATCATTATTAAATGATGAATAGGAGTAAATATTATAACAAATTTTAACGACAGCTTAAAATTAATATAGCGGTCACCTTTTTCTTTTTTCAAAACATTCATCATTTTATCAACATCCTCACGTGATAAGTCTTGTATAAGTGTTTGGAATTTTTTGCTGATGACTTTAAATAATTCTTCAATTTCATTTAATTCTCCTTGCAAAATCTACAGATAATACAGATATGAATAAATTATACTAAAACATATTGCCACCAAAGAAGTATTAAAATATAATATGCTGTATTACCTTTAATTGTTCAATATGAGCTTTAATTTTTTCTGTAGATTCTAATCTTGGAGAATCAAGAATATTCTCAGCTTCCCTCAGCCATGCCTGGAGTTTTTCTATAGCTTGTTTATATTCTCTTCTGTGCCTAAGCATTTCACCTGCTTCCATGTACTGTTTAGTATTCTAGAATGAAATTAAAAAAATAAATAGCACAATAAAATAATTTATTAATTAATCAAAGTAATTATAGTTCTATCATTATTTTTTCCTTACTGAAAATATGAACTCCCACATAGCAGTGAGTAGTCTATATTGTTCTTTTAATTGTGCAGCGATCTGATCTTCAGTTGTCGCTATGAGAAAACTTACAGTGTCTCCAAGGAGCTGATACTTTTCTTTCCAAACTCCGATATCCTACAAAATGAAATTTAAATAAGTTAAAATGTTATACCTTTTTTAAAATTGTTACTGAAATTTATTTTATAAACACAAAAACTAAAGTACCTGAAAATATTCCATTCTTCCTTCCTCATCCAAAGATAATTTAGGTTCAGAAGCATGAAGCCAATCTTGGATGTCTGTGTGGAGGACATTCCACTTCTTCCAGTATATCAAGACTTCTTCCAGCATGCTCTGGACGCAGCGCAGTTCCATACACACTCCTTTCCATCTTTCAGCTGTATCTCTCATGAATCTATCAACCAAAGCTCCTTCTCTTTGATCTAAAATATCACAAAATCATCTGTTTTTCAAGTCAAATAGATTTAATTAAAGAGATAAATCATTCTATTATATTTTAATAGTACTTTGCTAGCTGCCGTGTATTAGTGATATTTCTAATTACTTTAAAGAAACCAGAAGGTAAATTATAGAATAATTATTTAAAGACAAACATCTGTTTTTCTGTTGTAAGTGACTAAAGAGAAAATACATTCTATTATTCTTAAATCCACAAGAAAACACCAAAATTAGATTTAGGAGCACTGGCAGGGATACCTGATCATCTACATTCAAGGGCAAGATGGAATTTTTTTTTCTGAAAAGTCTATTATTATTACAATTTAGAAATATTTTTAAATGAAATAAAATATATACATAGAACTACAATTTTTTAAAATTAATTTTTGGCAAACCTTTTGTATTATATTATGCTTGATTTTCTTTCAAATTATTTAGGGAAAAGAGCAACACTCTCTTCCTGGTTCCCTTTGCGTACACCCACAACTAGATTAAGAATTCTAGAACAGCAGTAAGCTCAATAAGGAGCTCAAACCTCCTGATTAATATCTCTCTGACAAATTCAATATATGTTCCATTTAAAGAAATTTTAGTGAGCGAAGCGCATCAGAAAAAGAAGCCAGAGATTTACTCAGTATCACTTCACACCCTCACAATATTACATTTGTTTGTAGCACTATTTTTATTTACTTTGGCATAATCATTCCTTAACTCTTTATATTTTCCCTCTTTTTTTTTTCATAAATGGCCTAGGTAGGGGCATATGAAATTTCTAATTGGCCACCATTTTGAAAAAAAAGTGGATTGCAATTTTCAGTTGAAAGGATTATTCTGGGGTGACCCATGGCTTTGGTGCCTAATATAAAAAAAATTGCCACAGCTGAGGAAGGTAAGATTAAAATTAAAAAATTAAAATTTTTTATTTTATGTATCTTAAATAATAAACTTCAGGGTGGGTTAAGTAATTTTTTTTTTCTTATTCAATTACAAAGGTTCAGTATCGAAAATAATAAAACAAAAAAATATTCAGTTAGTTTTCTAAATTATTGTTAAATTATAATTAAAATAAATTAAATTTGCAAAGATAAAACTACACAACGTACCTATATTTCCTTCAGCCTTATATTCTTCGACAACATGTTGCATGTCAACAAAGGCTTTGTTAAATTCTTGGAATATTTTATTTCTGGAAACAAAATTTTTATACTGGTCCAGGAGTTGTTGAACCTTTTGTTCATTTCCATATTTGACTGTCCAACTTTTTACTTTATTTTCAGTAAGCACCATAAAGGCAATAAGACAACACTGTAAAAATTAAAAATTAAATTACTTTAAAATAAAACAAACATTTTTGTAAAAAAAGTGTGATGACATGTTTAAAATATATCAGTTCCGGAAGGGCTCATGAGAGGCCAAGTGGGAAGGTACTTATGAACTGTGAACCTGATTTGTTCTACATAAAATTTCAATACTTAACAAGCTAGTTCACTAGGCAAGAAGTATCTTGTACCCAAGTAAATACCCATGTTGTAAGTATTCTTAAAAGATGGGTTACTGAAAGGTGTTAGGTTGCATCATTTTCTCGAACATGAACCGCACCACCTAATTGAACTCACAACCATAGGACAATGGAATGATTGTCTACCATAGTCAATCACTTATCAGGCACAGTTGCTTCATAATTTATCAATTTGATTTGCAATTAAAACATGAATCACTGTGTTTCATTTGTGTCCTCTCGGATGAAATAATATAAAAAGTGTTATTTTGTTACAAGTATTGTCTGAGAGAAGGAAGTTGGACACAGTTCAAGGATAGACAGACTCGTCAATTCAACGATAGAAGTTAAAAAGGGCAGGACACACTGCTTATATCAGTAAGAATCTCAGATCACAAGAGCAAGAAAGGACAGGCCTTGAAGCGTAGTCCAATTGGCTTGGCCTGCCCCTGAGGACAATACCTGATGGTGGTTCAACAGAGTGATAAAGAAGAATATTGAAGTGTTTATAAAGTTTTTTTTTGGAGGGAAGTATGGAAATCTCACAATGTTGTGGACTTCATTCAGTCCAATTCCTGTCAAGCATGCTTGATTATAAACATTGGTAAGAAAAATGTCTACCCTACATTAAAAAAAAATACTCAATCCACAATATGACATTATTTCAATGATAATATACTTGATTTTTGTCTCAAATGTAATAAATTATCATAAAATTTACCTTGTGTTCCAAAAATTTAAGCCTAATGCGTCGTACGGCTGCTTTAGGCCCAATTTCATTCAGTCTTCTAGCCATTATATCCAACTGCTGTTGGTGTACAAAATCATGATGGTCTCTTCTACTGATAGCTGCATGAAACTGCTCTTGTACAGGAGGAAGATCACAGAAAAATGCCTACAGTAGAAAAATAAAACATGAATTCTTATAAAAAATAAATGTAACACTTACAAATAACTGAAAATTAACAAACCTTATGTTCTTCAAGTTTCCGGCTGATGATTCCGGCAGTTTCTTCATTCATAGCCAGTGGTATTTCATTATCTTCTAATAAATTCTCAGCTCTATATAACCATTCCCCAATGCGGCAAAATGGTTCGGGTAATTGTGAATCGAGGAGCCAAAGCCAATGCCTCATCTAAATTAAAGTAGTTTATTGTTAAGAAGCTAATAGAAATATATTCCATTTTATGGTTAATTTTGAATAAATAAATAAATAGTTAAGAAACATACTATTTTAAAAATGATCAGATTATGAGGACAACCTAATGGTGAGAGAGAACAAGTCAGGCAGGGAGGTCTTTTGGTATTATTTGGCAACCCTCAGTCTCCTTTTACTAAGGCATTAAGGCTTATAATTCCATTTCTAATATTATTGATTTTGTCAAATAAATAGAAATTTAAAATCATATATAACATTTTTTCACTCAGAAAAAAAAATTAAAAGATTTATGGTTTAATGTAAGTTTACAAATTTAGTTTAGTCTTTGAAGCTTTCTTCTTGTGGCCCATTGATATATAATATTTTACAAGTCGTTACTGTTAGTGCAAAAGGTCATACGTAACAATTTTACATGTTTATTCTCTTTGTGTTAAAGGTGACATTTTGTAGTCTGCAATTGCTATAAGTAGTCTGATAAATAGGAAAATAGCAGAAGGAAATAAAATATGAAATTATACTAATAGAGCATAAAGAAATAACCGGTTTTTATGATCTTCTTTAAAAAACTAAATTTTTACAACCTTTCGGACTAAAAGTAACGAAGTTAATCTTTATCACAAACATTAAAATCTCACCTGAAGTTCCAATTTCTTCCATAATATTTCTATCTCTTTCCAGGATTCGAATGCTATACTTATACTACTCTTGGAATCAACTAATTTTGATAATTTTCTATAAATCAGAGCTTTCTCGTTCATTTCATGTTCCAAAGCAATATATTCCTGTTCAGTAAAAAATAAACATCAATTGCATGATTTTATAAGCATAACATTTAATCATTAATGTTAACTATAAAACATTAATGACAACTTAAAATTTAAAACACTTCTTTAATTACTATTATAAAAGATGTAAGTTACCTCATCAAATTAGCAACTATTTTGAATATTGCCTCATCTGGTTCATAAATATAAGGAAAAAGTAAAATAAAATAAATTTTAAAATTAAAATCTTATAATAAAAACTCTCAAGGTTCAAATTATATTTTCACCAAACATATGAATTTGTTTTACAATACATTATATGATATCTTATATATAAATTAAAGATTATTTTTTTGTAATTATCCCTTTGAAATAACACAATTCCTTACCGATAAGTCAAGATGGAGATTTGATGGATCGGATAAATACTGAGTTCTTTCTAAAAGCCACGATCTCAGTTCTTTGTATTCTGATTCAATGGAACTAAGTCTTTCTCCTGAATCAGAGCGAAGTTCAGGATATTTGTGCAGGAACTGAGCAACATAAGTCATCACAGATTTTTCATCTGGTCTTTCGACATCGAGATCCTGAAAACAAAGAAAAGGGATTATAATCATGTGATGGGAAAGATTAGGTTTACTGCTCTTGCATGTGGAGAATATATATATATGTCTCCTAATATTGTTCAATGAACATAGATATTCCTTCCTTATTTTTACTATGCCCCCGTACTTGTAAAAAGGAGAAGGAAGTTCTATTTATTTTCTTATAAGGAAAAATTATGACAGAAAACTATCCAACAAAAAAAATAAATAAATAAATAAAAGGATTTGATCAAGCAGTCTAAATCTTGATAAAAAAAAAAAAAAAAAAAAAAAAAAAAAAAAAAAAAAAAAAAAAAAAAAAAAAAAATGAAAAGTTTTATGACATCTTAATGGCCATAAAAGTGAAAAAGTAAGAAGACCAGCAGTTAATTTTTGTGATAAAAATTGTCATTTTTTTCAATATTATTAATTTGTTTTCATTTTTAACCAATGTATTTTTATTTTAATGACATGAGTAGATCAATTAATTTTAGAGGAAAGAACAATCTCTTTTACGTATTTTTCTTTTTTCAATTTTTCCATAGCCAGTTTTTCTTTAAATATTAGAATTTATAAGGTAATTAAAAGTGAAACATTAAAATTCAAGTTACTTTCTTTGATTTTTTTTTATGATTGGTGAAGTCATCGCTAATCAAAACTACGAAAGTATCAATTAATAACATTAAATTTACAAATATATCCTTACATAACAACAAATGATACATGTGCTTAATGAGGTAATAAATGTCATGTAAACATATATACCTCAGGATCAAGCAGCCTTGCGATTCCAAGTTCTCGTTCAGCTAAATCAAAAGCTGTTTCAAGTCTATCTCTGTTTGTAGCTCTTCTCAGAAGAGATAAATCTATCAGTCCTTTTTTTATAGCATCTACTATAGCAAGGAATGCCAAACCATCTCGCCAAGATGGACCGAAATCCCTCACTTCCAAACCTATGTCCCTTTGATAAAAAAATTAACATTAATATAAAATAACAAATTAGTTCACACATTCTAGGAGATTTATTGAATAAAAAATTTACTTTGGAAGTGCGTTGGTAACCCATTTCAATAAAGCTTGTTTAGCAGGTTCTGGCCTTCTTCGCCTTTCTGTAGCAGGATCGGGTGTCCTTGTTCCTTCTAAGCTTGAAGTGCTTCCTCCAAAATTATGACCCAATGATGCGAGGGCTCTAGTATTTTCTTCAATCTATTAAAACAATTATTAAATTGATAAATTATAATAATGAATAATAAATGACTAGTGATTTATGAAACAAAAAAAAAAGAAAAGAAAATAATATTTTGTTTTATAATCATTAAATAAAGTTTCACATATAAATATATCTAAACACAATTTTTAAAATATCTTAAGTACAGTTTTATATTTAAAGTATAATTTTTAAAATTCCCAAACAGAAATAAATAGATTACCAGTTCAAAACCATTCTACAATCCCACATTTATGGAACTCATAAAAACAAAATAAAAAATACCACGGAAGCTTTGGCATTTCCTAATATTCTATTGTGCTATCTCACTCTTTACAAAGATTACGTCCCAACTTAGAGTGTCATACTCTTCTCGAAAATGTTATAAATAAAAGTTTAAAAATATATAATTACCCAACAAGCACAAGAAAATTATGCATATTTGTTTAATTTCAGTTAAAAAGTGTACAACAATGTATGAAGTTAGAAGAGGATCAACTATTTAAAAGATTTGATTGGTTATTTTTTTATTTTTGAACTATATAGTTTAGTTTTAATTTTTTATTTATGGTACATGTACCAGTAATAGATAGTTTTCAACTCATTAATAGATAATAAGCTTTATACCCCAAAATATAATGCAAATATAAGTAGATTTGAAGCTAGAACACTGAATAGGATGATGCTTGAACCTCAAGTGGTATCACCTCACAATAACCGATTGGTTGATTTTTTAATAGAGCAAAGCTAGATCTTTGTTTCAGGGATGCTTCCTTATCACTTTTCTTTTGGAGATAGGTCTGAGATTTTGATTCATTCATCTGTAGTTTGTCATTTCCTTGTTTAAAACTGTGGAGAATATATATATATATATATTTTTTTTAATAATATAAAAAACCAGTTGACCCCGACACCAGGCTATCTATTACTGGTGTAATATACGCTCTCAAAATTTCCTAAGTTTTTATGAATAATAAACTAATTTAATCTATAGGAAAAACGAAATTGGTAGAAGACTAAATTTGCTGTCAATAGAGCCCATTTGCAAAGATTCACCGTCAGAACTAAAGTTGTGATTCACATTAATGTTGAAAATATCTCATAAATTGTCTATTACCGGTACATTTACCTTAATAAGTTCATAGCTTTTTTGTATAAAACAGTTTTAAGAAAGCAATGGTTAATTAATTTTTATTTCTATTTATGATTTAAAATATACAAAAAAGAAAAAGTATAGATATGTACATATTTAAACACTAATAAAAAAGAACAAAGAAATAATATTATAGAAATGATAAGCCAATTAAATTCCTTTTTTTCCCCCCATCAACATGGTTGATAAAAACCAGTCTTGAAAAATGTATTAATTCTTCTTTTTTTTAAATTCTTTTACTTCATAATGCATTTGAGGCAGGATAAGTCTTAATAAATTTTTGAAAAACTGTCTTCAATATTTTTCTGTTACAGTTTACTAATGGCTTGTGCAATTCAATTTAATACATATGTGATCTCTTAAATATCAGAGGGGTAGCTTTTAAACAGAGAATATAAAATGAAAAATCTCTCGAAAAAAAAAGATATGTGCAGTGTGCTGTTAGAGAGCTTAATTTATTTTTATGGGATAACCATAATTAAAGAAACAATATAAATGTGTACAGTGCAGTGGAAAATTATAACTACGGCTTCATCCAATTGCTTGAAAGCACTAATTTATCAATATCTCTTGCATGCCAAAATATCAATTATGATTGAAATAATTTTGAAATAAAATAATTTAAAAAAAAAATTATTTAATGATATCTAACTTCTTTTAAATCACAAAAGACCATGATATGCTTTTTTTTGTTTTTTCCTCTCATGACAGCTCATTGTGAAGCTAGATCTAATAGCGCCTCAGGTAAACTTCAAGAATGCTACCCATATCACAATATCAGGTTGTCTGCTTTCAACGCTACAAACTAATTCCACTACCAATCACTTATGAAATTACCAATATATTTTTTTTGAGCTAGAAAATAAATGTAATTTATTAAACAATGTTTCAACAAATCGGCTCCCCTATTAATTGGCACGCAGAAATAACCGCTTCCTTGCTCCATCTAGCACTGAACAGTAAATGTAGATAAAGACAATTAATCAAAATAATATTAATCAATAAACCTCATAAATATTATTCGCAGAAAACAAAATTAATATTGAAAGGATGTTTATATTATATTATGTCAATACTATTTTTAACTAATTATTTTTGTTTTATACTAATGGCAATATTTAATAATAATATTGCCATTCTACTAAAAAATAAATATATTAATTTAAATTAAATTTGAGAAGGAGTTAGTCGAGGGTGCGGTCAAATAAATAAAAAATTAAAATATATTAATTATTTTAATTTTTGCCGACGTTTCGACCCACTTTGCAGGTCGTCTTCAGGGCGTAGGATGTGGCACTGGCCAGTGTTTCAACTGCCTCCCACAGTGCCACATCCTACGCCCTGAAGACGACCTGCAAAGTGGGTCGAAACGTCGGCAAAAATTAAAATAATTAATATATTTTAATTTTTTATTTATTTGACCGCACCCTCGACTAACTCCTTCTCATATTATATCAACGGTCAACCATCTCTACATTATTATAAATTAAATTTGATTTATGAGACCAGAATTATACGCATGAAACTAATTCAGATATCTGTGAGTTTTGTAAAAATCAATAAACCACTGTAGCAATATATTCCATGCATAATTATGACAATTGAAACATATAAAGAAGCCACAATAAATATTCATTTAAAATAAATAAAAACTGTGTACCATGCAACATTCCCGTTGTGATCATGTTAAAAAAAAAATTTCTAGTTATGAATTCTAACTCACCATTTTCTGACGCTTATAGAAAAAACAACAACACTACTATGAGTAAAATAAAAAACAAAAATAAATAAAGGAAACATAAAAAGGTAATTTGATTCAATTTAATAAAAATAAATAATCTGTTCATTGTAGATGTATCATTTTTACTATGGTAGGACCCATGATTACTTAGTAACTTATGTAATGAACAAGTCTCCTTTAAAAACTTTGAAAATTGAAAAATATGATGACAATGTATATAAGAAACTTAAAATTTAATAGAAATATTTTTGATCATAACTAACAGGTCTTAAATAAAATAGGACTTTCTTGGACAAGTCTTAAGGAAAAAGCTAAAAAAAAAAATTATAACATATTTTTATCTTACCTTCTAAAACATCAGTTATTAAATATATCCTTATCTTGATGCCTTACATAAATGCTCATATCTCAATTTTGAAAAACACATTCATGTTAAAAATACACTTTTTTTGCCAAATCAGTAACCAACATAATTACCTAAATAATGATTAAAGCTTATCATAAAAATGACAAATACAAAAATGGAATCCAGAAAAGATTGAAAAGGCTGAGATTAAGCAATAAGAAGTTAGGTATCTATCCCTTTCAGTTGCAAAGTAGTGAAAATGGTGTGGTAACAAGTCAACCAAAATCTGAAGACTGTTACTAGGACAAAATAAGCCCACCTAACAAGAGAAAGGCCACATGGAAGCAGAGTAAATGTTATTAGAAATATATAAAAAATATCTGAAAACGAATGAAATCTACAGCTACTGTAACGAGAGAGAAGACGAGTACTTAGGATTGGATAATCTGAGGTTCAGAAGCTACTGGGAAGAAAATGTAAGATGGTGGAAAATGCAAGAGGAATTCAACAAGAGATCCATTAGCACTTATGACAAAGAAGGAGCCTACCAAATATAGTGATGCAGATAGCTGATTTTGAAGATATTGCAACAATAGTCAGAAAATAAAAGCATGATATTTAATTTCATAAATGAAACCTTATGTCACCATTTAGGCTTGATACAGACTCATTTCTGGAAAAAGTCACTAATAATTATACAATAACACAATCTAGTTTCATAGGTGGGGCCTAAGGTCATTAGACTCATTTTTATATATAATAATTACATATTACTTTTGATTATTATTTTGTTACTTTTGATTATTATTTTGTTCTATTTATTTTATTTTTTTGTACATATAGTGTGAATGTCATCCTACCTCACTATAACCAATGTCCAAGAGACAGATTGTTATAATACTCAATAAAGAAATTAAAAAAAAAAAAATAATTACATAAATATTATGAATTCTTTCTGATTACTTACCTTCAAGAATCAATTGAAAATACATAATTTAAGTAAATATATGTGGTTTATTAACTTTTATTTTATCATAGAAAGTGAAAAATAAAAAATAAATGATAAGATTTGAAATACATTATAGTTTTTACTACTAATTCCTGCAATTTCCATACACAAATAATGGTTTTTCAAATTAAAACTGATGTTTTAGATGAATAGACTGAAAAATATGTATAGAATAGAATAGAAAAGAACCAAAAAATAACAAAAATAAAACTTTTAAAACAAATACTGTACAAACATGCACTGGACACACTTAAAATTCACAATATTTATTCCACTCACCACAAAATTTTGTGGTTCCTTTTGTCGTAGCTTAAGGAAGAACATGGTAATTAAATGAAATGATTTTATAAAATGATAATAGTGATCATGCTTTAATTGAACTAAATTCTAGTCAAGGTGAATAAATAGTACTTATAAGCCACCTAAAATAATATAAATTGAGTAACCGCTTTCAGTTTTGTTAAAGTGACAAAATATCCAAAAGTTAATGAAAATATCTAAAATGCTTGCTTCTAATACTTTCTGTGCAATTAAGTGTTGAATGTTTTTTATGTTGATAATATTAAAAATCTATGTTATTTTCATACAGTAATTGCAGGGTTAGAATTAAATTAAAAAATAAAGATGTGATTAAAATGACAGAAATAAAAATAAATTGATGGGTTGACTTGTTCCAATGAATTGAAAACCTATAAAGTTTTAAGTTAAACTAGACTGTAAATAAAGGGTCTAATTATTACTGATAATTAGTAGTAATTACAAAAAACTTATGTTTAAATAAAATGCAAGTTAAAAGGATGTGTTAAAAATATACTAATTGTTTATATATGATATATTGGAGCTTTCTGCCTGCTTGTTGTTTTGTAACAGTTTTTATTTGGGCCGTTGTAGACCTCCTGACTGACCCAGATGTCAACTCTGAGGACATTAGCAGAGCTCTATCTGGTGTGGAAGGTATGGAATCCGAGTTAGAACCACCCAATGAGGAGGAGATTGAGAAGGATGTGAATAGGCTGAAGAACCACAAGGCTCCAGGGTGCGATGGACACCCTGCCGAACTTTTACGATATGGAGGCAGGGGACTAGTGAAGGCATTTAAAAATATTTTTATGTCTGTGTGAGAGCATGAAGTAATGCCCTCAGCATGGAAAAAATCGATGATGTGTCCAATCCACAAGAAGGGTAATCGCCTAGCGAGTGTTAATTACAGAGCCATATCCTTACTGACTTCCAGATACAAAGTCCTCTCTAATGTGCTATTCATACGTCTTCTTCCCTATTCTGATAGAGCAATTGGTCCCTACTAATGTGGATTTTTATGTGGAAAATCTACTGTTGACCAAATATTTAATCTGAGAATCATATTAGAGAGAGGGAACAAATTTAAGCAGAAGACACACCATCTCTTCATCGATTTTAAGGCCACATACAATAGTATTAATTGTGATGAGTTCTACCTAGCGATGGAGGAATTTCATATTCCTAAAAAGCTCATATGCATGGTGAGGCTGACCATGAATGAGGTGTTCTGTTCACTGCTTGTTGATGGAGACTTAACCAATGAATACTGAGCAACAAAGGGCCAACGTCAGGGTGATGCCCTCGCATGCCTCTTATTCAATATTTCTCTGGTGAAATTCGGAGACTACTATTTGAACAAGTCACTGAATTTATTTATCTAGGCTCTGTGGTAATACAGGGCGACGCACAAATGAAAATTAGAAGGAACATAATCTCTGCCAATCAGTACTACTACAGTTTGAGAAAACAGCATGGCAGGCACATTATCTCCTGCCAACCTAAAATACATCTTTACAAAACCATAATCCGCCCGGTGCTAATATATGACTCAGAAACGGATTATGGCCAAACATAATGAACAGATCCTCCTTGTGTTCGAGCAGAAAATCCTTCAGAGGATATTTGGAGGAGTGTTGATGGATGGAACCTGGAGGAGGCGCACAAACCAGGAGGTTTATGATCTATTTAAAGAGCCAAATGTCATTCAGATAGTTAAACTGCAGCGGTTGTGGTGAGCGCAGATTGTGGTGCGAAGAAGATTTGTCCAGGAAGCTTTTGATGGAGCCTCTTTATGGAACAAGAAGACGAGGAAGACCAAAGCATAGACAGATAGACGAAGTTGCAGCTGATGTTCGGAACATCCTTGGAGTGCGAAACTGGATAGGGGCTGCATAAAACCGGAAACGGGTTGTTGCACTCAGATAATAATAATAATTTGAGCAGTTGACTCAAATTACAAAGTTTTGGACATTGCCCCTTTTTGTTCCTAGGTACAGATGAATGTAATAGAGACCCTAAAATCCTGAATATGACACTGTCTAGTTTTTATCCATTCACCCTTTTGGGCCACTGAGTAAAGTTTATTGCATAGAATATTCACACAGAAATTTCTTGCAGTTTTCTCACAATTTGAGCTAGCCATTTTACTCAGACGTTACATGATCAGATACTTCAGTCTTTTTATTTCCTGTAAATTTCAACATTCTTCTTTCATTATAATTACCCTGTATCACACGTTGGTTTAAGAAGATATCATTGAAGTGTAGTCTTATAACTAAATTTTAGCTTTTTTTAAAGCCATTCTTAATTTAATTGTTATTATTTTGACAGGTTCTTTATAAATTGTGCTCAGTTATATACATTTAAGTTATCAGGAATCTAAAGTAAGAAGTGGCAAAGGCCCATATAAAAGTTTAAAAACTTGGATAAGAAAAGATACAAAGATGAAGATATGGTAAATAGTAAAAAAATATAATCCCAAAATAAAAAAATATATATAAACATTATTGAAAATATTTTTGTAATCAGTATTATCAAGTAAGTAAATTAATAAATATAACATTATTATTCTTCATTATTTTTAGTATCTCTTGGAAATTAATAAAAGTTTTTGTGTGGTAATATCACATCAATCTGTAATGAATTTTCAAGACACTTGAAAAAGACTATTTTTTTTCACAAGTAACAAATTCATAAAAGTAAACAACATGGACCCCCTTTCATAATCTTACCATTATGAACTAAAATATAAATGAAATGAGTTCCTATAATGTAATAATATAAATAAATGGCAACTTTAAATCAGTAATAAAGCTTTTAACTGAGTACAAAAAACGATATATTTTTATTTAAAGTAATGTCAGTTCAATACAAAGAACTTGTATATCGATATTTATGCTATAAGTAAATATGTAAAATGGTAAAGTTCGTGTCATAATTAAAAATGCCAGTAATGAAACTTGAGAATCTTTTCAAACAATAAAAATACAAATTTATAAAGGAATGAAAAAAAGAAGATAATTTGATTAAACTTTACCTGGAAGTACAAAATAATTGTCCATATAAGTCCTAGAACAACAGGTGGTCTTCCATCAACTAAATCTGAAGAATTGATATTGACAAGTTTTATCTGTAATAAAACACTTATTTGAAGTTTGTGTATAATAAAATAAAATATATTTAGTTTAAAGAACTTTAATCATGTCAAGTAACATCTAATAAGATCTACATCAAAATTACACTAATTTAAATTGAAACTTCCTTTCAGTAGATTTCATTAAGAGATGAATTGGAACTAAACTTACCCATTACTTATTGTGGGCAGAAAATTATTGTAAAATGCCAATTAATGGTAAATAAATTGTTTTGTTACATAGACATATTTAAATCAGTTAATACATAATTTTGATTAATGTAATTTGTAAACCAACAATAAGTTATTGTTTTGCTGGTATTGGCTACACTGAGTTAAATCTGTTATGAAGGTTATAAACAAGTAAACTAATCCAAAATAAAATCTCTATAATAAATGTTTTAAATTATTTTCTAAGTTATACAAAAAATAAATAAATAATAATCATTATAAAACAATCTAATAATTGCAGTCAATTTTGACATGGATGATTATATAGTGGCAGTCAAAAATAATTGCACATACCAATTTTTTTCTTTATATTTAAATTAGATTTCATTTTTGTTGAAATCTTTTATTTACATAGTTATTAAATAAAAATTATCAATTAAAAAAAAATCATTCCATAAATAAATAGAAATAGAGGAGCCCCCCTCCCAAAGCCGATGGCGCAAGAACCTATCCCTCCTCCCTCCTCCTAAGATATTTTATTCCTGACCTTTCTTAAAAACAGAGCAAGCTAAGGTAGAATTAGAAAAATCGTAGATCATATATAAGTACTTGCTGTTGTCAGTTCCATGTGTTACTTTTGTCCATTAGACCGAAAATTCATAACATCAAAATTTGCCCTCCTCTTCTTCTTCTTCTTTAGTGCCTCTCAGCGCAGAGGAATATTCAGCCAGGAATATCAATCTTCCCTATTTCTAGCTAGGTTCCTCATCTGTCGGAAGTCCTTCTCCCTCGCCCTACAGAGCCGCTCAATGCAGTCAAGATAGGACATTCTAGAGCGGCCCCTAGGTTTTCTGCCATCTGGGACATATTCCATGGTCTTTAGAGGATCTCTGTGGTCGTCCATCCTGATAACATGGTCGAACCACTTTAGCTGACGATTTTCTAGGACTCTTTCAGTGGGTCTATCTGCAGTTCCTGACAAAGACTTTCATTGCGAACTCGGTCTCTCCTTGTTTTTCCAACTGTTCTTTGCAGAAATTTCATTTCGGCAGCGGTGGTTCTACTCTCCTGTTGATATGTTAATATCCAACTCTCTGCTCTATACAAAAGCATATGTAGATATATTGTCTTGAAGATGTATAGCTTGACATCTTTCCCTACTTCTATCTTCCCTACCACAGCGTTACATATCTGGTAGTAAACTGTATTTATCTTGTTAATCTTGTTATTTGTCCTCAAAACTTCAAAAAACCGTCAAAATATGGCCTCCTCAAAAATTGCAACTTGCGTCATGAAACCCCCTTCTGGGCACCCCTGATTACAAATGAAAACCGTATATTTCAAAAGTATTTGCACATATTTTTCTTTATTTAATACAGTATTTAATACTAAATCCATTCCCATAAATACCTGCTTGAAAACAATTGTGGCTCTTTTTTTTATTAAACGTTTTTAAAAATATATTTTTGGATATTATGTTTTAGAATATTCCATATATTATTAATTACATTCATAATTGGACTTCATGTGATTGCTAGGAGGCTTATGGATGCATTTTATAAGACACACAGTTTGATCTTATCTGCTGTGGCTTATGTGAAAATATTAATGAACTTCTGGTCCATAATACTTTTTACTTTCACTTACGATTTTTTTAAATTATTGCTCGAAATAACCAATTACATTAAAAATAACATTCATCAAAATAAGTTTTCTAGCTCTGTGTAACAAGACGCACTCCCGAACTATAACTTGGCCCTTTCATATTTTATTATGGAACAAACAGTCAACAGATAGTTTATTGTTTAGATTCTTTGTTTGGTTCTCACCATATATACTTCCTTCCATTGCTTCTATGAACAGATATTGATTTATTTGAATTGCCAAACAGGACATTTTGCCAAAATTCTATTGGTTAGTACCAATACTCCTCTGCAAAATATTTTTTTCCCCATTAATCTCAATGAAAAAAGGATTTTTTTCTTGGTATTCTACCTTATATATCATCATGATAATTTGGTCTTCTTAAACCTGGATTATTTGTTGCTTCTATCATGATATCACTGCACTCGGAAGGAGTCATTGCTTTGTTCGAGGTGGTTGTAAGTAATGCCTGACTATACTTACAAACTATCACAAAATTCAGACTTAAGAATCAACTGATTTTCTGATATTTTTTCACTGTTTCTGTTAGAAATAGAATTTTCAGGATTTAGAATTCAATTTTCAGTTCAACAGAAATTTCATCTTGAATTGGTGGCATTTTCACTCAAATAAAGAACATTAAGAAATAAAATAATTTCAAAATTGATACTTCTTAACTAAATCCTGAATATCATTTCCCTAAAAAATGAACAAAATAATGAAAACAATAACCAAATATGAACTTGTGCAAATACTTTTGAAACAGTATTTGCTTTCATTCTTATTTGTTTGTAAGTAATTAAGTTTCTCTAATCAGTTATTTTTATTTTGTTAGCTGTCTAAATAAATGTACTTTTCTTCAAAATAATTTTTAAATTTTATGTCTTTCCACTTAAAATTTAAAGCTGAAAATTGGTTTTTACAAATAATTTTGAATGCCAGTATAGTTCCATAAACAGATCAAATTGAGAACCTTCTCAACTTACAAATGAAAGTAATATATGGCTATATAAAAATGAAAATATACATAAAATATAGTGTTCATGAATGTAGAATTTCTAAACTTTAAACATATAAAAACATAACAATAAATAAACTTTTGAAATAATTTAAATCATCCATCAGAAATATAAATGTTAATTTGTTTTAATTTCATTATGTGTACTCACCTTGATGAAATTTTAGTAGACAAATACTTGTAAACTGAGGACCAAATAGCAGGTTAGAAGCTAACAGGCAAATTTTCCTTCCCATTTTATCCAGACTTAGGACTGGCAGATTTATTTTAAAATCTGGTATGGTTAAAAATTTGTATTTATCAGAACGCTTTTCTAGTATATAACTGCATTTTCCACTCTAGGGGATTGTAATTATAATTTCTTTACAACCATGGTAAACATGAAATAGGAAGGTAATTCTTTAAAGCAATCCATTAATGTATATTTGTTTTCATAAATATAAAAAAATTGTTTATCTTTTTTAATGTACTTTTTATATTTTTCTCTTAAGAGGACATTTATATTCCATTGAGGTTTTTTCTTGATTTTATGTAATTACATTGTATAAGTAAAAAAAAAGATACTTTTTTTCATAAGCCTTTACGTTTTTGTAATTGATTTGATTTGACCATGATAACATAAACCTTAAATCAAACCTATAAATTTAGTTCAGTAATGTAACAAACTCATTGATAGTTATCTAAGCTTATGAACTTTATTACATATTTCTTGTTTTTTTTTTTTTTTTTTTTTTTTTTGTGGAGAACTAGAGGAAATGATGGATAGAAAAAAAAAAAAATAATAATATGAACTTCAACAGCAATAAGTCTCATGCTGCTAATTCCAATGTTAGCCTTTGCATTTGATATCCCACCACCATGTGAACATGTATTATGGGAAGATCAAAACCTAGATTTGGTCCTCCAGTTTACATTTTATTTGTTTTATTACATAAAATCTAAACAAATTATATATATATATATATATATATATATATATATATATATATATATAATATATATATATATATATATATATATATATATATATATATATATAAAATAACGTATTTCTTAATTGATTTTTTCTCAATTATATTACAATGTAACGAAATACCATGATTATTCAAAATTATTAATTTTTTTTTAATTAACTTGTTTATAAATTTCAATATATTATATTTCCTATATTTTCTAATTTTTTATATAAAAACTATATCTAACTAAAATAAACAACTAAAATGGATGCATATCAATAAAATTTCAATTACTGTTTAACGGCTATATTAATCATTATAAAATATATTTACCCTTTTGCTTTGTAAAAATGTTAATGCAGTATTTGCATTACTTAAAAAATGTGGCCTTCTTAAGTTTCGTCCTTTTTCGGTCGGCTGTAACAAAAATAAAACAGTGAATCATTTAGTTATGATTACTTTAATGTTAAAATAACTTGCACATTTATAAATATAAGTATAGTAGCTTTTTATAGAGGAATTTGAGAATGAAAAATGTAAAAGAGAAGATTTATTTATTTATTTTTTCCGAATGATGTTCACTCAGTAACATATAATCGTAAATTAAAATAGAAAAATGAAATGTTGAATTCTATCAAAAAATATTTATTTGATTTATTATTTATTTGTTTCATACATGCAATGATATTTATTATACATAATAGTTGGGAACCTATTTGGTGAGCCAAAATATATTATCAAAGTTCTTTGACATTTGTGAATTTCCTGACAATAGTTGCAGTTACCAATAATACTGCCTGTTACAATATTTCTGTTCTCTTAAATGGTAGGTCTATTTACCTATTAATATTATTATTATTATTACTTTACCAGTATTAGGTTAATAAATAATACTTAATGATAAAAAATATACATTTCAAACATATTCAATTCAATTAATTTGAAAAACTGTGATTCCTGCTGTAAGAATATAATGTACAATTGTTTTATGTTCAAGAATTGACAAAAAAACTTGTAATAAAATAATAAAACTTCATTTCATGAAATTTAATTCTTTCTATACAATTCTAAAAATCGACTTTTAATAATAAATGCAATCGCAAAACAATATTCTATTTTCATAAGTTAAAAATTGTAATAACTATTATTAGAAACAAGTTAAATTAGGTTACATATATTTAAATAAATAATAATTAAAATAATTAATATAAAAAAAATGTTACTACATACCAATTTTTCTCCTGAGAGAACTTCTAGAAGTGCTAGAAGTTTCGTTCCGTCTTTTAAGTCTTCAATTAAGTCCTCAACGCGGAGAGGAGGGGATCTCTGAGAAATAAAAATTTATTTATATATAAACATTTCAAATTAAAATATAAATATAAATATTCAATTACATTATGAAATATTGAAGCTTATATTAATACAAAATGGTGTAAAATCTTTTGTCAAATAAAATATCAATTTTTTGGATAACATCTAAATAAATCATGAACTTTTGATGCCCTCCTTATTAAAACTCAGAATCTAAAAGTTATTTTAAATGGACTCGCTGACCAACAATGAGAGGGGCCCTCCAGACTTGCTGGAGGGAGGGGACCTCCAGACTTGCTGGAGATAGGGGCCCACCAGACTTGCTGGAGGGTGTGACGTAGGATTGAACGCCCTACTCACATATCTTTAGTTCACCAAACACCACATAAAGTCATGGATCTCCCTAAGGTAAAACGCTCATTATCCGGAGGTAAACTAGTCCCCCGTTCGGGTCTCCGGGTGGGGACTGCTTTAGGGGATTCATGGCGCAAGTTGAAATATAGGGATTTAAATATTGGTACGTGGAACGTAAGGAGTTTAAACACAGCAGGGGGGCTAAAATCGGTCGCGAATGAGGTAAATGGGTACAATTTGGATGTCATAGCTCTGCAAGAGGTTCGCTGGCCAGGGGAGGGCTCGATGAGGGAAGGAAAGTTCACTATTTGGTACGGAGGAAGCGGGAATCATTGTTTAGGTACCGGGTTTCTAATTAAGAGTAGATTACTATCCGCTTTGAGGGACGTACAATTCTTTAGTGATAGAATTTCGGTAGCTATATTTCAGGGACGTTGGTTTAAAATCGCATTAATAAACATACATTGTCCGACCGAAGACAGTGATGAAGAAGTAAACAGTGAATTTTAAGATAAACTCGAATGGGTTTATGATAAACTACCAGAGACTACATGAAAATAATTGTAGGTGACGCGAACGCAAAGGTAGGAAGGGAAGAAGTTTATATTCCAACGATTGGTAAAGAAAGTTTGCACGAATATAGTAATGATAATGGGATCCGTCTGATAAACTTTGCCATCTCGAAAAACCTGATAATTAAAATTAGATTTAATAGGACTTAAAAAATCACTTAAACGCCATTTCATAAAGGTACTTAGTTTCTTTCATTCTTCCTAAGTAATTATGGTAATATATACATTAAAAAAAAATCTTTCAGCCTGAAGCACTCCCCTCTCCCCACCCAAACTAAATCCTAAATCCATTAGTGACAAATAGACTAATCTTAAATAGACAGTCATGTGGAATAATTGAGCCAATAATAATTATATGAAGTAATTATTGCTAAAATAACCCATATTTTATTGTTAGTCCTTACAATTAACTAAATTACTGTCTCAGAAAATGAATAAAAACAGTTAAACATTTATATTTTATTATTTATTTATTTTTAACAATAAAGTTATGTAACAAATATAACATTCAGTTTATCAGTCCCAGAATCGAGAAGTATGAAGGGAAAAATTGGTATTTGTACCAGGCTAGAAGATATAGAGAGCAGCATTTCTAGCAAAATTTATTTTTAGGTTATTTAAAAAAATATTGGCTTTTCGATTGTTTTGGCTTAAATTCAGCTATTTAATAATGTGAAATGATGTAAAAGTAAAATAATATTATAAAATTGACTTATTTGTCTTATTCTATCCGAAAACGGTTTATTATGTTTCAAAGGTTATTGGGAGGTGTGGGATGCTTTATTACAGTAACTCCAGCGTATTTTTGGGTAGAATTGGCTGAAATTCGAAATGGGTTGTTTTCTAGGACAGAATAATACGATAAAAGCTTGCACAAATTTCGATATTTTTCGCTTTTCCTCTCGTTTTCATATTTTTACGCATATCTAAAGTTCTACTAAAAATAAACATTGAAGGTTGTAATTTCGTATGTGAATTGAACTGTTAGAAATTTGACTGGGGTTCAATTTTTGTTTCCTCCTCCCTTGTCCCTCCTTCCTCCTCCCCATTTTGTCGTGTTTTCCCTTGTTTTAGAGGTTTGGCATACTTCTACACCTCCCTCTTATTGTGCCAGAGAATTGAACATTGGTATTTGAATTGAATTATGGTAAGGGCTGTGCTTTTCGGGGATCTCAACATTTTTTTCCTACACCGCCATTTTTATAGCGAATTTTAGCGTTTTTAAAGGTCAAATGTAACTCTCTAAAGGTGCTCTTAATTGAGTTGGAGGATTGAAAATTTATTTATAATTTCAGTTAATATAAAAGAATAGCCTTTTAGGGGTCTCAATTTTTTTCTTCCACCCCGCCGTTTCAATAAGTTAAATTCGGAAATAGATTATAAAATATTCAAAAACATAACACCAGAAATAAATTCTGCAGTCCAATTGATTTTAGAATATTATTATCAATTTTCTCAGACAAACAATAATGAAAGAATTTATCTGTTTCTCAGACAAAAATACAACCTTTGTGGTGGAGCTTTTTTTTTTTTTTTTTTTTTTTTTTTTTTTTTTTTTTTTTTTTTTTTTTTTTTTTTTTTTTTTTTTTTTTTTTTACGAGAGAAGGTGAAAAAAATGAATGAATTTCAATAACAATAAAATGATTACATCGGATAGTGAAGGTATGATTTAAAAAAAGAAAACGTTTTAGTTAATGGTTTAATTCAACCGAAACCTGATAATACCAATTTAAAGATATGTACTTAATATGCATATATTGGTTTGACAGTTTACGAAAAGCAGTTATGGCACGATTCGAGAAAAATAAATTATTTTTTTATATCTTAGCCAAGGACATATAAAATTGTAAACTAATAGCTATCTCAACACCAAAGTTTTAACCATCTCTACTCTAGTTCTAAAAAGATATAATGTTTGAAAATAACTTAATTGAATATCTTTTCCGATTTCATGCAAACCATATGGAGCTTTTATATACGTCCTTCCCTCTCCCCGAATCATATAAAATATCAGATTCCGAAATTTCATCACTCAAAGAAACTTAATTCGTTGTTTCATATATTTTCTAATAGTAATTATTTTCTTTTTTGCCAATAAGTTAAACTGATTAACTTAAGCTCTATTCTAAAGATAAGGAGAATTCAATTAATTATGATAGTAAAATAATTTTAATAAAAATATGTTGTAACATTTATTATGTTTTTACGATATATTTTACGTTAACAAACACTTACGGCTTAGAGAAATTCATGGAAAAAAATAGAATCCTACCTTTGATAGGTACGAATTTATCCAGTTCACAAAAGTTTTTTTCTGCACTCTTTCCTGCTCATCTGTAATAAAAAAAATAAATGATTAGTTTTAGGACAACGAAGGAAATTTTTTTAAGTATTGTGATAAGTGGATTAATTAAAGAAACAATAATGTCTGAATAAAATATTATTGTAGTAATTATTACACATGATCTCTTCCTAATCTGTGGTCTCTAGATAAGTCGATAAATATATTTAACACAAAATAAAAATGTTTAGGAAATAAGAGAAAGAAAACAAATCAGATTTTTTTCAACATTAAATTAAACAACAAGAAAAATATTTTGTAATTTGAATGTATTATTGAGGAAAATGTTTATACCTTCTTATTATTATGTTTCAATGAAATACAGGAAGATAACTCAAAGAGGCATTGATGCTGAAGCTAGAGTTAACAGGGCGAAGACCAAGTGGTAACTAGCCTGTGCCAGCCACAGCATCGACTAACTGCTTAAACTTTTATCAGATTTACAAGTCCAATGCACTTCCCGTAGAACTTACCGATTTAGCTCATGCATAAGGCATTCAACTTCTTGAAAAATTATTTCATTTGAAGGAATAATGAATTTCAAAGGGTCCAGTATAGGAATTACTTCTACTGACCAAGTCATCTTAATAAACCAAAAACAGTATACAGATTAAAACTGATACTGAACATTAATAATTACACTTGATAATAAAACAGAACAAATGCAGCTAAAATTTATAGTAACGTTCGACATCAACTTACTTAACCTATGAGGACTGGTAAAGAAAAAAAAATTGAAAATAAATTGATGCATTGGACACAGAGATAAACAACAAAAATTTGGTGCGGTGCGTCACACAAATTTCACTTACCACCCTCTTCTTAGCAGAAATACGTATTTTCAGAAAAATGGGAAGAGAAAGTAAAAATTATAGAAGCTATATTTATTTATATTTCATTATGGGTATTTTGATTGGCATACATACCCTAATATATGCAAATTTTAATATTTATATCGCTGTAATCTACACAATTATATATTAAATAATACCAACAATAGCATTTATGAAAACCGCATTTGTTTTATAGAATATCGTCAGAGTCCGTATTACATTTAGCTCATGTTACATATGGAAGCGTGTTCTAATCTTTCGGGCGAGCTCGGATGCGTTCGTATTCCTTTGGTTCCTCAATTACAACTATTCTCCGTTACGATGTATTATTTCTCCTTTAGTTAGTTATCAATTTTTTTCATATTGTATATTTAACTATCTTTTATATTAGAAATTTGTGTAAAATGGTCAATTGTTTCAAATAAAAAAAAATAAAGGTACTTTAGAGGAATCTGATATTGAAAATTAGCCATTTAAGCCCTGTCAGAGAACATCAATTAGAATAAAAACTACATCTTATTTAAAAATGCTTAATTTTACTTTGATATAATGAATTTAATCAAAATCGTTACAGCCGTTTTCGAGATAATCGTAAAAATGTGTTTAGGCCATGAAATAAAGTGCCACTTTCGGTAAGCCGATTTTGACGTAAAAGTTGCTGTAACATCCCTAGCATATAAAAACGTTTAATATGCAATTTCACTTTCGCACGTCATTTTGTTTTTGAGCTATACTGTTAATACACACACACACAGATCATTTTGCGGGACTCGTTTATTTGGACTGAGGGGACCTCAAAACGGGTATTATCGTTGAAAACTAAGATTCGAAAATTTTCACGATCGCAATACTTTCCTTTACTATATATTTCATATATAGGTAAGTGAAAATAAAACGGTATATGAAACCTCTATCAGCCGCCATTTCGAAACGGTACGGCCAGCTATATTACAGATACCCCACTTTTAGAAAAACTTTCTCGTTTAATAAGCTTTAAGTCCATATTAATTAAGTTGAGAATTAATTGGGAAAACTTGAGATTCACCTTAAGTAGTGTAAAAAATGATGTGATTTTATATCTTGTTACGTATCCAAAAATACGGTGTGTTTTCACCAAACATGACATCAATAAATAATTGCAAAGCTTTAATTTCTTTTTTTTTTCGATTAATTGAGATCTATAATAATTAAATTTTCTACTTTTCTGATGAAAATCGGGTCATTGATTATATGAAATTTTTGTAGTTCTTTATGTCTACAACCACCTGTTTAAATGTTTCCTTCTACTTACCGGACACCCGGTATCTAAAGAGATTATTTTGAATATTAAATAGCAATTTTCCAACCACATAGTAAAAAACAAATAAATAATGCCATTAGAAAAGGTTATTTTATTTTCATGATCATTTCATTTAAGTAATAACAGCCCTGCGATGTTTTTAGAGATCTCCTAAACACGGGTTGCGGTTGGCTTCAGCCTGGTCCAGCATACCTTCACGCATGAGTCGATCTGTTTAAAACTGAATGAACTGGCGAAGGTTTCTGTTTATCAATGGGCAGTAGTTACATAGTAAAAAGAGGCAAGGTCATTTAAAATTCAATATTATCTAAAAAAAAAATTAGATCCTGCTAGGAATATAGTTAACAAAATATTGATAACGTTCGCAGCGCTAATTCCTTTATCTTCCATCAAAACCTTACATATCATCCAAATCCACTTGCGCAATATCTAGCACCACCCATCCCTACAATACTCCTCGAAGGTTGAACCGGCAATGGCCCAGAGACCTGTTGGAGTTCTGGCATTGGTCAGATTCTTCACTCTAGCCATTTATGTCTGGTTATAGCGCCTCTGCCACTGGTCTTTAATACATATAATGCTGAGTGAGAGGCGCTGTGATCTCTCAGAGTCCTGACTTCCCTTCCATAAGTTGAGGAAAAGCTTGGCTCGGAGATCTTGAGTGAATGAATTTTGTAAATATTATATAAAAGCATGTGTGTATTAAAGTAGTTATTTTGATTAGTTTGGTTTCTTTTTATTCATATTCATTTACTTTTATTATTATTAGTGTAGTAGAGTGTGAATGAGCTAATCTTCTTTCACTATTACTAATGTCCTTGGATGTGACAGGTTGTAATATTTTTCAATAAAGAATTGATATGTTAAAAATTAAAAAAAAAACCTTTATCATTCATCATTTTAAATTAATCTCTTTTAATTATCAACTTTGTTTTGTTTTGTTTTTATTCAGTTTTTAAAGTTTAAGTATTAAAAAAACAGATATAAAACAAAAGAAAATTGAAATCAGCTGTTTTAATTGACAATGTACTGTTTAATCATAATTTATAAGCTTGATTGCTTTGGAGTGCGTTATATGGTTGGCACCATAAGCTCATTAACTTCGTGAACATATGGAGTCTGCTTCCGTCCTTCACTTAAGGCCGAGTTGCTAACTGTTGTATTGCCCATTTGCCGTTTGGGATAAGTTCTGTTACAATCCTTCAATGTTAACTCACTGTTTTACTGCCCAATAGCAGTTACATAATAATACGAGCGCTCATAAAGTATCCATATGAAGGCACCATAAGAAAACGAGATTGCCAAACAAGATTTCTTTTATATAGAGTCTACTTTATTATTCGTGATATATATATATTTATTTTATCTTTGTATTATTAGTTGTAGACTGATTATAGTTCATGGTACAGAACCCCTTTTATGAAATTATTAACATCCTTCTGAAACTTTGTAAATAGCTTCATCTCATCGTAACCTACAAATATTTTATTTACGAAAAGTCTTGGAATTGGAGCGTTTTCGATCTGGAGAGCGGGACAATTTTTCTATTTAATTAGGTACGAAAAACTCATGAGTAACCATTTGCTTTTCACTTGATATGATAATATGATCACAAAATTGAAAAAAGGAAAAAAAAAAAAAGGTGGCCTACAAAAATATTTATCCGTTTGGTGTGACCCCCATTCCGAAAAAGTCAAAAGGACGATGTTATATAGGCCAAACGCCCAAATATTTTTGTAGGCCAATTTTTTTTTTCATTTTGTGATCATATTATCTTACGATTCAAGTGAAAAGCAAATGGGTATTAAATAGAAAAAAAATCCGATCTCCGGTTTAAAAATGCTCCAATTCTAAGAGTTTTCGTAAACAACATATTTATAGGTTACGATGAGATGAAGCTATTTACGATGTTTCAAACGGATATTAATAATTTGTTAAAAAGGGGCCTGTACCACCGACAATTAATTTTGGATAGTTATGTAGAGATATAAATATCAATTCTTTTATTCAATATTTCATTATTATTTTTATTAATTAGCAATTTTTGTTTAATTTTATTATCAACCAAATGTAAAATTGATTTCATTGTTTTTCTTTATTATTTTTTGTAATGGGAAAAATAAATGTTTAGTCCAGGTTTTGTTTTGTCAATACTATACAGTCCACTGTTTTCATTATATAATTCTTTTCTTATATTTATTAGTTAAGCTTCATTCTAAGTTTTCACGTAAAGCCTTGAGGAAGCTTAACAAATATACTACTGTTGTAATTTTGAAAAATCTGTTTAAATATTATTTTACACTAGTTGGCCCGTGCGAAAAATTCGCAGAAAATTTAGTTTAGTGAAGAAATAGAAAAACAATATGGAAATAAGTAATTCCTATGTATTATGTAAGGAAGGAATTAATATTTTTTCCTTGGTCGATTACAATATTCCATTAAACATAATAGACAAAAATATTTGTACAAATTTGTTTGCTAGGACCTATTTTTAAACGCTGATTGAAAAGATAATAAAAGTAAAAAAGACAAAATAATGCCCCGATCATGTGATATTCTAAATTATTAAAATAAAATAAAATGTAAGAACAACCAAATGTCTTTAAGAAATAATAAAGTTAATATATCAGCCAGGAAAAAAATATGTAGTAGACTATTCTACACCTAAATGCAATATCTTTAAACAGGAAGACATTATTAAATATACCAAAGCTAATGGACTGTATCTTTGTCAATAATTGTCCGATTTTTTTTTTTGTTTTGTAGATAATTTATAGAAAAATGCATACTTTTTGAGTAATTTGCAAATAAAGTTTCTTTTCCTTCATAACCTTTTTCTCAGAAATTTAGGGGGAGGGAG